TGCTCAACTGCAACGAAGAAAAAATGAACACCGACGAAACATGCAAAGTGAGCTTTTGTAGTTCTCTTACTTCCAAACATGAAAACTCTGATTGGATCAAAGTTATGCTTGAAAAAATATGTCATTGGCAAAAAATCCTGCCTGAGAAAACTGATAAGACGAAACTTTGACATAGCAAATAGCTTTAAGATTAAAATTTCGGGTAGAAAAAAGGTGTGATTGATAGCTGGATATTCCCAACATCTGATTCATGGAGAACTCAAAAGTTTAAAAGTTAACTGAACGAGATTCTATTAGCGAAAATATCTGTTATATGGCCCTCCTTTAAGTGAAGGAAATATACTATCTAAAAGATTTCTGATCACATTAAACATTTTCGAAGTGACTTTGAATAATTTTAAGATTTCAAAAGATTTTGAAAGCTTTTATAAGATTTTGGATGCCAAAATTTGCTTTTTTTCTCCCTGGTATGTATAAATAATATTACGATGAACAAACAAAAATTATATCCCCTAAATAGTATGATATTCATTTTTTTCTAGTACAAATAATGTTTATATAAACTAATTATAAAAAGTCCTATTGTTATCTACAATATTCTTATAAATTAATAATTAAATATAAATTCATTTTATTTGAAAGATAAAAATAGAACAAAAAGATGTGGATAATGAAACAACGTTAGTTTTCGTATGCATATTAATTCATGGCATTTAATACAAATTCTTGGCGTTTTTCCATGTAGCATGTTTTCACTGATTGACTAATGATAATAATATGAATACAAAAAATTTGCTCATATCAATGCAGTTTCTCCTTCAGTTGGTCACAGCACATGTTACAATAGGATATTCTAAGAAGTATGTAACTTTTTTTGAAAAATTTTTCCTTTATTTGTTTTGATAAATTAAGTATATTGCTTGATTACTCGTCAGTCTATGGCCAAGTATATTAACTATCGATGAACGTCGCTTGTAATTGTAAATTGAAAAAAAAAAATTATCTGTGAAAAATAAATTATATTTTCAAGTTGTTAATTCTAACCGGTTGTACATGAGAAATGAACGAAGGAGAAATGGTAAGAGAGAGATTTCAAACAATATCTAGTGTTCAAATGTAAACTCAACAATTTTTTCTGGCAAGATCCAACTGGAGATGAGTGTGAAATTGTTCATCCTATATTTATACATTTGAAAGTATCTCGTTAGTATAGAACAATTATGTGTATAGACAAAAAAATTGCCACTTTCTGAAAAATTATTCTTTATGAATGATTTGAAGAGTCAATTACTGTTTTTGTTTAATCATACTAGAACATCAAAAAGTTCAAAATAAATTAATAGATGATTGAAAATAATGAAGAATGTGAAATGACGCCTATCTAAATGTTGTTTTTTTCTATGATTAACTAACATGGCTGATATAAAATGAAAGTAGTGTGAAATATATTATTTTAATAACGTTATTTCCTGTGATCCTTTCCATAATTGATCCTTGTCTAATTTGACAGCATCATTGACATGACCAACTTCAATACAAACAAATTTTGGAAAATTATGTTCACCAATATCAACAGCTCCTTTGGCTTTTTCTTCCCAAGGATTCCATACGACAATGTCGGACATTGTACTTGAACCAATTACTTGAATATAATCATCAATAAGAATAGGATTACTATTTTTACCACCATTTTTATAGACACGATCAGTTTCGCCCGTAAATTCGATAACTTTATTGGTTTCTGTTTTCGTTTTACCTTCATCGACTTTATCCATATAAGTAACATTATTTAAACCAGATCTAAATACGAAAAAAAAATGAAGAACAATTATATTTAAAAATAAACTATATATACATACATTTTCGTTGTTTTTATATTATCAACAGTAAAATATGTATGAAATAATGCAGTAAATTCGAATGTTTGATCATCTTGATTGTGAACAGTTAATTCTTGACTAAATGATTTTTCACTCAAACGAATAGTAATTGTTAAATTGAATTTATGTGGCCATATTTTCAATGTATCTTCATCATGTGAAAGATGTAATTCGATGCTAACATCATTATTTGTATTTGTTTTTCCTAATTGCCATGTTTTGACACGAGCAAAACCATGTTGTGGTAATGGACCAGGTCCAAACTGAGGCCATACAATAGGTATACCACCACGAATAGCCTTTCCTCGTTCAAATATAGCTTTATCACTATAATGGATAATCATCAATGAATAAATTAAATAAAGAAAAGAATAACATACCTAAGAAACAAGATTTGTTTATTATGTACGGTCCATGAAAGAACATGTGCACCATATAATAATACTTCGACAGATGCAGAACCACTTGAATTTGTTAAACGAAGAGCTGAAAGGCCAGTTTTATATTCGAACTCAGTAACCGACATCGTAAACTACAAGGACAAGAATTGTATTATTGACATCTTTTCTTTTGATAAACAAAATAACGAATCATATTTACTGTGTTTTAGTTACAAATGATTTCAAGGAAGGAAGCTCCATCTTTTTACTCGTATAAGTTAAACGAAATAACGAATCAAGCTAAAGAGAAAGGCAAAGAAAAGCGAAAAATATTTTGAATTGGCAGGAATATTTTTTGACGACGATAACATTTCATATGGCGTCTTATCAGTCAAATTGTGTGAAATAATGTTAAATTTATTAAAATTCAGATCATCCGAAAACAACACATTTTATATAGAATTATTTCAATCGATGGCCTGATTGCATTTATTTTCTACTATATTGATTGAAGAGTTAACTATAGATTGATCTTCTTTTTTTTTTATTTTCAAGAAGATTCATGACTTCACATGAGTTTTGACACATTTGATGACAGTTTAGAAAAATCAGAATAATTGGAAAGAAAATTTTTGAATTTATCGTCCATTATAATATAAACTAATTTTCTCAATGATACATATATCAATAGTGATTTCCCTGACTTGATAGCATGTCTTCTGACTAGAATATTTGTCACAAAATTTTTAAAAATAAAAAAAATATGGAAGAGCAAAACTTTCGAAAAACACAATGATACAGACAGTGTTGCCACCTTTTCAAGTCCGAAAAGCGGAAACCATATGAACAGCTGTTTCTTTTATGAGCTTCTTACATTTCTATGCGTTTAAATAACTTGTTATTCCTTTCTATGGCAGTTCTGTATTCTCAAAATTTCTAAACGCAATAAACAATACATAATTTATTAAGCACATCATTCTTTCAATATAGTTGCATTTACTGTTTGAATGAATTCTAATTAGCAATTCTTTTTGGAACAACAAATATTTGTGCATATTCGTGTGATAATGAAGTATTTCAATGAATTCGTATCTGTGGAGCTATAGAATCTAGTTACATTCAATTTCAAAAATTATTGAACAAATGTCTCATTTCCGGAATAAAAACACTTTCGACATTGGCGTTGCTTGTTGAAACAGAATACAGAATGTATCATATAGGCGATAATAAATTGTAGATGACAACTGACACAACTTATTTAATATTAACAGATTTTATTGTCTTAAATTTTTCAATTAAAAAAAAATAAACTAAAATTTCTTATATGAAAAATTGGAAGAGACGACAATCTGTACTGACATCTATTGATCACACATCTAATCATTCATTCTTATTCCAATCGAGTACTAAGTACCATTTATTATTACTCATCGATTTCAATGGTCGTCATGTCAACATTTTCGATCTAAATTGACTTGAATAAATATTCTTACTACTATATGTATTAAATGATCACTAATCATCAAACAGTAGGTCGTAGTCTTTTGCCAAATAATGAACGTGAACGTGATGCTCTTCTCAATATTCGTCAACTAGAGAAACGGTAAATTTAACTTATATTTTGTTATATGAATGAAAAAAGTTATTTCTCTTTTTGCCTTCGATTAGACTACGGCAAGTAACACGTGAAGTTGATACACCTTTTGTTTCCCGTCATAATGAATATAGTGATGTGTATAGTGAACTTGTTGATGAAAAAAATTCATATGAACAAGCATTTAATGCTGAAAGTAATATTGAAAATTAATAAGAAAAAAAAACAAAACTTTGTATAAAATAAAATTTATTTGATATTTAGAACGTCGAATTCAACAACATTTGCAACGTATTAGTCAAAGTGTTCGTTCATTTTCAAAAGACGTTCGTCATTTAAAACCTGATTTAACCAGTAAAATTTTGCTTTCATATACTTTTGTTTTTATATTTATTTTAATAATTAGTGGTTAATAAAATTCGTAATTCAATCGAAGAAATCGAACAAACAATTTATGCATCTAAAGAAGCGTCTCGATTAAAGTATTTATATTATTCTCAAAATTCTATTTCTTCTCTAAATCAAATCATTGTTTAAGATATGAAGAACTTATTGGTGAAGAACGTTTACTATCGAATGAAGTACAAGCATTAAATGATAAAATTGAATTATGGTCTAAGCAACGACCTGGTCAACAACGAAGTGATTCAGTTCCACCATCAGGATCGGCACGTAAATTTGATACATCCAATTCAAATCTTTTGCCTGAAATTATTGAATATGATGTGAGTAATTTTTTCATATTCATCAACATACAGTAGTGGACAAAAGTCTTCAGTCCATCTCAGCCACTGTATGTTCTGAAGGTCTGAAAATTTGTGTACATATATTTCATCAAGAACGTATGTCATTAATATTGCGACGTTGTTATTGCTTAATTGCAAGAAGAGCTATGATGGATGGCTTCTATTATTATTGTCTGTCACATAACCTTGGAAAGAAAGAGTATTCTGTGTTAGCGACTCCTCGATGTGTAATACTATGTTCCAGCTATTTACATTACTAATTTTATTGAAGTTTATCAATCCTTTCAAAGATTATGATCATTTTACTGTGATTATTATTGTGAAGAGAAACCATTTGCTGCCTTTTGAAGGCCAATAACTCAGTGATAATTCAATGAAATGGATTCAAACTTTTTGAGAAGCTTCCTCTACAGTAAGACATTCTTACCTACAAGTTTGAAAAACAAATCTTGTACTAAAGAGAATGAATGAAGAAAGACCGTAGATGAGGCTTCAGAGACATGTAAAAATATCAAGAATTAGTCATATTTTTAGTAAGAAACAGTGCAAAATTTTGTAGGCCATCAATTTTAGGTTATAATGCTTAGAGCAAAAACTAAGTCCTGTGTATTATAACTCTCTTTGTAATTAAGCAATAACAATGCTGCAATGTCAATGATCTATATCCTCGGTGAAGTACATGTACACAAATATTCACACCTTTAGCATATATACTAGCCAAGATCGGCTAAGACGGAGACTTTAGTTCATCACTGTATATAACTTTGTACTCGTAGCGTTTTCTACTTGAACATGGTGGAACAACAGGAAATTGGGATGAATATGATCATGGAACATTTCTACGAATTCGAAATAAATATAAGGTTACTAATTAAATGATATATTTATTTCAGAAGAAAATCATAATAAGAACATTTTCTTACAGGGTGAAGATAAATTTATTGATGATTGTATTGGTTTTTTACCAACTAAAACTCGAGATCAAATTCAAGAACATGAAAAATGGTATCGACAATTTTTAAGTATTAGTAACAAACGTCGTCTAGCATTAAAAAAATGGCGAGAAGAAAGAAATGTAAGTTTATTCTTATTAAAAAAAAAATAAAAATGAATTCATTCATTACATTTACAGCAAGCTAAAGAAACAATTTTACATGAAGCTGAACAAGCACATAATACTCTTAAAGAAATTGATGAAACTATTCATCAAGTACAAGTTAAAGAACAAGAACGAATACGAGCTGAAAAATCAGCATTAATAGCTGCTTGGAAACAAGAACGTGAATTAAAAAAACGAGAAATTGAAGAAGAACAAGAACGAATTGAAAAGAAAAAACAACATGATGAAGCAAAACGATATACTGGAAAAGATGAACAAAGACAATTAGTTGAACAAATTCGTCGTGAACGTGAAGAAACTGAACGAATTGAACAAGAACAAGAAGCAAAACAACGACGTCTTCAACAAGAAATTAGACAACGAACAGCTACAGTTGCTATTCGTAAATTTCGTGAAAGAGTAAAAATCTTAATTTCATATATAAACAATAATTTATTTATTTTATATTCATAGGATATGAACAATTTAGAAGATAAACTTATACGTGATAAATTACAAAAGCAAGAAGAAGAAACTCGACAACAACGTCTCGAAGCAACTAAATATCAAGTATCTATTGATTATGATCCTCAACATTTATATGAACCAACACAAGCATGGACATCACGTAGTAAAACTCCTCGAGAAGTATCTAAAGATACGTCTGCTCCACCAAGTATTTTACATGTGCCTCATCGAGCAACACCCAGTTGGCGTCAATAACAAACTTTTCCTGCTTCTTCTTCTTTTTTTTATTCGTCTGCAATAGTCAGATTGTACATTGATTTCGATCAATCTACGAGAAAAAAAATTTGATTAATCTGTAAATGTTAAAACAAAATGAATAAATATTGGTTTTTTATCATCTCGGTCATATAGGATAGTTCTAATAGATAAAATTTTTCATAGACAATATAAAGCGTGTTCCATAAGTTTTGGACGTCAATGAAAATTAGTTTATATGTAAACAGAAAATGATCCTTACCCAACCATATCTATATGAACTTCAAGTAATGAGGATGATGTTTTAAACGACATATTATTCGAAGACATTATCTTCCTTCAAAAATCGATTTTGACCTAGATATATTCAACTAACAATGGTCAAAAATAACTTATTTGGCAACCCACAATTTTCTGTGGATCTTCATTCTATAGACTTGATTTTTTGGGTTTGAAAGAGTATGTTAGGATCCAGGACATGACATAGTTATTCTTTTTAAATTCTTATCTTTTTCATGGGAGAAAAGTTCAATGTCTTACAAAAATGGCGCTCTAATTATAAAAGTCTATTATGGCTTGCATCTTGACTTGGTCGTTCAAACAAACAAAAAAGCCATTGGATACAATGAAGTTCCTTCGAAAATTCTGGTATGCGCAGTCAGAAAAAGATTTTCCATTTTATCTGAAAAACAAAATTTTTCAAGCAGAAGATGACAAAAATTGTTGGAAAAAATGAGATGTCAAATAAAACAAATCATATCATTTATGAAAGATCAGATCTCGGACTATCTTCCCATGCATTTATCATAATTTTCATTTACTTTTGAGACAAGGAGAGCCTTAAAATCTCGAAGTCGACCAGTATTTTTAAGAAGTTTTAATGAACTATGGATTCATCGTATGTCATGTCACACAATTATACAAAGCAGTACATAATATCTAAGATGCGGATGTGAGTATCCTTAATATCCATATCTTAATTATTACATTTTTTCTGTTTATATAGCTATTATTAAAGGAGATAATGTCATCAGATAATATGTCATTTAAAATATCGTCTTAAGTACTCGAAGGTCATATAGATACAGTTGAGTAGGGATCGTTCTTTGTTTATATATACTAACATTAGGTGGGATTCAGAACTCTTTATATAAGTAATAGAATTGATCCTTTGATTACAATTAGCAAAGTTTCGCAGATTAGTACAATACGTTACCATAATAGATATTGATTGCCTCTATTTGTCGCCACATGATTTAATTTGATTTCTATTGGTTAAAATCTCAACAGGAAAAACAAGGAGACAAGCATGTGCATACATGCACATATCTACTGCAGATTATTGTTTATTTACAGATTGTTTTGTTGTTTGACTCATATATTAGAAAAAAAGAAAACATCATTTATAGGAAATAAAACAAATATCAACATATATATATAATGTTCTTTTTGTCTATCCGTTTAGATCTTTAATATTGCCAATCAATGGCTAGCAATTTTCAGTCGCGAACAGGTACGATCATGTATATATGTATCAGCGATCCATAATTATCTTGTATATAGCTAAATGAAGAACGAAAAAAAAAAAGAATTTTAATTTGCACGTTTTATTGAGACCGACAGCTGATACTTATATGTATATAGATATATAGATAGATTATCAGTTTATTTTTATATTTTATTTAGTTGTTCCACGAAGTTTTAAACTATTGGAAGAACTTGAGGCGGCTCAAAAAGGCCATCATGAAGGGTAAAATAAAAGAATAGTTCTCTGTTTTTTGAAAACAATGTTTTGTTTTTGTTATATTAAGATCAGTGTCATGGGGTCTCGAAGCTAATGATGATATGTCATTATCTCGGTGGGTTTGTATGATTATTGGACCATCACGGGTACGTATATTACGAATGATTGTTTCTAAAAATGAACTAATGCTAGATCATATTTCTTTTCAGACGCCTTATGAAGGTCGTATTTATACATTGAAAGTTCATTGCAGTGATCGTTATCCGGAAGAAGCACCGACTGTTCGTTTTCAGACACGTATCAATCTCACTGGTGTTTCAGCTAATGGTTCAGTAAGAATTTTATATTTAAGAAATAAAAAGAAAATTCTTTTCATTAAATTCTTCTATTTTATTTAGGTTGATTCAAAATATATTCCAGCTCTTCGTAATTGGAATCGAGATATGACTATTCATCAAGTGTTAAACGAAATTCGAGCGAGCATGTCAGCAAAAGAGAATGCAAAATTGTCTCAACCATCTGAAGGAGCACTTTATCCATCTCAGTGATTATTAGCAAATAAATATCTATAGAAAAAAAAAACGCTTATTATTTTCTTTCTGTTCGATTTTCTTATTTGGGTTTCTGAAAACAAAAAAAAAATAGAAAATAACATCAACTTTGGATGAAACCCTTTATTTGTTCAACCTTATTTTTTTGTGATACCTCTTTTTTTCTTTCTGGTTTTTTTTCGCATGCATAACATCTTGAATCCTTTGTGTATGAAATCTTTTTTCTTCTTTTTTTTTATCCCATAAACTAAACTTCAAGTCATTTGTTCTAGAAAAAATGAAATTAACGTTAACACCATCAAAAAAATCCAATTCATCAACAACAGTTGATATTGATTCATCATCAACATCAGATTGTGATGTTCGAATTCATGAAGGTTCATCTTATCAAGCTAATATTCCACCATTAGATCCAACACCATTAGCAACTGATCATGAAGCTATACTATTTTGGCGACCAACTGATTCAATTAGTGAAAATGATCTTATTGAATATATTGATTTTGCACGTCGTAAACATCGTATGAATGAAGAACAAGCATTAGCTATATTACAAATATGTAAATATAAAATTTCTACAAGTAAATTACTTATGCAACAATATACACCTGAAATTGATGAATGGACAGTTGAAGAAAAATGTTTATTTGAACAAGCATATAAATTTTATGGAAAAATGTTTTCACGTATAAGACAAATGTTACCTGATAAAAGTGTTGGTGATCTTGTACGTTATTATTATTCATGGAAAAAAACACGTTTACATAAAAGTTTAATGGATAAACATGAAAAACAAAGTCAATTAATGCCTTATGATGATGATGATGCAGATAGTGATGATGATGAACGAAATACAACATCAATACCATTACCAACAAAGTAAATTAATTATAGATAGAAAAAGAAAGAGGGCCAATAATTGATGAAGCCGGCACACTTGAGAAATTTGATTTCTTCTATGTCAAACTACTACGCAAAGTGTCCGAAAGTGATTTCTGGTGAGACTAATCCTATACCAATTATTTATGCTATACCTACGCCGGTTGAAATAGTAAATGATTGTCATATCTACGCTGAATTCGACTGTTGATGACAATCAGCTTTTTTTTTTATCTTATCGATTTGATGATCGGTCAGGCTAATTTTAACATGGTTCGATAGCGCTAAAAATGATATAAAAATATGAAGAAGAAAAAAAACATTGGCCTTCAAGAAAAATTCTAAGGATACTATTCTTAATATATGATTTTATGCTTTTTTTAAACTGATATTCAGGAGACTTCAATCAGAAGAGGTGTAATGCCATGATAATAAGATATACTGAATCAGCATTCAAAACGGAGTAAACATATGTAAGTTTCAATGATTTTCATAAATGTTTTTCATTGAAAAAGTTGCTCCTGGTCTCTCTTACGGATGAGTCAAAAAATAAATCTCATCAAAACGCAGGTTTTATTGTTTAATCATCTGCGATTTTGAGTTCTACAGATCATGTTACAGCTGTAAAACTTAATTCCAGTTGTTGAAATAATTTTTTGGCTCATTCGTGAGGGGAATCGAAGGCGACTTTTTCGATGACAAAAAGAAAGTTCTTGAAAATATTTCAAACTCACATATGTTTACTCTGTCTTGAATGTTAATTCAGAATATCATAGTATTTTCACATAGATTACACTTTTTCTGATCGAAATCTACTAAATACTAGTCAACCAAGCATAAACAAATGATATAGGATTGATTCTATGAGAAATCACTTTCGAATACCTCGAGTGAAAGTTTTACATAGAAGAAATCAAATTTCTCGAAAGGATTGATTTCATCAGTTATTGACCTGCTTCTTTGGAACAAAAATGTTTTTTTTTTAAAGAGATTTGGATCATCGTGGTAAAATGTCAATTGATCAAACAGGTCTTGATGAACAAGAATGTTGTAATTGTGAAGTAACAAATATAAATGGTAGCATTGGACCTATGCATTCTACTCCTAAAGGTATACTTTGTGATGAATGTTTTGTTTATTGGCAAAATTCAGGTTTAATGCGACCTGAATTATATCCAAGTAAATCATCAATTAAAAAAATTAAACGACCACCAAAAAATATTGCACTCGATTTGGATAGTTTAATTGCAATGAATTTATATGAAAATGCTTCAACATCAAATACAGATAATAATGATACAATTGATCCTGTTGAAAAACTTGAAGATGATATACGTCAAGAATTAGCAATTATTCAATCACATAATCAAGCTATTGATCTATTAACAAATCAATGTCGAGATGGAATGGAAACAATGCGTATACCATTTCTTACATCATCATCATCACCATTTATGATTAATAATTCAAATTCAACAACAGTAACACCAACATCAAATTGGTCGACAGAAGAAATTCTTTTAGCTATACAAGCATTTGGAAAATATGGAAAAGATTTTGATGCTGTTGCACGTATTATTGGTTCAACAAAGACAGTTGCTGATGTTGAAACATTTTTTCTTGAATGTCGTGAACGTTATCAACTTGATATGGTTATTGAAATAAATTCTAAACCAATAACAAATGTACAACGTAAACAACAATCATCAACAACAAATAACGATTTAAATTCCAATCGATCAAATACTAATGATATTGTTCTTTGTTAGTTAATTGTTTAGATTACCTTTTCTTGTTGTTAGTGTAAATAACAATTTTCTTTTTTGTTCTTTTTGTTGACTGTAGTTCTTTGAAAGATACAAAGGAAATCTTATTTTCATTTCAGATTTTTTTTTATTTGAGTAAACAAAAACAAAAAAAAGAAAACCATTATGGAAGATATTATTGTTTCACTTGAACCAGCATTTCATCGTGTTGAACGATTTATGTTATGGCATAATCGTTATGCAAGTTTACTTGCATTTTTCCTTGGTCATTGTATTTTTTATGCTATAGCACGAGCTGGTTTACGTCCATTTTGCGCTATGACGCTTGTTGTTTTAATATTTCATATACTTGATTGTTTAAAAAAAAAACGATCATATTCATTGGATAATGGCGAACAAAATCTATGTGAATTAACAAAACTTGTTTTACGTTCATATCGTCATTTGTGCGAAACACATGAAAAATTAAATACACTTAAAACAGAAAATCGTGTTAAATATTCAATACTTATTATTGTTATTTGTCTTATACTTGCATATATTGGTGTAAAAATAAATGGTTTTTATGTATCTTATATAACAATGTTAATACTTTTTACATTACCCGCTATTGTTTATCATAAATTAATACCAAAATTACTTCAACGTTTAGCACCTGTACTTGAACAACTTGATCAATCGATGTAAGTTAAGAAAATTTTTATATTTATGTATTCATTTTTATAAAATATGATTTAAAAAGAGTTTTAAAGTGTATAAGGTAAGAATTTATTAATTATTTCCTTATTGTATTTCTGAAGAAGTAAATAAAAGGAAGATGAAGAAATGTGTCTCAAGATTGACAGAATAAAATAATCTCCCTGTAATAAATAACAGCAATTACATTGTGTTGTATATTTTAATCCCATAGGAATTGACACTAATAATTGTTTTCTATGAAATAGGGAATATAAACGACGTTCAATAATCGATCGAAAAGATTTATTAGTTAAAATTGATAAATCGGGATCAATTAATGATGATGATGATGATGATGATGTTCGACGATTAAAACAGCAACGTGATTTATTACGACAAGAACAAATAGAAATGAAACATGAACCTTTAAATTTAACTGATGATGAAGATGAAGATGAAGATGAAGATGAAGAAAATGAATTAAAATCATTTGAGTCAAATGATGAAAGTCAAACAATATTAAATTTACGACAACGTTATCAAAATGAAATTGATTCAAATGATGAAAGTCAAACAATGTTAAATTTTCGACAACGTTATCAAAATGATATAGATACAAATGATGTAGCCCTTGTACCAAAACAGTCAAATATGAGTGATTCAGCTTTTGATATGCTTAGTGATTCATCATCGTCAGTTGCAGATGATGAAGCAACTCGCATAAGTGAATTATATGCTAATGTTGGTGATCAATTTGATGGTAAACATCGTATTAAAATTAAAGGTGATGAATTAAAAATTAAAGGACGTTCAAATAAACAACGACCAAAATTAATGGATGCACCATTTTTTCAATCAAATATTGATGATAATAATACGAAAATAAATAAATTATCAACATCAACATTAACTAATACATCAGCGAATGTCCCACATAGTGAACCAGATTTAACAAGTTTTGATTTTCTCAATGATTACGATGAAAAAGCATAATTTGAGTACAATTTGTGTGAGTGTGTTTTTCAAATTCAAAGCAATACTACTCCTTTTTTTCCTTTTTCTTTTATCTTTGGTGATTGCACTTTATTTACTGTACAAAGAGTGTTAAAATACGACATTTGTTGTTTTTTTTTTTTGGTACTTCATATCTCCTTGATTATGTACATAAGACGATGAACATTTTAGCAATCATTTATATAAAAAAAAAAAAGAAAATTTTGTATCTTATATCGTGTTTTTATGTGCCTATCTTCTTTTTTGTTTTATACCTTGTCATCCGTTTAATCCGTATGTGAGCTTGTTGTTCGTTTCAGTGAACAGTTTGTATTTTAAAAAATAAATTAAAAAAAAACAAAAAAAAAAAACTTTCATATCGATCAACTCATAAAAATACAAAATTTAATTTATTCTAAACTCAAAGCACGTAGATCAAATTTCATGTCGTTAAATCTTTATACGAGAAAAAATATATTATCTTCCAATGTGTTTCATTTCATACTCAATGGGACAGAATACGAACGACAATGGTTGAAATTGTATAGCAAAATCTTTCTAGGCTGCACTATATTATAACTCGCTTCCATTTATGATTGTTGTAATTGTTCTCATAAATCGTGGCGTAAATATTTTAAAAAATGATATTGGATGATGGTGACTGTATTACCGTTCGCTTTTTTTTCAATTGAAAGACTCAATATTAGTTTCTCAGTTTTAGTTAAAATTAAAATTGAATTACTATAGATTAATATTTAAAATGTATCTTCATTCATTGTTGATATTATGAAATAAACGTTAGTTATCATATGTATTTGAGTAAGTACATATCAGAAATATTTAAAAATTATTCGAAAGAAATAAGTTACAAAAACAAATCTTCATATTTGTTTCATTGAGTAAGTAGTATTTAATCAAATTGATGGTTCCATTATTGATTCCAGAAATCGCTGTTGCTCAGTGTTTTTGTTGTTTATCATATTAATAGTTTCTTTTTGCATTGCATCAAATGAAATATCAGGTTTACGAGATTCTTTAATAATTGCTTCTTCCCAGACCGCACAAATCAAGCCATTATTACGATGTTCGAGCTCAACTGTCTTGTTTTGCTGAATATTCACACTATAGATATTTCGTCCGATGATATGACTGCGAGCAATGCGGGAAACCAATTGGCGAATACAGAGTTGCTGCATGATATTCAATGCATATCATCCATATCCATTTAAGAACTTATTTATACCCGAAAAGGAAATTTAATATTTACTATGGGCGTCACGAAAAAACATGTCCACCTATCATATTGCATGGGCTTATCTTTTCACCGTGTTATTTAGAACGGATCATGATATTTACAAAAGGTGCATTAAGATGACGCACTATGTCTCAATAAATTAAAATACTTTTAACAAAAATATCGTAACTTGCTTTTACTTCTCTATATTCGTTGTAATAGCAATACAGTTGTGTATATTTGCAGAAAAAAAACGAATGAATTGGATAGAACATAAAAGACTGTGTATGATTAACACTAACAAAGTATTAGAAGAATTTCATTTCGCTCTACTAATCATCACAAACATTTTTTCTTTTTCATTTGCAATTGTACTATCAATCAGGGATGTATTTTCAAACCAATCTCAGTTTCCGTTCAGTTCGGTTTTTTTAGCTAAATTAATGCAATTCATATCAGTATATAGACAATTAAAGGAAGAAAAGTAAACAAAAATGATGTCCAAAGTAACAATGAAAGCTGTTCCTTTTTTACTATGATCTTAAAACTAGTAGTCGACAGTGTTTGCATAATATAAAAAGAAAATGTGATATTTAAGTAACAATATAGATACGCAAAATTTCACTGCTATCACTACATCCACTATTAAGTCTGCTGGTATAAGTATTAAGAGAGTATATACAGAGACAAAAAAAAGCATCGAAAAATTCAAGAAATTTAAGTAGAACCAAGCAGGAGAAAGCGGAGAATAACATTTATATGGGTTTCAAGGGCAGAGGAAAAGAAGCATAAAAACAGAAAAGGAGAAAGAATGTGCATATTCTTTTCTTTGTTTAAAACTGCTCAACTTCAGTAAATGCTATCTATTTTAAGTGAGGCAATTCATACTTTTCTATCAATTGTTTTACATGATTACAACGAAAAATATCATTATAGAAAGACAAAAGATTAAGACCTATTGTGTACACACATTTTAACTTTCTTTAAGAGATCATGAGATAGCGATGCACCAGTCGAAGACCAATACGAAATTCTGCAGTAATAATTACTGTTGCGACTCTGAAAGCAGGTGAAACAAGGCAAATAACTATCGAACACAAAACAATAACAATGTCTTAACGTCTCGATGAAAATGGATCATCGTGTTCGTAATTGTCAAAGCTTTCCAAGAGGCTTCTGAATGTTTCCTATACATCTGTCAATTGTTAGTTTCCTAGAAAACTGCAACATCTTTGACTATTTAAAAGATTTTTTGGAATTAACAAGATGCAGAAATAATTTTGTCTGCATTTTCACTGATTTCAACTCAGAATTCAAAAAACTAGGGATATTTCTGGTTAACTATATATTGATTAAAATTAAAATTTGTCAGTTATTTGAATAATCAAGGGACAGTTATCTATTAGTTCCGATACAACGCTTTTTCAAGAAACCAATTGTTTGCAATAGGACAAGGACTTTGTGAGAAAAATGATATGGTTTCATGTATTTACAATGGAATTTAAAAAACAAATTCTTTTTCGTTTATACTGGAGAAATGTTGGTTTCGATTATAACTATTTCTTTGATTCTATTTTTACGTTGTCATTTTCTTTTTCTATTTCTGTATATTCACATAGAAAAGTTATTGAACTCTGCTAATTTACATGAAATAAATTTGCGATAAAAATTGTGTAATCAAAAACGTACAGATGCCTAAAGGTTGAGAGTAAGTCAGCATGGAAACGGAAACTGTAATTAGAGAAATGTTTATTAAAAGACTTACTTGAACCCTAACTATCTCCCGCAATGGGTCGATGTGATTAAAAACACGATAATAGATGAGTCGGTTTTCTTAGGCTCGGGTAAATCCAAGTCAAATATTCATTGTCAAGTTACAAGGAGAGTAGCTAGAGAAAACACAGACAACATTGAAAACAATTGTGCATGCACTCAATGTTATTGTAAGTAAACACTAATATCTCTGAAGTTGTCTAAAATCATTTTAAAAATTTTACAGAATTGGGATTGATGTTTTTTCCAGTAACAATACTAATCTTGTAAATTGTATATGAAAAGACTTATTTCAGCTGTGAAAGAGAATTGTTACTAAAACAACTCAAACTCATTCTTTGATGTTATAAAAATGAAGTGGATATTCGACGAATGAATCACTCTTGCTTGTGTTTAGTACTCATCTATGAAAACTATTGGTCTTCACTATCATTTTGTCCTTCATATCGACGTTGTTTATAAGAATAGATAAGAAAAACAAAAAAAAAACTCTTGACATCATCTGCTATCTTTGTTTAATTTTTTTTCTATATTTAAATATTCTCTTTCACATTTTCTGTTTGTTATTTGCTGTATTATTCATTTCATCGATTATAAACAGAAAAAGTTAATCACAGATTGTCTTTTCATGTGATACCGTAAAGTAAAACTATCATGCAAATCTTATTTATTAAAGTGAGTTGATCCACTATAAATTGTTCTCGGCTACATCATGCGATGAGTACGAAGAACAAAGGATCATAAGTAGAATTGAAATGTGTACAAAATACATGAATACGACTTGAATAGTTCTTTTTTTTTTACATCGTGTCTTTTAATTTTATAGTGACTGGATAAAATTTCACTTTTTTGAATATTTCACTCGCAGTTAACAACTACAGTGATGTTATCGTATGGTGTTTATGTAGCAATTTTATTCAGTTCAGTTTTCATCATCGTCTTAGTTGCATTTGTTATTCTATTTAAACTATCGCTTCAACGACTTGTTATATTACTTGAATCAGTATTTCGATTTAAACAAGTACGTAATATTGGTAACGACTATATTGTCATTGATGTATGTGGTGATCAATTTGAAATATCCAAGACAATATCTACTCGTCTTCCTTTTGTGTTTGCACTTGGTACATGTCTATTAGTTACTATTCTAGTATTTATGGAAGGATGTATCTTTTCAACACGACATGTGTATTCCACAAAAGCATGTTCAGATCGAATACCAAATTGTTATTTATTTAAATCACATTTTACATCATTTAGACCATTGTATGAATTTATTTGTGAACCAAATAAACCGGTCATTCCATCCAATATGTCTGCAAGTTATGCTGTATGTTATGGTTTTGTTCTTCCTGATCAATCAACAATTGATATTCTCAATCAACTTGGTGTTTGTACAGGTATTCTATCATTGGTTGAATATCTTTATCCACTTGCTTACAAATTTGGACGTCAAAAGTATGGATGGATTTGTCTCATATTTCTTTTTGGTGCATTTGTGATCACAGAAATTATTATTCTGGCAATACAAGTGAATATATCATTTATGACAATCATTTTACTAACATTAACAGCAGTTTTGCTAATCAGCATTTTTATTTTGCATTACAGAAATGTAAAATATCCTGCTAATCTAAATCGCGTAGGATCTTACATAGAAATGAAAGATATCAACTAAATTGGATTAACAACCTGTATCTGATTGTTGAGTTTCTATGGCTTGAAAAAAAACCCGTTGACATTTGCTATATTATATATTAACTATTAATGACAGATCAATGTACATTGGAGATGTCGATCGACTTTGTTTATATTTCAATTCTTTTCTTTTGTCTTCATACGTATTATATAATGGCACATCACTTATGTAGGTGTGTGTTTTCAAATAATTATCAGTAGCTTTCTTTTTGAGATATTTCTTATTGATTTCAGCAGATGAATATTTTTTTATTTCAATGTCAAGTTGATTCTAATCAGTAATAAACTTTTCGTTCAACAATTCTTTTATCGAGCAAGTATTCAAAATTCAATTTTGGTTTCTAATACATCATCATATATTGAAATCTAAAGAGAAATGTTCGTCAGTTACTATTGTATACGAGAGACTTATAAAAGTAGATGTTGAATTTATTATCGACTAGAATATTATAGTATTATTTTCAATAAACTTATTCTTATATAAGTTTATGCTTTTTTAGAAGATGATAAACTATTCATTCATATGCCAAATAGTATCGTGTAACTCATAAAATACTGTTCATTTCTTTTTATCTAGCATAGCTGTGTAATACATAATGCATAACAGACCAACTGTGTAGTAGACTGGTTTTTGTAGCAAGCTTTTTATATGCTGTTTCATCCCATTTATAAAATAAATTATTCATTTAACAGATAATCACTAGGAAGATTCTTTGGTTTGACCTTCGACCTTGTTGCAATCTTTGCTCACTTCATTTATCCGATCATGATGAAAAATAAGCTAAACAAGTTGATTTCTGGCATCATACTTTTTGTCATGCAATTGTAGATAAATAGATCGAACATACCGAGAGAATGACTACGAGGACCAACTCTTTTTTTATCCAGATCATTTTCTGCTATCTACAAAAGATTAGTCATCTTCATACATTCTGCTTACGATAGATTTATTATTCAAGCGAGAATGCAGCTTCCTTGTTAGAAATCTCATCAAATACTATTCATACAATACCTATCAGTTGCATTAAATACGATTCATCTAAAATATTTTTGCCAATTTCATTCAATGTTTACTAGGCCTTCTATCACTCACGTTCAAACAAAAATGAATGTAAGCAAATTATTAGCATTTTATATGTTTCAAACCTTGAAACATTGTCAAATTAGAATATACTCGATTTATAAATCTTCAATAATACAATTTAAATATTTTCTCTCAATCATTTCTTGTCTTACCCATATTCGAATTTGCTTTAATAATGAAATTTTTGCAAAATTCACATTTCTTAATTGTCTATTTATGACGATCTATTCTAACAATAGTACTCTCGAATTAAATATTATTCAATCACTTCCACCATGATTTTTTTCGTTTCAATATAGAATTATTAATTATATCTATTAGAATCGTCATAGTTGTGATATCGATGACAAGCTAAATTTGTTTTATTAAGAGGTTTTTATTAAACATTGACATGAAATATAACAAGTTTTCTAGGACCAAACAACATTCATTCTGACTTCGATTGAAAAGACTTATCAAAAAGATCAAAGAATTACAAAATATAATCATAAGAATTTATTTTCGTCACTTTGATAGCAGGAGAAAGAATAAATGAATTCACATCGATTTATGAAATAATATCCATCATTGTCAGCGCAATGTAGCAGAACTTTTATAACTGATGTTGTTACATTTGGAGAAATTGGCATTCCGAGCAATGAAATTGGATATTCTTTGAGCGAATGAGATTTCTTTTTCTTGATATGAATCTCAAGACTTTCCGATTCGAGCCGAAAGTTCTGCAAGGCTTTCAGCTCGGTCTTAAAGAAATCCACTACCTCAGGAAATCCATAAAAAAAATCGAAGTTGAGTTTCTATTATAGGAACATGCAGTGAAGCTTCCTCTCTGAGAATATATATGACTTTTTGAAAAAAGACCAAATTTCAATAAACATTCAGAAGAAATTTTTATCCTACTACCCTATTTTTCGAGAAATTCTCGTGATTTTTTCAAAGTTTTCGGAAGATTGTCTTTTTGCGTACTTTTAAAAATTCCATTTTAATATGCCCTGTTTTCTGAATTTAAATGAAAAAATCCATGTCTAAACTTATTTATCTTTTTTCTCAGAATATGATTTCCAATCACAAAAAATTGAAATGATTCCCATCTGGCTGAAGAAAAAAACCGATATTTATTTTTTTTGTGTTTTAAAGATCTAAATGAGAGTAAACTTTTGTCCAACCATCTTTTTTATAGTTGATATCTGTGTTGAGTGAGACAAGCAAGATTTAGTATCGTGAAGTGACATCTTTTTTGCTTATTTTAACATTGTATGTACTAAAATAATCATAAAAAAATGAATGAAAGCGAATTTCAAATTTCTCTTCGAATAAAAACTGCGCACAGATATTGGCTTTAATTTGAAACCATCCTGAACTCTGCACCTCTTGTAATTACGCAATTATAAAGTTTCTTCTCAAGGCCATAAATGGACTATGAATAAGTCAGAAGGTTGATCTAGTTTGACATATCGGATTGACATTTTTACCAGGAATGTTTCTTCCTAGGGCCATTCATTCATGAAAATTTCAACCCAAATGGATCAGCCTAAGTTGAAAACCTATCGTGAGAGGGGAGGTGTTAATTAGATCTCATTAACCCCTATGAAAAGCCTTATTTCTTTAATTACTTGCTACATTTCCTATACTGCTGAGCACTACGAAATGTAGCTATTAATTAAAGAAATAAGGCTTTTCATAGGGGTTCATGAGATCAATAAAACCCGAATCAAAAATTCTTTTGACCGATATTCTGGCCTCATCAAATTTATTCGATTGTTTTCTATAAAATAGTACATTAATACATTTATTCTTGCTCAAGTAATGTTAATATTAAAATGAGTTAGCACTAAATATTACAGCACAACAAAAACAAAGTCGTAGAGATACGACGAAAGACTCTATATCTTGATTTATATTTCTAATGAGTCATGAAGTTATGAGACGTGCATAAAAAAATGTCTTTATTATTTCGAAACAAATATCGAAGTTTCAAGATAAACTCTATCTTCTAATAGATCTATCGCATTTGTTCAATGATTTGATGTGAAAACTTTTAGCTGTGCGACAAAAATCAATTTAGTTCGACCTTATTAATAAAACTAACGAACTTGCAAAGTTTGAAAATAACAATTCGAAAAGCTATGTTTTATTGTCGAATCTTTTCGTCTTATAAATTCATCTATGTCATAACAATATTACGTAGGATAAATGAAGTTTACATGAATAATATTGTCTTGTGCTCATATATAATTTTCTGAAGTGTTTCTTTTTTATTTCATATTCTGTTTCTTCGTCAAATGCAAATTTATCACGTGTATACCTTGATTTTTTTATGTTGATAAAAACACACTGATAAACTATTTTCTTGTCTCAACGAAAAACATAGTCTCTTTTTCTTTTTCTTTTACAAAAACAGTGTGAGTTTTTATTTCTTTTCCTTTTTTTTTTGAAAAAAAATAAAAGAAAAAAGTCAAAATATTAAACAACATTTAACCAATCAAAGTATTCATATTTTGTTTTCTGTTTTTACCCATAGGGCAAAGTTTGACAAGAGTTTTTTGTTTATAACAGCATCACGCTTACAGTAATATATTTTGCTTTTTTATCAATAAACTGCGATGTCACAACCGACGACAACAGAATCCACTGTCGAATATGAAACAACAACTTTTACATTAAAAACGGATAATCTTGGTCCAAATAAAGCTACTTTATTACATGCTAGAACAACAAAGAATGATAATCAATTTTATAAAGCTGTTCTTTATATACATGGATATTCTGATTATTTTTTTCAGTCAGTAATAGATATTCTATTTTATTGAAATTCTATTTTGATATTTTTCTAGTGATCATGTATGTATACAATTTTTGGCACATGGTTACGATTTCTTTGCATTAGATTTGCGTAAATGTGGTCGATCAATTATTTCACCAGAACAAGATCAATATAGACATTATTGTAATGATCTTCATGAATATGATGAAGAAATTACACTTTCAATTGAACATATAATTAAAGAAGCAAAGACTAAAATTAAAAAATTGATTCTTCTTGGACATTCAGCAGGTAAATATTAACTATGAAAGTAAAATAATATAAATATTTTTTACATAATAAATAGGTGGTCTTATTACCAGTTTATATACATCATCGGGCTTTAAATGTCAGGATATTGATGCAGTTATTCTCAATAGTCCTTACTTAGCTCAATTAGAAACCTCTTTATCAGAATCAGTATTACAAAGTTTAGTGATGAATTTTGGTTTATCTGCAGATATAGATGATCAGTAATATTTAATATACAAAAAAGAAACCTATCAGATAAGTATAAAAATATTATTTATTATTGTAGTTGGTATGGTCGATCAATACATGTCTCTAACAAAGGTGAATGGAATTTTGATTTAAATAAAAAACCAATTGATAAAATTCGAGCACATGGTGCTACTTTTTATGCTGCACGCTCAGCTCAAGAAGAACTTATGAGAAAAGGTTCTTGTATAAAATGTCCTGTTCTATTCATGTGTTCAAATCGTTCAATAAAACCAGATAGAACTTGGCGTGATGAATATGAACAAAGTAAAATAATCTTCTTCATTATTTTTTTCTTATGAGAATAATTCTATAAAAATTTTTTTTTTGTCTTAATTAGCCGATCTTATACTTAATGTAACAGCAATGCGACGTGCTGCATCTACTATTGCTCAACAAATAACAATCTATGAAATTGAAAATGCAAAACATGATATATTTCTATCACAATCATCAGTTCGTGAAAAAGCATTTAATTTAATGTTTCAATGGCTTAAACATCTTGAAGATGATTGGATGATATCCATGCAAACTTAAGAAACACATTTTATTTATTTATTTATTTTTTTTAATACAATATATAACAAATAACAACATAATACATCAATCGAGTACACCAAATAAACGTACACTTCCTGAGTCATCATCTTGAACATAAGCAAGAATGGATGCTTTTGGATGCCAAGCGACTGCTAATGTTTGTGCATCACATTTTAATGCATAAACACGTTCACCTAAAAAACATATTCATAATTTTCAAAGAAAAAAAGAAAAAGAAAAAAAATATATACCAGTATCGACTTTAGCAATTTCTATATAAGGATCTTCGGAAGCTAATGCAAGTAATTGTGATTGACAACCAAAACTAAGACCACGTACAGCCCATTCAATTCTATAATGAAAATAATTGATAAATTTATTGTGTATGTGTATAAATAAAAACTAACCTTGTAAGTACAGTAAGACAAACAAGTTGAGCAACATCCCATATTGATGCTGATGCATCAGCAGCACCAACTGCAAAATATTTTCCTGTTGTATCAAATTCTAGACAAATACAATTGCCTGTATGTGCTGTTAAACAATGTAATTCTTCTAAAGGTTTATCTTTTTCTTTTTGAATACCAGGTGCACTAAATAGAAAATAAAATATTTTAATCAAAAAATCTCATATGATGATCGTGTTAGAACTAACTCGAAAAAAACAACTGAACCATGCCCAGTAGTAACAGCAAATAGACTACCTGTTCGATCCCATGATATTTCATTAACTTCATAACGAAATTGTTCTTCACGTATTATTCTACAAACGAAGAAAAAAACAAAGTTTTTTCGTATTTTTTTTTTTGCAAAATAATTATAACAAAAACTAACCTTGACGTTTTAACATCGATAAATGTTATGAGATCATCTTTATTACCAACAGCTAATGTTGTACCATCAGGTGACCAAGCTAGATTAATATTTTCTCCTGAAGAAACACGAAATAATTAATGTATGAGATAATATAGAGTTCAAAACAAAAAATTTAAATCTTTATTTCTCACCTTTTGTTTCTATTGTTGTGCTAGAACGATCTGTTCTTGTATCAAATATTTTAACTAGTCGATCTCCACTTGCTGTTGCTACATAATGTGAAACAGATGGATGCCATGCAAGTTGATTTATTTCTTCTCCATGTTCACGATAAGTTCGATCTTTTACCTATTAAAGATATATGTATGCATCTGTGAGAGACAAAATTGGAATTCTAATTTTGACGAGACAAAATTAGAATTCGACTATTGTTCATTTCATAGTTAAATGGATGCGGGTATTTTTTGAGTAACTTCGAATTGGCTAATGTTATCGAACTTGGGATTTCGGTATTGTAAAGAGTGAGCTCTGGGGCGTCTATTCATATAACACTCGTTAGGGTCAAAGATGTTCTCCATGGTTGTTGTTTGTACACCAATATGTTTTTCGTTCTCTATTTTCATGATAAATTATACCAAATTGTAATCCTAATTGCCTTGTATATATAGTAAAACTTTCACATCTTTATAGTATCTTTTTCTTCGATGAGATCATTTTACAATGTGATAATTTTACCGCATATACAAGGCAATTCAGGCTGCAATTTAGTATTATTTATCATGAAAATAGAAAACGAAAAACATATTGGTGTACAAATAACCATGGAAAACATCTTTGACTCTAACGAATGTTATGTAGATAGACGATCTAGAGATTGATAACATTAGTCTTTTAAAAGTTATTCAAAAAATGCCCGTATTCATTTAACTCTGAAATGGATAATAGAGATACGTTCATATAGTCAAACAGTTTTAGTAACATCTTATGATCAAATTTTGATTTGAATCTTTATCACATAAAGTTCTGTCTTGAATTAGATTGTATACGAACTTTCATCGTCTTGACACCATCACCTCTTTATACTTTTAAATTTTACTTGTGAAAAATTATTGATTCAGTTTAGACATTCAAATTTGATTCTTTTTTTTTTGTAGGTAATTTTTCTTACAATCTGTTTATCCTTATGTGCACACAAAAAAATTAGAAATATGGATTGATAAACTATGCTTGATAACTTGTACTCGTACAGTAAATTATTATTTTTACATATTTTTCATCAGCATTCTTTACCACGTATATATGTTATCTGAATTCCTTACCTACCATAGAACCTTTTCCATCATATGCAAATATGACAACACTTTTATCTAAAGATCCACTTGCTAAACGACTTCCATCAACATTCCAATCTATTGTATGAACTTTTCCACTATCTGTTCGATAGCTTTTATTTTTTGTATTTCCATTAAATAAAGATTGAAATGTTTCCAATGTTGTTGCCATCTACAGATGAAAACAAACAAACAAACAAAAAAATCCTGTTTTTTTGATTTTAAACAATTATCATGTGCTTAATTTTTTTTTTAAGCGAAGCATACATAGAAAAAAAGTCAAATTGATAATGAACACAGACGAAAAACAAAAGAGAAGGATAGTCTGAACAAAATAACACGCATTACACACACACAGAAAAAAATTATACACACCTTTTTTTTTTCTTAATGTCAATAGTATGAAAAACTATGTCACTAGTGTGCGAATTAGAACAGCAAACACAAAGAAGCTTTTATTGTCTTTTTTCGTTTTTTTTTTTGTAAAGAAGTTCTGATATAATCTTTTAATTTTGATCACCACTATCATTATTTGAATGATCAGATTCATTTCCATGTTTATCATCTATTTCTTCATCAGGTGAACTGCGCCGAGTAGATTTTTTCTTTTCACTACTATTACTTTCATTATCACTTCCATCACTCTCATCATCATTAGATTTACGACGTGATGATCTCTAAAAAAAACAGGAAAAAGGATTTTAGGAAAACAAACAAAACGCTTTTTTTTTGTTCTATTCTTACTCGTCGATCACTTTCATCACCACTTTTATTATCATTTTCAGCATCATTTTCACGACCGCTACTATTCTGACGTTCACGTCTTGCTGGTGATGATGAACCTTCTTTTGAATGATTTGATGCATGATCATCACCATTATCATTATCTTTTGATTCGGAACGTGATGAACGACGTTTAGAACGGCCACTTTTTTTTTCACTTGATTTTGATTTTGATCGACGACGTTTACCACTTGAACCACCACGAGATCGTTTTTTATCTCGTTCACGACTTGAATCATCTGAATCACTTCGATCACGTGAACGACTAAAACAAAAAAAAACAAAAAGATATGTTTGATAAACTATTGCTTTGATTTGCCAAAATTTACTGATTCTTTCGTCTGGATGAACGTTCACGACTACTTTCACGACTAGAATCACTTCTACTACGTCGTCGACGAGATGATCTAAAAGAATATTCCAATATTAAGAAGAAAAAAAAAACTTGTGAATGTTACATACTTTTTTTTTGTTGAACGTTCTCGGCTACTACTACGAGAACGTGAACGACTAAAAAAACAAGACTATGATATAATTTATATTCTAAACGAATTGAAATTTACCGATCGCGTGAACGACGATGTGGACGTCTAAATAATATCATAATTAGCACATAGAAGAATATACGCGAAACTATTTTGAAAATCTTACCTTCGATCCTCGTCTCGACCATTTCCATAACTTTCATGATGATCATCACTAAAGTAGATAAGAATTATTTAATAGCTTATTTCAAAAAACAATAAAAATTCTACTTACTCTGCACCACGATAACCGCCATATGATGGTCCACCCCGATAATTTGCTGAACGAGCTTTTGCATGTTCAACTCGAACACGTTGACCACACACGACGCTGAATAGAAACAAAATACATTTCAAAACATCTTTATGTTATAACACATACCGTCCATCCATATCTAAACAAATCAATTAACAATAAAAGAATTTCGTTTTTAAATACAAAAATATTCAAACTTACTTCGTACAGCTGTATCTGCATCTTCACCATATTTGTAAAGTACAAATGCAAATCCTGGTGGATTGCTAAAATAATATTAAAATAAATCTAATTTCTCAACAGAATAAAAATAAAAAATAAAAACAATGAAATATAAGCACACAAAATAAGAAAACACAAAACTCATATAACTATTATTCATTGTTAATCTTTCTCATTTCTTCTTCTTTTTTTTTTTTATTATAATCTTACATGAATAACTTACCTTATGATTTCTTATTTATTAACTTTTTTCTTTTTTTATATATCAAAAGTGAATATAAACATTTTGCTGATGAAGGATGTTGTTTTGATGTCTGTAGGTGCAGGAAAGGAAGATTTAGGAGAGAAGGAGCGCATGAGATGAGAAGAGAAGAGATGATATGTCGTAGGAAGACGACGGGTGCATAAATTTGGCGCGAGCGGTTGTTGCGACGCGCAGAAGAACACAAAAATACGATATTCTTATGTATAGATGATAGACGATTTGACAAATGTGTATAATCATGCTGCTCTTTTTTTTGTAATCACCAGACATAAACCATTAGCAGCAACTGAAAGATGGATGATTAAATTTCATTATTTCATTGACTCGGGAGAATTTTTTATTTTAAATGATTTTTTTTTTATATTTCATTTACATACCTCATTTTTCTTTCAAAAGTCAAAAAAATTTTTCAAAATCAATCAATATGAATTAAAATTTATATTAATTTTTCCTTTTTTTCTTTTTTGTTTTACTTACCGAGCTACCCAACAATCAACTAATGGACCATAACGTTCACATTCATGTTGAAGTTCAGAAATATTTGTACGTGCACCTAAATTACCAATAAAAACACGGAATCCACCTAAATCAAAAAAAAAATAAATAAAATTTTGAAATCATAGATTTAATTTTTTTTCAAACCTTGTCTTTGATCATAGATCGGTTGAGTCATTATTTCTTTGACTATAATCTGAAAACAATTACGAAAAGAAATGAATTGCGTATATACAAATATCAACCATCATTCTATTTCATTCACAAAATCCCCCATATGATTAATGATATTTTTCAATCATATAATCATACATAAAAAAAAAACAACAACAACATTTACTTTTTTTTTAATAATCTAATCTTCTCAGAAACAAAACAAAACAAAACAAAAGTTTCACAATATATAGATGACGCTAATATCTGAATAAAGTTCACATTCATCTCTCCGAACAAGAAATTCTAGATGAGAAAAACAAAAAACAATTGACCTTCAAATAATAATAATGATATGACAGGAGAAAGAAAAAGAAACTCTAATGACAACTAATATATCTAGAATATGTAAAAAACAAAAAAAAAGGTTCTTCTTTTTTTAAATTTTATTCTTGTTTTAATGGTTGATTAAAGGGTAGTGTACGATCATCAAATTTTCTCGAACCACCACCATTTAAATATATATCAGAATCAAGGGTTTTACCACTATCATTAGTATTTCCCATTGCTGCGACAATAACAACAGCATTTTCACGTGTGACAAATCGATCCCACATAATTCCCAAAAGTTCACCTAAAATCAAACAAAAAAGATTTGAAAAGATTTTGCTTTTTTTTTTTGCACTAACCAGCTACAACTGGATTTGTATTTTTAGCAACAAGACGAAGAAAAAGTATTCCATCACCACCAAGATAACGATCAGCAAATGAATCAAATAAACGTTTTTCATGTTGTGTCATAGCTAATTCTCGATTAATACGTAAATGTTTCTTTAAAAAACTACGACGACCACGATAACTCATTTGTCCAAGCCAAACAATAATACCATAAAATGTTGCACATGTCAAAAATATTAACCAAAACCAATAAAATGCAAATATACGTTCATTATAAAGATTAACAGGTAATGTACATTGAACCTAATAAATAAATAGTTCATAGATTAATAGAATTAAATAGTTTTTTTTGTACCGTATAATTCAAATTATTATCTCCTAAATATCGAATAGCAAAATCACAATAGACAATACGTGGAAAATATATTTTATTTTCTATCCAATCACGTCCAGAAAAAACACCATAAAGAACTTTTTGTCCATATGACCAATAATCAATATTAAGGAAATAATTCATTATGAAAAATTGTCCAACAGCATTAATTAAATAGAAAATTTTAATTAAAAAATAAATTCCTATAATCACAAAAATAAATTTTAATATATAGAATCGATTCGGCTCAGTTCCATCTCTAATTCATATTTACCTGTTAATACTCCACGACCAGCAAAAAACATACATGCTGACATAGTTCGTTTACATAGATTATCTGTCATACGTGTATTTGCTTTTGAATATTGTTCAACTTTCTCATAATGTTTTGCCATTATTGTTAAATTTGAACGACGATCGTCAGGATTTGATAATTTCATTTTTCCTAATTGATTTATCATAGCTGGAACATCAAATGTTGCACGATGACCAATAACATGCCATAACCATGCTGGTAAATATGTACATAATGCAGCAGCAATAAATATATATGGAATCCAAATATAATAAGGAGTTTTATGTGAACCATTAGCACCACGAACAAAATCACGTGTTAATGCCGTTTTATCATCAACTTAACGAAAAAAAAAAACAAACAAAACTAATTTTAACAAAAAAGTAATATAATAAAAGATTATTTATTATTTACCAGAATATGTATAATGAATCCAACAAAAATTTTCTACATATGTTTTATGATTTCCTCCAAAATCAGATGGTGGAATGCATTCAATAGGTGTACCTAAAAAAAAAATAAAAAAGTTTTTTTTTAAATCATAGAATATACAAACTTACCAACAAATTGTTTAGCACTTATAGCAATAATAAAAACGCCAAGTAAAATTACTGTCCAACGATGACTATATCGATCATAGACATCATCATCCTATAGAATAAGAATTAATTAAAATAGGAAATATTTATTATAAAAAAAACTTACATTTCGACCGCTTTGACCAACTTTTCCATAAACACCGATCTATATTTTCAAAAAAAAATAGAGTTTTAATTCATAATTCATATTAAATTAATCTACTTACTAAATCGTATAGCATAATTCTTTTTATCTATTATCTAAAAAGAAAATGAGTTTGTCTAAAATGGCAATGCGTTCAAATAAAATAGACGCACATGTATAATACAGGTCAGCAATCCTCTTCCTCTTCTCTCATATTCTTTTTTTTTTTTTTTTGTGTGCCTGTCCCTATGGAGAAAGCAAAGAGTGAGTGAACAGGACGGTCGGAGAGAGAGAGACAGACGAATCAACTGTTCGCATACACACACACACACACACACACACACACACACACTCTTGTTCGTTCTTTTTTTCTTCTTATTTCTCAAATGACCCGAAGGAAGAACAAGAAAAATAGATGGACGTATACTATACATATATGCAAATATAATATATCTATTACAACTGGTCTTATATCAACGATACGTGCCAACACAAGAATTGGCGGTAAAATAGTGCGATGGCGCGAACATGGTATGTCGAAGGAGGAGAAAAACAATGACATAAATATGTAAAATGATAAAATTGGTATTTTAAGATTGATAACAATTATTCACTTAGTTGAATGTGTCCTTGAAAAAATGAATTCTGTTTTAGAGACAATTAGATGAACATGAATTATATTCGAAGACATCTCTCCAGATGAAAACCATTTTCTATTCAATGATAAATATAATATTACACAATTTATTATGCCATTTAATTTTCTTTCTACTGTATCATCTTATTAAAACAATGCGTGTAATATGATATATGCTAATCTAAATTCCATTATCAAACAAAATAATGCAATACTAAATATATTTATTCTTCATTGTTGTACAAGAATTTATTCAAATATTGGTTCGTTTTTAATAATCGATAACTCATAGGTTTTCAGAAATATACACAGTATATCTAGAATATTAAACTTGATTTCACAATTTGAATATTTTCTAGTTAATAAACTATTAAGATAATTTCTTTGTTGACATGTGTCAACAAAAAACATATACAAATTTCAGTAAAATATTATCACTACTTGAAATATTTAACTTTAGAAATTTCCAAAAACAAAAGAAACATAATCATTCATAAAAGCTTTCTACTATCTGTCATGAGCAATAAAAAACAAATCGATTGCTTATTTCCGTTATCTCATGATGAGCTATGATGCGCTAGCTGCAGGCAATATATTTTTCATGTACTTGTTGCAGCTGTGAATGCTCGACATTTTGATTGACTTGTATATTTGACCGAACAATACTTGTATCGCGGTCATCATGTAGATGATTTTGTAAGGGTACTGATTTTATTTTCGATTTTGTTTTGAAAATTCAGATGTGCTCAGCAAATGCTACAGCTATTTGTATCACGAAAGTAGATTTATAGCTCATGATTCTTTATATATCTTAAGTTGATGTTTATGTAATAATAATTGACTATTAGTCTCACTTGATCTATCATCGTTTAAGAAAAAAAAAACCTCTTTTGACAGTTAGTCGATTATTTGTATGTATTTATTTGATTGATCTACTGTATGCTGACTATTACATCGATAAGATGACATTGTATCATGAAGTTAGATGAGTTGATACATACGATGCATGAAATGATATGTAGGTACGTGTAACAATATTTTTTTCACTAAAAACAAAAATAGAACATGTTATAAAAAGAAGAATAGATGATAAAGATATCTTTAATCATGTTCATGAGAAAATAAAATGACGAGAGATAGAACAAAAGAGTTAACATGATCTTATAAAGTTGTTTGCAGTTATACTTATTGTAGACACATAGATATATATATAAAACCATGCCATCATTCTTTTGTTTATAAAAATCATCATATATCAGCAGGAGCTATAAAAGTGTGAGTACAGACGGATGAATACCTTTTTCTAATAATATAACAAGGTCACTTTGTTTTCCAATGATCAGAGTATATTTTGTTCATATCATCCTTTTTTTTTCATCTGTGAAATTTAGCTAAAAATACCTAATGATTCTTTATACAGACAAGTGTTTATTTTCTGTAAAAACTCAAGATTTGCTTGTGCTAATAATTATCTGATAAACAATTTCTAAAGAACGATCTATTATAATATCAATAAATTGAAACAAGTTACTGTTGATCGAGATATTTAATCCAACAGTTAAAATATTTATGTAGAAAATATCAAAAAAAAAAAAAATTATGCGAAGATGCTCTTGAGAATGAATGAATATTCAGATAATAATCTATCATAGATGTCTCATAATGTCAGTCATCAAAAGAATAACTTAATCTTAGTAATGATTTCTTGATTATCGCAAGATAATAATCTAAAAATTGTCATTAGTAATATGAGACAATCCATTATTAGTTAATATTTTTGATGTCAGTCCTATAAAAGAACATTCAATTGATCGTAGAACATCATATTGATAAAAATAAATATGAAAATTAATGAACTCGAACCTGCTTACATAGTTGGAAATGTTTGATATGTCGGAATTTGTCTTTATAAATCACTATTTTTGTTCGAATATCTGAGCATCATATTGATAACTGATTTAACCATCTACTCGATTTTTAATTCGTTCTATAATGTTGATTAGTTCCGTAATAAAATGAAGTTTTAAAAGATAGAACCAAGCAAGCATTTCAAGAAACATGGAAAATCTAGCAACGATCTTTTGCAATATTTTCTTTTAATTCGATCACATACTACAGTAAAGATGTCCTGAATGATACTTCTTTTTTTCCTATCAGACGATGCACGTTCGCTTTTGATTGAATCCCAACTGACAAGTCGAAAAGAACGAATAGGCGAAACATTATGAAATCGCGATAGATTCTGTAATATTTCAAGAATTATTCGATTGATGACAATGAATAAGGATCTAAAATAACTCAAGTAGATTTTCTCAAGATACATTAGAGTTTAAAAGAATTTATCGAGTGGATTGACGGATAACGGTGAAAACGTGTTGGCAGATAGCTTATTTGAATTACTTTAACCGTTTTTGTTTCTTGTCACATCAGGTCAACGTAAACTTTAGTATCTACACTCATTAGTTGAGCAACCAAACTAAGTAGCTCAATATAGCAACAACGGTGGACATAGAATTCTTATTCTTCGATATATTTTCGGTTTATTTGTAATTCTAATCGAACATTTCTGATGGTATTGATGAAGATGGAGCGTTTATCATGGCAGTCATATTGAATCATTGTTCACGTTCTCAAGAAATGACTATAAATACTAGAATTGAAGAAAGTTGAACTTATCTGATAAGAAATAGTAACAAAATCAAGTCTTTACATAAGTCATCAGCGGACATCTTTTTATTCAATTTCTTCCGATTAACCCTTGATGAAGTTTGACTAAGATAGAACAGGGTCTTCAGTGATATAGAATAATTTGAGAAAATGAAAAAAGAAACTCATTAGTTGTTGAAGATTCATGAATTACAAATATACTGGACGAATGTCGTGATAATCATTGCATATGATTGTTATCGTTCATACTTGTCGAGTCCAACATTGTGTGTAAACAACTGTTTCGAAAATATATTGTTCTCTTTCAATGTTAAGAAAAATAGAATTAAACTCTTCAAAGATAATAACAAGATTCTGCCTCGTGATGAAATCAATTAGATGCTGTTGAATTGCAGTGGATTTCAATGAATTTATTTTAGAGTTTGTTGGAATTTATCTAAGGCCTAGTATTTTGGATTCATTATCTTATCAAATAGAATACAACGAAAGAGATTTTATTCAGGACTATCGTGGGACAGGATGCAGCGAAGTTAGCTTTCTGGTAAAGTGATTTTATCTTTCCATTTCATTCGGCAGTGTATCATGTATCGATCTCTTACTGGATCAACAACTATTTGTGCAGGGTGTGAGTATGGATGTCAGTCTTGAATCCATCTACACCCGCACCCGCACCCTCATTAAAAAGAAAAACTATATTCTTTCATTTTATTGTCTCTTTTGTCCGCTTCAAACAAAGGATGTGATTTCAAACGGTACAGAGTAAGTTGATTTGTTGCTTTCATTATATTACTCTTTAATAATAGAATAATTAAAAATTCTTTTTTACTGTTGATAAAAAATAAAAATGAAACAATGGAATCAAAATTTTCAACTATCAATTTCCTCAATTATTGTTGTTATTCATACAATTAGTAGTCCACGCTATTACAATTCGAGGATAAGGAAATCCAGCTACGTCATCTAATAGTACAAATTTCATTCGTGAACATTATGCCAGTAAAAGTTTATTAGGTTTTAGTTTGTGTACATTGCTAAATACTATTCATCGAGTAGTTAAACAAAAATATATTGATGGTTAATACTACTCTTCTTTCTTAATATTTATAGAGAATATGTTCTCTCAAAACATATTCAACAAAAAAATTCTTACAGAACTTTTCATTGTAAATGTTGAAATGGTTAATATAAACCTCGACGCAAAAGTCAAAGTATGGCTTATGACAAGTTCCAATATTTTAAAACATGTTAATAATAATATTATAAATGAATTTTATCATGGTTGATTGGCAGTATTCTGATGAGACTCTGTCTTTTGAATAATATTTCTTCTATATGAATAAATTGACAAAAATCAAATTTTACGAATATGAACAAACTGATAATTAGATTGATTTAGGTTTATTTATTGGTTGATATAATTGTTGTTCGTGTCGACACTACTGCGATAATGCTATCTGATAATGCAAAAAAGCAAAAACAATTCTTTTTGTTAAGATCATAAATTCATAATTGATATTTTTGAAAGAACATTCGAAAGTGAGAGAATTTTTTCGATTTGATGTCAGATGGAAAATTTATTTTGTTCAATATGCAATTGTAGTTATATTTACAGTCAGTGTACTTGATAAATTAGAACAAAAATTCAAAACTGTTCTACAAATAAATAAATAGATCAATTAAGAAAACAGTAGAAATAAATTCTTGTTATTACGTATCATAATGAAATAATACTTAAGTTTTCTTTTAAATTCAATAGAAGCACTGAGGGTTAATACATGTGTGTTATTAGCAGCTGTCTACTGGCGTTATCTATATCAAATTAAATTTTGAGAAATTTCACAAAATATACATTCTCATGGTAAAAAATTAGTAGCTTTGATGGGCGCAATTGTTAAATATCATTTTCGTATTGATGATACAAAAATAATACATGCATGCATGCATTCAAGCATGGAACATTTTATTCCTGACAAAGAAATCCAATTAAAAATTTCCTGATAGTATTATGATGATGATTCACTGAAGCATTCATTGAAAAATAAAAAAGCTGTTTTCATTAAGAAGCAATTCCTATACTAAGAAAAAATTAAAGTTTTTTTTTTCTTCTAATTCTTCAACTCAGCTTCTATTTACTCTAGAGTCATGACGAATAATACGTTCAAAAAATTATTATAAGTAGGATATTTATTTGAAAATTAAAATTTATGTCAATCACAATCGTTTTCATTCCTGGCTATCAATCATTTGTACCCTCGATAAAATCAACTTTTCTTCAAGCATGGTGTGATAAACATCATTATCGTTTCATTACATTTAATCATGATTTTCTATCGTCTAATTCATTTGTAGGCACATGGTTTCATCATCTTCTAGCTATTCTTTATGAAGAAACTAGCAACGAAAACCTCATTTTAGTTGGTGCTAGTCTCGGTGCATGGCTTGCTCTTTTAGTTCGCATTCGAAAAGAAGTTGATAGTTCATTACGTTCTCGTATCCGTGGTATTCTTGCATTAGGTATGAGTATAAATGGCACTGAAATATGGTTGAATGAAATAGAACCAATTGAAAATCGTTCTGATCGCAATTATATATATCGTCGTCCCAGTTCTTATTCATCTACCGGTTATTATGACATACGTGTTTCAATGTTACTTGATTCAAAAGAATATTTATTACCTATTGAATGCAATTCAATTGAGTTAGAGTGCAATAATTGCATACTGATTTTCATGCACGGCATGCTCGATTTCGATGTACCTTATCAACGCGTTATCGATTTTGTAAGTCGTTTACGAATCGACAAGAAAGGAGCAATAAAAATTCGTCTCATACATGATGGTGACCATCGATTATCACGTCTTGAAGATTTAAATGAAATCAAAAGCTGTTTAAATGATCTCACTGACATGTCAAGGAATGAATAGTTTTCTATAATTGTCGTCCTATTTTTCAATACATATTCTGACATAAAATGTTTAGTAATACAATCATTATTCACGAGATCATAATATTCTATATTAGTTTCTTAACATTCAAATTTTTAATTGTTTTTATATAAATAATGTGTAAAATAAATTATTTGTTTCAACAAGTATTTGCCTTTGCAAGTATTGGGACAAATGTAATCAATTTGTAATCCATTTAATTAATCCTCGATTTGGCATACTTTTGCATATAACAAGCTAGACAGAGATTTAATTGACAACTTTTGCAAAACGAGATGTAAGATATACATGCAATAGAGAGATAAAATGATTAAGGAATAAAAAAGAAAGATTGATTGGATCTGTACAATTACATTGAGCAACATATGTATGCAACATTCCTTTAGAAAAAAAAATAGAAGATATCGACTCCAATTTCTTTTCAAGAATAAAAAATGAATGAGACCATTGTAATTTCTCTGACCCAATAGAAAAAAAATCTGCAAAGTCATAAGCATAATAGATATGAATTTGATGGCATTCGAGTTTCAGTCAGCTGCAAAATGCAGTGCGTAGTTTCCAATGTCGATTGGCGGATAAATCGATATTTTCTAAAGGAACAAAAAACCGTTTGGCCGATTGAATATGAAACGCTTTTCTCCGAAAGATAACCATGCTATAATGGAATCAGGACTTCTTTTTTATCGCTATAAATCGGAAAAATTACATTTCAATCAATCAGATGATCAAAGTCAGTAAAGAATCTAAGAAGTGGTAATTGCAAAATTCATTACTAAGAGAACTCTATTAGTGAATATAAACAAGATTTAAAGAATACTTTCGATTGATCGCTTGATTTTCTCTCTGATTCATTATCTATTATGAGCTGTATTCACAACTGTCTTAGCTGTAAGTGCAGAGGCCGGAAACTTGGAAAAAAACAAAGTTCACAAAATCTTGCCTTGTTTGGTGACTTTTGGTAAGAAAATGGAACGTCATATTAAAGATCAGAAAACGAATGCTATCGCTTCCATTATGAGATTTCATTCTCGCTTTTGAATGAGTATTTTCTAACTTTCGTATCTTGAGACTATCACAAAAGAAAATGACAGCTTTTGATGCCCATATCTAGAAACAAGAAAAGAAAAAAACTCATGAAGAACTGCATCAACTAGTCAGACAATTCACTGTTTTATTTTTTACGAACTTTAGTTTCCTCATAAACATTGATTTCAATCAATTTTAAAGATCACTCAGATATTTACCTTCGTTATACTTGAGAAGAAGTAATTATTCAAGCATGTCGATCAACCAACAAATAAAATCTTTGTTGGTTCCTTCTTCGGATAGCGGAGCTCGAGTACTACGTCCATGTGTATGTTTGAAATTAATCGTCCTTAAATGTGAAATATAGAAAAAAAAAAAACTTCAGTATGAAGAAAAGAATTATAGAAAAACAAAAAGACAAAATGGTATTGTCGTTATAAATTGTAGTAGTTTTAATAAGATGTGAGTAATGCAAAAATCAAGTAAGATTCTTTTTGATATTTTTACATGGTTCGAGAGAACTCGACGAGTTCTACAAAACTGTCTATATTGAAACTATTAAAAACGCTCTTTCAAGGCAATAATTTACAAAAAACTCGCTTTTTTATATTTTGTACGAAAAAAAACTGAACTTTCTATATAAAAACATGCGAGTTTTTGTAAATTTTTGTATTGAAAGAGGATTTTTAAAAGTTTCAATATAGACAGTTTTGTAAAGCTCGTCAAAATCTCTTGAACCATGTAAAAATATCAAAAAGAATCTTATTTGATTTTTGCATTACTCACATCTTACTAAAACTACTACAATTTATAACAACGATATCATTTTGGCTTTTTGTTTTTATATAATTTTTTTCTTAGTACTGAAGTTTTTTTTTTCCTGTATTTCACATTTAAGGGTAATTAATTCCAAGCATACACATGCACATAGTACTCGAGCCCCGCTATCCGAAGAAGAAATCCAAAATTGAATCTATGTCGTGTAGTTCTGAAACACGAGCCAAAACAAAAAAGTAATGTGAGACTTTTGACGTGCACTGTAACTCATCGATAATTGAAAATATTCCCGATTGTCTATATATTTCTCATTAATAAGATAGTAGAACTCAGTTCATGGTGGATAGTTTTTGAAAATCGCCTACATTTTATTTATTTGGACAAGTGACTGACATGAACAATTTCTTATGTAAGTAAGTTAGAGCGATTATTGTAAAGAAACATTAATTAATTGATCTTTAGTATTCTTATTTATTTCAACAATAGTTATCGTTAAAATCTGAACTTCACCAATTTCTATGTCACATTAAAAAGTCATATTATTTTCATTAATGTAAAATTGCTTCATAGTGTGGTAGACGAATATTCATTGCATACCGCTTAAATACGGTATTTTACCTCGTTTCTATGTCGCAATAGTTAGTTTTCAATGATATACGCCTACTCCCAACTATTTTATTGGTAATAAACCAAATAGGCTCGTGAAAAATGTTTTTTAAACTGAAATATTATTATGTCAGCTGCAGACATAAGACAATAGAATGATTATTCCTTCATTTACTTGTAAAATATTTTTTTTTACAGCTGATAAAATTATTCATATCAAATTTTCGTTTTATTATGTCCTCGACATGTGATGAAATAATCAAAAAGAAATATATTGTGTCAGATTGATGACGGGATTGTCATCGAGAAAGGCTTACTACTTCTTCTCCCAATGAAAATTATGTTCACCGCCTGGTATTTTGTTTTCACGGCCTTCAATAATGAAAGGAGACCAGATGTGTTCTGTATGTTTCGGAAAAAAAAAGGAGAAGAAAGTAATCGTTGAAAATATCATATTAGTTTTCATTATAATATATAAAGAAAAATTATCAAAGTTATATTTAATTTTTTTTTTAAATATGTTGTATCAAGCATAAATCAAATGTTTTCAAAAAAAGCATCATTGTACAGAATCATGAATTGAATGTTGTATCTTTGAAAATATTTAGTTCAAATTCAATCATTTTAGCATCAATACAATGAAAATGGGATCTGAGTAATACAGACTTCGTCTTTATGATCTATAAGCTAGTTTTAACGGATTCATTTTTATCTAATAAAGGTTGAAATGTTACGATCATTTGTGTTCATAAAAACATGACTTTGTTTAAAAATTGTCAGAAAATACGAATGTGTTTATATGTCAAGTGTCAATCAAACTGCAGATCACATGATGGTGCACTGTGATAATTGGACAAGTCATGATATCGTATATATAATCTATATGGTTTCAAAGATGATAAACAATCTGATTGTTTTATTAAACGTATTTCTACATAAATTCATTTGACTTTCAGTATCTTTACTCAACATAATTGTTTAAAACTTACACTCGTCAAAGCAAACTTTCAGTTGTAGATTATGCTCAAACAACCTATGAATTAGACGTTTTGATTTATCTCTTATGTATCAATTTTGCTAATACATTTCACTTTATAGTACTTCTTGACACAAATACTCCGAGCATTGAAACAATCGGTATCATGATCGTTTTGGCTGATGTTGAAAACATTGGTTCTCTGATGGTTATTTTTGATGTTTTTTTATATTGTTTTACTCATACATCATTTTTGAATAAAATATCAACTCAAATCTGTCGATTCCTTTTTTTTTGTTACAAGAAGTTTATAGCTAATTAGTAGAATTACACAATGTCAATATTTATTCTTCATAATGCATTCATACAAATAATGAAACCGTTAATACTATAATCATTGAACTCAATCAAAAAAATTAATATAGCTGTTACCAATGGTGAATGATTTCATCATTAAAATTATTTATTAAACAAACACGTCAATCTATTGCTAGCTAAAGAAAAAGGATTAATATATCACATTGGATAAATCCAAAGAATTTAATAGAATATTCTGGCAAAAGATAGTTTCTTTTATATGCACTGAAAAATTAATAGGAAATTTTTTATCATACCTAAAATATGAAGGCATATAATATTCGTGTAATAACCCAAAAACAAAATGTTTATCATACTTTCATACATCGCTTATCTTTAAAAAATTCAGGTAGGCTTATTCATTAAAAAAAAATATTCGATGTTGTTATTCCTTTGAATGACTTATAAAGGTATTCATTATGTAACAATACATTAAGATTAATGCAAATCAAACTTTATGCTATATAACCTTGAGTGTCATTTCCTATTCAATCGGAAAGACAGAAAAGTAGTCAATATGAATAAATAACGAGTGAAGAGTATTTGTGAACTGCTTCCTGGAAGTCTACCATTAATATCAGTAATATTATGACGTTGCAATACTTTTTTTACAGCAGCTATCGTCAATGGTCCATTACATAGCATACGATTACATCTTATAGTCATCATTGCAAAGTTACCGGAATCGAATATATTAACACTAGCAGATTCTTGATTACTATGAATACATAAACGTCTATGAAATTTATGTTTAATTAAATCATCGACGATTTGACATGAACCAGACATTCCAGGAACAGTACATTGACGAACAGCTTCATTGATATCAAAACAGGCTAAATTTGTAGATAAACTAGATTTTTCATGTAATAATCGATGTAAATCAGAATAAATATTCGTTACATTATATGAACGTTTAGTCATTTGATTAATTGTTTGTTCAGCAAAAACACGAGCACAATCATCAGTTTCTTTACATATATGATGAATATCATAAGAAAAAAATTTATTTACAGCTGTTTCAATCATAATAAAATGTTTATTATCACCAAACGTGTTATCATGTGACGATTCCCCATTAAATGTAACATTATAATATCCACGATCATACCAAAATATAAGTTTAACGGAACAACGATTAGCTGACACATGATTACAACTCGATGGCATAATAAATGATTCATGCATTGAATAAATCATTGAACAATTGTCTGTACATTGTAAACTATAAGTTAGAGTGAATAACGATAGTAATAATCCTAGAAGAAACATTATCTCATTGCGTTCGTAGAGTAGATGGATGTGCCTTTATATAGTCAATGTTCCGTATATGTTAGAAGTAAACATAAGCAGTTTATGTATTATTATTGCAGAAAGACATTTTTCTATTCTACAGCATATCAAGACATCAATGTACATTAGAGACCTCGGTGACACGAGGGAAAAGAATGCTTATAATGCTTTTATATTCCAATATGAATGATATATATTAAATGCTCTAATGGTCTCATACAGTTGTTATGTATTACTCGGTTTTTTTCTCTCCTTTTTCAATAAAAAAAAGTTGCTACATTCTACAGAAGAAATTATCTGTGATAGACTGAAGAACAGCTGTGGAAAGAAAACACTACATCATTATCATCTAGAGGAAGTATATTCTTTCGTACATATCATCAGCTGATCAAATCCAAAGGAAAGAAAAAGAAGTTTTTTTTCTCTTTGAAACAAACGTCAATGTTCACATCATTTCTTATTCAAATTTAAGAAGTTATATTCCAAGGTTTCTTTCAATGTATATTTAAACATTAACATAAGTTTTCTTTTTGATCGAGATTTAATAAATTAATGTAAACTATCGAAAGACACAATACATATGATTTAGTTTATAAATAAGCAAGAAAATTTCATCTATCTGTAGAAAAAAATAAAATCAATTATGCAGTAAATTATCGATGAAATAAAAGAATATCGTATAAGTATAAAATAATTAAAAACGAGTTACTGTTAAATGACGAATTATTAAACAATTTTTCTTTATCAAAAGAAAACGATCATATAAAATTTCAATAAGAAAAAGACAAGTCATATATATATGATCTATAGCATTTTAATGATACTATTATATATTGGTATTCTTTTATAAGACTAAGTTTTAAAAAGATCTGTTATCGTAACAAATTTTGCCAATAGCTAAACGTCTGATTCATCTATGATTACCTGATATTGATATTTTTCGATAAAATAATTCAAAGCTTATCAGACAAGATTTATCGAATTTGCACGAATTTTTTGTTTGAATCTGAATTTGTTGAGAAAATACATAACATAGCGAGAAATTTGTTTTTAAATTTTTTATGAATATTTGTGTGTACAACTGACGAACAAAAGAATCATTATTATAAAAAATGAATCGTTGATTCGGCTACGCAATGGGTTCTTTAATTAAATATTATTCTTTATCAAATTAATTCACAATGAATTGCATTTGTAAAAAAAAAACTAAATGATGTATATGTATATATCTGTATGAAATATTGTCCTTCCAAAAAAAAAATACTATGTTATTTGATCAATCAAAACTTTTTATTATCATTATGAAAATGTTGGAACTATATCATTTGAATTTCTGTGAACAGCATATGTGTGATGAATGTAACCTTGCATCAATGCGACAACGATGACGAGGACGGCATTAATTGTGGTAAAAGTGACGGATGATTGTAATACGATGCAATAGTGAAAGACTCCATGCTGAATTGTGAGTAGGCAATAAGAAAGAAGAAAAAAAAATCGAGCATGTCTTTTTCGATTAATCCTTCACCATCAAATGGTTACTCCACTTGCACTCTCTCTCGGTCTTTGTCACTCAGCGCAATCTTAACAGTGGTAAACAGAACATCATTATATGCCGAGGTTCGTTGTAAGTGTCGCACAACAAAGAAGTAAGAAAAAAAACAACATATTAGATTAGACGAGATACAAAGAGAAAAAAATAATCATTATCAATGTTGTACATTGCATTAGTTATGTTATAGGTTTTTTTTATTATATATACTGTTGACAAATACTTGTTCACGTTTGTATGCACTTGTATTGAAAAGAAGAAGAAGAAGACGACGACAACGGTAATATTCTTTTCAATAGCGATTTTTTTTTACCATTGCGGCTACTTCATAACTGTACGAATGAAATTTACTTTGGATAGACAGTCGACGAAAAAAGAAAAGAGTACATCAAATATTTGAGCTGCGACAATGGATGCTTATGAAATATTAAATCACTATCAGAAGACACGTTTCTCAAGAGTGATAGACAGATGATGCTTTACTTTTTTCTTCTTATTGAGATAGACGCTATACAAATGCATTCATAAAAAATAGTATGTCAAATAATTGAGTACAGAGAAAATAAAAGATAATAAGAAAAGAAAGGTCTCTTGACCTGACACGATAATATCGATCAGCTGCTTGCCGTACCCATTGTTAAAGATTGTATAATCAATCGAGATGCAATCATTTTTCACATAAAGCAGAAATTGATGGATCATAGAGGACCGTAGTGACACCATTCTTCAATTGACTTTTTGTTGAATAATTGATATGATCGATGACAGATGATGCAGATATGTTAACGATTGATTGAAATCGATAACCATTGAGGACTTAGTGACGATGATTGTGCCATTTTCTTCTTATTGTATTTCTCAAGTATTGACTTTATTTGATTTCTAATGATATAGTCAATTGTTGAATTAGATTAATGATTTACCTTAGTTATTATTTACTTGACAATATTGATATTGACTGAAATCGTAGTAATCTCAAAATCAAAAGAAAACTTGAATATATTATAAAAGTTCTTAATTGATAGAAGTCTTATATGAAGTGAATACTAGTCTGAAATAAGAGGTCAATCAATACGAAAACATTTCAATAGATTAAAATGCTCTCAGCAATTGTTTTGATTTGAAATATGAAATTGAAAGTGAATTTCGTGCACTTTTCATACAAAGATGTCAATAGATGATTGATTAACAGAATGGACATATCTTCACGATTTGAGATCTTAGAAAGTTTTATAGAAGCATATCGAATTAAAATATCATTAAAAAAAAAGAATATGAACAAGAAAAGTAAGTTCTTTTTCAATAGATATTATTTCATCTGTTATATACGTTAGAAATATCCTGAAATTTTTGCAGCGGTCAAATTGCTGTTTTTTTTTTCTTATTAATTTTATCAACAGTTGTTTTCAAAATCATTTATTTTGATACACATATCAATAAATAATCAATATTTTGAAAATTGAAAACATGAAATTTTATTTTATTCGGCATGTAATTAACATGTCAAGTGAGAACAATTTTCTTTTTATGCAAAATTCTCTATTGGATGTTTTTTTTCGATCGTTATCATTAGAGAATAAATGTTTTATTTTTTTGTAAGAAAGAAGAGAAAATATTTTTGTCTTATTTTTTTTTTCGTTACCATCTAAGATACTGGTAGCAGCATCAGTTGATCAAAGCTATTTGACCCATTTTGTATATAAACAACAATAAACATACAAACTCCACTATAGAAATCGATAAAAAACATCAGCTACAGGGCATATTTCTTTTGCTTTTCTCTTTTTATTCTCACATGATCCGTTATATTCTGTATTATTCATCAGAAAGACATGCAATACGCGACGCTAACAGAGGGACAAGACGTTCGATAACGAAAGGAAGGCATAAGGACAAAAAAAGAGAGAGGTAGAAAATAACGGATGATAGAGTAATATCGTCGATGAGACTGTGTTTTTGTATGTAGGCGGATTGAGATACATATTTAGAAGAACATGCGGTTTGAAATAGCTGATCACAAGATTCTATTCATTATCACTAACGTTGTTATTACTGTGTGTCCTGCGGACATTTCACAGCATTTCTTATGTCGACATCTTGGGATCAAGATCATATCAATAGATACCGGGCTTTAAGCTATTAGCTGTCTATCGTCGTTATTATTTTATTAACCATGCAAACTATGAGTTATAGTAGTTTCAATGAACGTACGAAAGCATTAGATGTGATTGTCACTTTGTCGAGATTCACTTTCGTTTGAAACAACATGAATAGATGCACGTAAGAGTATTCAGCCTTTCAATCTATGTTTACTTGATAGGTACATATTCATCGAGCTAATTATGTGCTTGTATTGTATTAATACGTGTGTGTATTTGTGTACATGTCTATTCATGGCTCACAATCTTAGTGTCATCTCCCGTGTTTCTTTCTTTCTTTCTTTCTCTTTTTCTTTCCCTTTCTGTTTTTCTTTTTTTTTTTTTCTTCTTTCATTCTTTTTTTTTGTGCGTTCAAAGAAAAAGGAGAACGACAGCAACTAGGGAGATGGAACAGAGTAGCATAGAGCAAGAAACACATGCGTTCAGCGGAGCGTTTGATCATTGCATCCTTTCTATAGGCAATACTTACAGAAGAAAGAAAAGCTAGTTTACTATTCCATCTGTGTTGCTTATTTATGTGTCTCAGTTTTTTTTCCACTAGCCTAGAAAAAAAAAGAGAAGAAACGAATCGCAATGCGAACAAAGCAAAAAACGAGCCACGTAAGCAAATATGATTATATACATGTATCCTATTTTTTTTTCGATGCATTGAAATCAATAATTCGAAAATTTTCATTTAATTTATTTATTTTTCCTGTAGCATGTACAATTCAATAATAAAATCCTCTTCGAGTGTATCCATATCATCCAACGAATCATTATCCGCTGGAACAACAAATACTAATTCTTTACCGATTATGCGTAATGATTATAGTCTTGATAGTGTTTGTTGTACTAAACGAACATTACATACATTTACACATATGTGGATTGTTGAAAATTTTTCATCATATCTTCAAGATCCTGAACCTATTATTTGTTTATCATCATCACCATTTAGTCCTGTATCAAGTGCTAGTGCTTCTACACAATGGCGTCTTGTTTGTTATCCAAAAGGCAATTATGGTGCAGCATCAAATTATATGTCAATATTTCTTGAATATATTAAAGGTGAACGTGATATAAAAGCTAAAGCTGAATATTCACTTGTTAATCGTAAATGTGAATTAACTGAAATGCGTAAAGATGCACAATTTTCAATTTATAAATGTGGTAATTCACGTGGTTTTATTAATTATGTTAAATATGACACATTAACATTATTTGAGAATGATACACTTGATGATGATAAACTTAAAATATTTGTACGTATAATAATAATGGATGATGCTATAACTGAAGAAACTAAATATCAAGAATTTGATGATACTGAAAGCATTAATTTTACAACACGTGGTCTTGAAGCTCTTGTACGAGATTTTACTCAATTATTACTTCATTCTTCATCAAAAATGAGTGATATTAAAATTATAGTGAAGATTTCACCTACACATAGTACAGATGTAACTGAATCCAATAGTGATTCAAATTCATCTACTGTTACTTTTAATGCACATAAATTAATTCTTGCTGTTCGATCACCTGTATTTGCAGCTATGTTTTCAAATTCTACATTAGAAAATAAAACAAATATTATTGAAATAAATGATTTACGTTCTGACACAATTCAATCAATGCTTGAATATATGTATACTGGTAAAGTAAATGATATTAAAAAATCTACAGTTGAATTATATCGTTGTGCTGATAAATATCAATTAGAAGATTTACGTTTACAAGCTGAAATGGCTTTAATGAGTTCTTTATCAATTGATACAAGTGCTGAAATATTATTACTTGCTGATCAACATCATTCAAAAGATCTTAAATCACGTGTTATACAATTTATTGTTAATGGAAATCTTAAAGCTATAACACAAACAGACGGTTGGCATAAATATGTTGCATGCATTCCAGATTTAGTAACTGAAGTAATACAAGCAACTGTTCTTGAATGAAAGCCAACATAAACTTAAGATGTAAACCTTGGTAATTGCATCTATTCGTTCTTCTGTAGATTTTTTTTTTCTCGTTTGTTCGCTAATACCTAGTCACCTTCATTTTATGTGTATTTATCAAGGACACACGAACGATGTACAGTTTCATTCGTTTTCTTTTTTGTATTTAAATTCTGGCTTTTTTTTTTTTATTTTGTCATCCTGATCGATTCATTGTTTATCCTTCAATTTTAATAAAAGTAAATATTGATCATATGAACAATTGATTGACAGAAATGAGACGATAAAGGACATTACATATATTTGTTATTGATTCTATTAACGAGGTTTCTTGTCGAAGATAATTAGTTTTCACACGAACATGGTTCAATGAACCAGACGAAGGAGAAAAAAAGGAAGAAAACTGTAAACTGTTTTTATGAATTTTATTTTAACATGTGAAACTGACAGCTAATTAATTTGAATTCGTGTCTTGTTTTTGTTGATTGTAATAATGATGATCTATCGTCATTCTTATTTGATAAAAATGATGTATCTCTACTAAGAAAATCATTGTGATATTCGATATTATCTATTGTTCTTTGTTGAATGATCGATGTAGTACAATTCATAGAAGGAATTAAATCTCATTGTTCTAAATAAGTAATTGATGTTGTTAGTGTTAGCAGTGGCAATAGGTCATCCGTTTCTAAATCGATAACATCTGATCTATTTGTTATTTTTCTTGATTGCTAACATTCAAGTATCGTCCTAATTAATGTTGATGTAAGTGTTAGGCTTTTTATTTTTATTAGAAATATCGTCTTCAGATATTCTATTTGATGATACAGGTGATATTGTCTATGTAGAAAAAAAAATTGAATATATGAGTTGGTTGTTCATAAATACACTATTGTGAACAATTGTAATGTTTCATCATCGGAAGTATGTGAAATGAATGTTTGATTTAATAAATTTACAGATTAAATATATTTTTTTGTATCAAAACAGAAACGACTTCGAGTTATTAGTAGAAACCAATTTTGATAGGTCTAAAAGAATTCGAGAACTTACGAATTTTTTTTTCGAACTTATTGATGTTGCATAGAAATTTTCATTAGAGAAAAGAATTTAGAAAAACTGAATCACTAAAGTTCGAGATAAAAATAGTTATTCATTTCTTTCAATGACAGAAGCCAAATCGGTGGTTGTGCATCTCATCGTTACAAACGACATCAGTAAAATGAACATCACCGACAGAGAAGCCATCGATATGAAACCCATCGAAATGAAGATCGTCGAGTGCTTTTCAATTATCTATGTTGACGCATTTCGTTTCGGCGACCATTTCTTACGTTTACTCTTTCTAAATATTTACTATATATGTATGTACTGCAACTCTTTGTAGAAGTTCGATGTTGTTTTTTTTGATGAAAAATCTGAATAAAACAATCATGATTTTTTTTTCATTGTCAAGAAACTGATTTACTTCTCAATCACTTTGGAAATCATAAAGTTTTCGTGTAAGTTCATTAAATTTGTTTTGTAATATTTCTTTTTCATAATGTAAGTTTTTAAGAGCTGATTTTAACAGAGGAATTGTTGAGTAGATCAATGAAAATAGGAAAATATCAAAGCTAGAAGTTAGATTAGTAGAAATATTCAATTTTTAGCATCGCGTTATCGTGCATTTATTTGTATACTCAAGTATGCCTCAAAGTTAATGTTCATTCTGAATATGTCAGAAAAATAGAATCATCTTAGGTTTAGTTATGTGAACACTTACATTGTTTGAATGTTCGTACATTACTTGGAAATGCTGAAAAAGGATAATAGGATCGATCCAAATAAAATAATAGAAAACATATGATAAGGTAAATGCATTCTCAAGAAAATTTTTGCTTGATTGACGAAATATATGAGGATAGAAATGAATTTTGTTGCATATAAGATGCTCAAAACTCAAGCATATAATTTAATCTGTTTAATCGAATATTATCAAACGAACATTGATATTTTTGTTTTATTGATTTAAACAATGTCTTTATTCTTTAATATCATACGAATTTAGAATTCAAATATTCTACATTATGATTTAATTGCCATTCAAGTTTTACACTTTTCTTGTAAACTATCCACAAGCATGTTTTAACTTCATTATGTTCATATTTTATTTTTATTTTACTATAACTTTTTTCTTGCAAAATTTCTAACTATAAAAAATCCAAAAGAAAGTAAAGGATGTTCTATAAGTATCGACCCCCTTTTTGTTTTTTTCCTATTTTTTCCCCGTTTCATCATGGACAGATATTGAGTATAGATTCTTGAAGAGCAACATCTAAGCTATCAATCAAAAACAAATATGTCCAATTTTGCATGAGTTGTACGAGAGAACCATATCGATAAAAATTTTGAAAAAATTTGTTAGATGCATTTTGTAGTTTTTGTCTATTCAGATTAAAATATAATATCACCATTCGATAGCAAATATTGTTCTCTATCGATCTACACAAAGCTGATCTTTTTGGGTTGTTTCGTTCAGAAGATAGAAGGATTTTTCCGAGACATTCCTTTTTGGGCCATCTGACCATTTATCACTCTCAAATGTCTTCAAAAAGGGGTAATCGGCCATGCTGAGTCGAATGGTGATATTTATTTTCCGTTTCAAAGCGATCTGACATGTTTATAGCGGATTTTTAACGTTTGATATTTTCTCGCTATAGAATTGAAAAAGATTATGTTGTGAGAAATACCCTATAAACATACCAGATCACCATGAAAAAATTTAAAAAAAAATACTACGATTTAAGAAACCGCGAAAGTTAGACCATTTATACGTTTCTCAAAAATCGGTTAAAACAACGGTGTATAAATATCGTGGTGACAACAGGAACCACCGCAGTTAAACCTGCAAAAAGTTACCTCGAGCCAGGGTTTTTCCTATTGCCACCACGGCTTTAGGCGGTTTTTGAGAAATGCATGGATGGTCCGACTTTCGCGGTTTTTTCGAAAATTTTTTTTCGTGGATCGCTTTGAAACAGAAAATAAATATCACCACTCGACTCAGCATGGCCGATTACCCCTTTTTGAAGACATTTGAGAGTGATAAACAATCAGATGGCTCAAAAAGGAATGTCTCTGAAAAACCCTTCTATCTTCTGAACGAAACAACCCAAAAAGATCAGCTTTGTGTAGATCGATAGAGAACAATATTTGCTATCGAATGGTGATATTATATTTTAATCTAGATAGACAAAAACTACAAAATGCATTTAACCAAATTTTTTCAAAATTTTTATCGATATGGTTCTCTCGTACAGCTCATGCAAAATTGGACACATTTGTTTATGATTGATAGCTTAGATGTTGCTCTTCAAGAATCTATACTCATTATCTGTCCATGATGGAACGGGAAAAAGATAGGAAAAAAACAAAAAGGGGTTCGATACTTATGGAACACCTTTTATGTCAAATTTTCATCGTAAATTTAACATCATACTTCACTGTTCAATAATTCGAATCGCCGTGACTGGAAGGATACGTCGTTCAACACATATCCACAAGGTACTGTACTTAAACCATGGTATCATCAATCATGCAATAATTCTGGACAATTCGCCATCGGGTGTTTGTCTCGAATCACTTATCTGATAGCATGCTGACTACGGTATGACATACACCTGCTCTTGTGATTACTTGGTGTGTAGGGGAAGCGCAAGAGCTCTACGTCAGGTCACCTTCTGCGTAGAGGTACAGCCAGTATTAGCTATAAGAAAGAGATCGGGCTATTGAATGTGTCACCAGGCAGCATCCCATATACCGCAAGGTAGAGATATTCTTCTCTTCTCTTCTCTTTTCTATTTGATAATTCAATCTGTTACTATTTGTCATTGATTGCAACTATAATAAAAACAATAACCACGGCTTTTATTCAATATATGAATTATACCAACAAAAGGAGAAAATAAATATGATTAAATTTTCGAAGTTTAACAAAACAAAAAAACAATTACAATAAATCATCAGAATCTTCTATTTGTTTTTTTGATTTTTTAAATGTTGGTTGAAGACTTTCAAAAATATAATCAAGTTTTTGTTGAATCTTTTTACAACCCGATACAGAATATTCTAGAGATGATGATGTAAATTCAATTAAATTTAAAACATGATTAATAATATCATCTTCAGATAAATCATATTGATATTCATCAGTATCAAGAATTATTTGAAGTTGCCGTTTTATACAACCGCGAATATGTATGCGTTCAAGAGGAAGAAATGGAACAAAAAATGTAATTAAATGTCGATCGATCAATGATGCAGATTGTAATCCACCTATATAACAAATAGAATAAACATTAAACTAAAAAAAATCCAAAAAATTCTTATTTCAACCTTGTTCATTAAATGCTGCATTGGAAAGAACTTGTTGAAATTCAAGAATATTATAATTTTCACGTTTTATTGATAATAAATGATTTTTTTCAGCTAATTTAATTATTGATGTGCCACCAGTATTACTATAAAAGGAAATTTTATTTAAATTAAATTTTATTTTTCTTTTCATTACCTTAAGAAGATAAAAATCGTTTTACGAAAATCAATCGGTCGAGAACTTGTAGGAGTATGAAAATCAATATAATATAGAATAACATCTAATAATTGACTAGGCATTTGATCGATTTCATCAAAGACAAATGTTGCTTGTTGACATGCACTAGTTATTTCTTCAATATCTTTCGTTAAACGATCCTATTATAAAGAAATTATATATATATGGAAAATCAGTCAAAACGAGGGCATGATCATCGTCGATTTGATTTTCATTCTTTAAAACTTCTAGTCTTTTTTTTAACAAGTTCTTTTACCATAAATATAAGAAACAATATTGGTTCTTTCAGTTCATATCTAATTTAAACTTAACTAGTTAAAATACAATTGGCAAATAACTCTCAAATTTTATCATAGAAGTCTAAAACTTTCAGGATAGATCCACGTCATAACCTATATCTATGGTAACATTGCTTCATCAAAATCGACTTTTCAAAGATCTATTCATATTTATCCATGAGACTATTGATTTTGCTATCGTCTCGAGATCCGCCAGGAAGAAAGATTTCTACCATTTAGAATTGGTTTTTGAACTTCTCGTTCAGTTATTAGAAGATTTTTCGTTTATATATTGGTACACTTAGTTCCGTCGCTAATAAGAAATAAACTCCATTTGTTTTTGAAAAAATGTTGAGTGACGATTTTGTAGCTTGAAGAGTTCTTTACAAAACGATCTATTGAGTTTTCAAAAATGCTTTGTAAACTTACATTGTTTGTAAAATGAAGAAGTATGCAGTGAGAAACTCTTATCCTTTTCTATGTTATGTCACTAATGTTAGTTTTTCAATAATAACTTGATAAAACAATGATCGCAGTACTGAGTTTTACAGGGTATCAAGAGTAACTTAACATACATTTAATGCATAAAAAAATTCATTAATACGCATTTTTGTTCTGCAAAATTATATCACTAACCAATGAAATCATTCATATAATTATCAAAATGATATATAATAAGGATGTTTAAGTAAGTCTATCATTTTTCCTTTACTTACACATATCATACCTTGTACTGACTGATATGTGCCGTATCGGTATGCATAAAATCACGTGAAACAACATAAAGTCGGACGTATTTACTTTTGTAACCTTCACGATAGAGACTTTCGACAATGTGTTTTGCAACAAAATTTTTCCCTAAATGGAAAATAAAATCAAATAATACAAATAAAAATTAAGAAAAAGAATTTTTTTTTCCTAAGAATTATTATTGAAAAAATTAGTTCACAAATTTTGTGAGTGATGAAATCGTTTACAATTCGATTGGATGAGAAAGATATACATTCATATAGTTATCTACTTAATAAAACTTTGTCATTCGACAAGCGCAATAGTATTATTCGTACTTTATTCTTAGTTAATATTTAATATGATCATTCTATCTAAGATTACATCTCTTGTAATGAGCTGCAAGAACTATTAATTGATAAGAAAATATTTTGCTTTGTGCTGCTTCATCTTGAGCTACAAAATCGATCAGTTTGAAAAAAAAACTCGCAAAAGTTGGATCTTTTTAAATAAGGAATGTTTGTTTACTAGTAAATAAGATATATGATGGACGGATATTATGTTATATATAACAATAACAATGTCTACTACTGGTATCAATATTATCCGAAAGTTTCACAAAAGCTAGGTGGGAAAGAGATGATAAAATATACAATGGTTACTACGAATTTTCCAGAAAACCAAACCTTTAGTGTTTCAGCGCATACAAATCAAGTATGAAATTTGCTCACATCACACGAAATCGTAGAGCAAATGATTCTCTACAAAGTGAGACATTTTAGAGCTCTCTACGACATTTTTTCGTCAAACTACATTAGATTTACAGAAGGCCTCAGATAGAAGTTTTTGTCAAGTCATTCTCCCTCCTCCTCAATGATCACTCGAGCGAGCAAGCTGTCATCACAAACGAGAGTGCGCCTGATCGATTCGTTCATACTCTTGATTTATTGGAGATGCGCATATTCTCTTCCAATGGTTATTTCATCAGTGACTCCTTTTCACTATTGGAGGTAGGAGTGTCGTATTAGCATTAGTATTAGCATTAATTTAATACTAACACCAATATTCTTGTTTTCCGTTCCTAAGAAAAAGTATTTGAATTTGTATTGATTAATATAAGGTTAGACGCAGCCAACAGTCCTGATTAATTCCAATACTTTTGTGTTACAATTTTAATATAAAAAATTGTAACTAATAATAAGTTAATGCATATATAGTATTAATTTATATTAGCTACAATACTTTTATATTAAAATTGTAACACAAAAGTATTGGAATTAATCAGGACTATTGGCTGCGTCTAACCTTATATTAATCAATACAAATTCAAATACTTTTTCTTAGGAACGGAAAACAAGAATATTGGTATTAGCATTAATTTAATGCTAATACTAATGCTAATACGACACCCCTAATTGGAGGTAAAGGAATAAGTTGTTAACTTTCTGAATATATTGAAATTATTTTTCAATACTCATCTTTATTTGTGTCTAATTCTTAGTTGAAACTTGAATTAATTTTATTATTCGAACTATGTAGGTGTATCTAACCATCACTTTAACTATCAACATAAATAGTATTCAACATTTGTATAATGCATACCTGTACCAGTACCACCATGCAAAGAAAGAACAAGAGATTTGGACGGATTTGAATTAGATACATGTGAGCTAATTGATCTTAATACGAGATTATACGCAAGTGGTTGACCTATCAATTGGTTTTTCAAACGTAAATCAAGTTCTTAAGAAAATTGAAATGAAAACAAAAAATATCTTGCCATAATATCATTAGAATAGAAAAATTACCTTTTATATCATTCTTTATCCAATATTTTGAACAACATTCCATCAAACAAAATATATCAAAAATACTTTTAAGAAACACCATTTTCTTTCCTTTGTATCTTCAAACAAATAAACATCAAAAAACAAAATATCTAAACCACTAGGTCAAAAAAACAACCATATATTTAATTTTTGAAAAAACAAAAAAAAAGGAACAAACAAATCAACAAAGAATTGCTTGCCAAAATACAACATTGTTTGCAACTCTACTAGAGTTAGTACAAAAAAAAATGATGCAAAGAATGTTATTATCTATAGTAAGTCTCAAGTTATTATCACAAAACAAAAATGTAAATAGATATAACATTAATTGAATGACCTTCATTTTAAAAATAATCAATGTTGAGAAGGATTAATGAGATCATCTTTATCCATTATAAACTCTCTTAAACAACCAACAGCACTAAAATATCCCTAAAAAAAAGAAAAGAAATTTAATATAATGTATAGAATATTTTTTCTTATTTTCTTTTACCTCATGCTCAAGAAAAATAGCTTTAACTTTTCCACGGGACCAATAATCCATAGCATAAGCTAATATACGCATTGATAAATCATTAATACGTAAAAAACTGCCACTAAATAATACTCTATCGACATTCTATAAATCAACAAAAAAAAAATGATTAAAATAATAAATTGACAAAAGAAAAAAACAAATTAAATTTCTAACTTCTGTTTGAGCACACATCATGGAAATAGAACCAATATTATTTAGGACAGTTACTAATGTTGCTCGAGCTAAATCAGATTTTGTTGCTTGTTCACGTTTTTCTGGTAAATTCATATGACCAAAACTAGAACAATAGACAAAATTATTTCAATTCATCAATCAGTTTTTTAAGTATATCAATTGGACAAAGAAATTTGAGTCTATAGTCATGATTATAGGTGTAAGGCGATCAGCTAAATTGCCGCTGATCAATACATCGGCTTACACCTCCACTCAAGGTTCTTTCATAAATCTAATTATTTCGCACTTTTATTCTACTTTCACCATCGTACGCAAATATCTACAGCACATATGTGTTATAGGTTATCGTCCAAAATTCTATAGTTTAGTTTGAACTTAATAAATCGGTTTTAAACTTTGAGCAAACGTTATCCAATGGTTAGTCATTGTTGTCTTTCATAAAAGATAGACTATGAATTATTATTTCAGTGTCATGAAAAGAAACCTAACAGCTTAATTTTAATCTTAGATATTGAAAATTAGTTTTCTTATTGCAGGAAAATAGCAATCTTGATTTTTCTACTATTTGAAAACTAGAGATTGATTTTTCACTTTGACAGCGATATTTTTCGTAATGTGATTTTGTTTTCCATAGACTTTTATTTTACTAATATATATTCACCTGCTTGCCACAATATGACCAGGTAAACCAAATCGTTCATAATCACCACCATAAATATCTTTGACTAATTTATCAACCTAATTTAAACAAACAACCAATCAAAAAAGAAAACTTATAATCATAAACAATGAAACTAACTTTAGTACTATCACCTTCAGTGGCTAATTTAATAGCTTCATCATAACTTGAACAACCCGTTAATAAACAACTCAAGCCTAAAAATGTACCACCACCTATACTATAATAGATATTTAAGAAAAAAAAAACAAGCAGAAATCATAATAATTAAAATCATGTAAATCAATTAAAATTTATAAAACCAACCTTGTACCACTTATACGTCGATAATTAGTTTCAGACTCAACATGTAATATACTAACTCCACTTCCAATATTAACCAAAAGAAATGGATTTTTAATATCAAAATTAAATGTATGTTTATTTAGATTAGCATCATTTTGTGGTTCTTCATAATAAAAACATTCATTTGGATTGAGTTTACTTAAATAACTTAAACCTTTTATTAATGTACCAAGTTCATCACATTTACACCATTGTAATTTTAATTTCTGATTATAATTTAACAAAAAAAAAAACAGAATCAAAGAATTTCCTTTTTATACACTAAATATAATAACATACATTAACTGCATCGTTTTCAAATTTATAAGCACCACCACCTGTTGCAAAAACTTGAAAAGTTAACGTATGTAAATTTTTCATAATACATAAATCAAGAAAAATTGACATTCTTGCTGTTGGAAATCGAATAAAATGAAGATTTCCACGACGACCACCTAACTCTATATCAGTTAATTCAAGATCATCATCACGAAAACCATCTTGACCATATGCACGATTTGATGTTAAATAATGACGAATATTCATTAGAATTTCACCTTCAGTACGAATTTCATCTGGTGTTAAATCAAGTGGTTCAAAATAAACAAGTTTAACTAATGTTCCACCAATATCAATAGCAAACCAAGGAAAAACTATATCATAGAAAATAAAAATACAAACAATATACACCTTCGAGTAAAAGTATTATCCTCCTCATTCTTTTGGTATAGAATTCCTTCAGTCTGAAGTGAATGTTAGTTACAAAGATAGCTTAATATACGTCTTTCAATACAATTGAGCAACAATACAAATGAGTTTCACGACTAGCTTATATCTTTTTGTGTACCTTCGAACTGTTTTACTGTTGTGGATCATTAAATTCTCTTCGTCGCAATCTTGGAACTTTTTCAAGAATCCGATATAGTCGATCATACGAATACAGATAAAGTAAAACTAATAAATGAAGTATTCTATTAATTAATTCATTTGTGTTGTTGATCGATTGTATTGAATGACATATATTCTTCATACAAGCTGGTCATAATCATTCATACATTACACTAAAATACAGTATTTAACCCATTCTTGTAACCGAAATTCATTTGAGACCTAAGAAATTCGATACAAAAAGAATGGGGAAGCGAGAGACTTTTGTTCAAGGATGTGTATATATTTTTTGTTTTTGTGTTATCAAACCTGGAACAACTTTTTGTTCACATGATTGTTGAAAATTAACAATAGGTGAAACATGACTTGTTGACATTTTTGAATGTTTATTTATATTGGTATTGGAATGTTCGATACCATTATAACTAAAACAATGAATTTGATTTAATAAAATAATAATAGTTGAAGTTGTTGTTCATGAAATTCTTTTTCTGTCTATCATCTTTTTTTTTCTATTTCGATTTTTTCAACGATAGGATTGATAAATACAAAAAAAGAAAAGAATGAGAAAAATAAAATACCCTGTTGTGTTCATTTTTGTCTTATTAATAGGAATTTAATTGATTATCAGATCAACATCTAAAACGAGAACATAGATAAATAGTATGACTTACACAGTTATAAAGGACTATTTTATTTTTATTTCCAATTATATATGTATAGACAAAAACTATTGATATGTGGTTCTCTAATGAATTTATTTTTCGCTCAAACATAGACTCATTATTATTTGCAGATAATTCTTGTTGAAGATACCGTATTTTTGATGATTTCTTCTCTTTTTTCTTTGTGTGTATTTATTCTTGATAATCTAAATGAAAAAATAAATAAATTATATTTATTATATTTCATAATATCTCTCTCATTTATCAAACAGTCTTCAGACTAAAATCTTGATTAGAAATTCATGCTTGATTTTTTTTCTTTAGTTATTTATACTCATCCTAAAATTGTTAAGAAAACCTTTTTTCGTTTTAATCTAAATATCATTGGTCAAACAAAGCGTGAAGATATAAATGAAATTTGTATATGATTATATTTCACTGCATGATGTGACTCATTATGATCCTTATATACCATCGCGATCTTAGAAAAGAAATATGAAATAACATGACAATCATATCTCGTTAACGATCATTTTTTGTTGTATCTTTTCCAGCTGGACAAACAACATACGACTTATCCTCTACAAATATGTAAAATCAAATTTGTTTGTTTTTTTATTAATGTCAAATGCAACTCGACCTATGGTACTGACTCAACAAAAAAAAATGTTTTCGTCGATTTTGACTCTATCTAACCTTTCAATGCGCCTTACATTAGTTCTGTTAACATATCAAATTGATTAGTTTATAGTACCTTGAAAATATCTTGAAATATCAGTAAAATTATTCAAGAAAGTTTATTTTCAATGTTTTTTTCCTGATGCTGTGAGCGTTGGAAATTAGAATAGAGAAAAACAAAATAAGAATTATCATCAGATTCTTACAGATAAGAACTTCGGAAAACCAAAATCCTAGTTTTTCAGCAGCTAGAACACGTAAATATAATCTTATTTAGACTACATAGAATGATAGAGCAAACCATTCTCTACAAAATAAGATGTCGCCAAGTTCTCGACTACGTTTTTTAGCTGAGATACAGCAATTTGATTGAGGGTGAAAAAATTGTTTTTCTATAGGACAATAAAATAAAGCAACTTTAGAGACTTCCGTAAGATTTTTGCATTTCAGTCAAAAAATTACACAGAGAATTGGGAGACAACTCATTTTGTAGACAATTATTTGCTCTATTGTCGTAAGTGCTGAAAAATTAGGGCTTCAGTTTTCTGAAATTCCTATCTTTGAGAATCCGATAATAATTTTGTTATTATCAAATTAAATATTTATCAGTTTTTTGAAAAATCATTAGTCGTATTTATATTGAATATAAATGTCAGTTAATTGAAATATAAACTCCGATTCATCTAACTAAAATTGATACATACTGTTCCATTTATTAATCAAGTAATAAGGAAAAGCAAATTATCTAAAAAAGAAAAAAGTTTAAACAATTTCAAGGTAAATCTCATTCAAATATGAAAACAAAAAATCAAAATTAGTAATAAACAAAACAAATTAGAGCAGTCATTCTACCTCTTTTAGGTTTCTTTTTTTCCTATAGCAATTTTTTCAAATCTGATTTTCTATTGTTATAAAAGATCGAATACTAAAATCAGAAAATAAATGTTAGTCAATTATGAATGAGGGCATAACAAAAATGAAGGACAATTATATTTATCTTCTAGGTTAAATACTCAAATCCGTACTATGATTATATGTCAATACTGATCAAGATCACTATCATAAAAACCTAAGTAAACACATTAAGAATAATAAAATTTTCGTCTTATCAGAAAACACCAATGTCAATAGTTTATTACATTCTTTTCATTAGAAAGCTTACTTCTTTTTTTTTTTTTTTTTAAAAAAAAACAAAAGATATTATTTTACTAGAAAAATATTTATCACTTTTATTGTTGTTGTTGTTGTTGTTGTTCAATCGAATATTGTTTAAGTATCATTATTCGATATTCATTCCATGTATTTGTTTTTAAACTTTCACGAATTTGTTCAAAAAAAGCATGATAATGATACAAATTATGAATTGTAATTAATGTTCGACCAAGTAATTCTTTTGTTTGTATAAGATGATAAATATATGCTTGTGTATAATTTTTACAAGAATAACAATTACAATTCAATAAGAGAGATTGTTTACCATTAGCATATTGTTTAGAATTAATATTATATTCTGTATCAATTGTATTTGAAGATATTTTATCATTATATTTAAATGTTAATATTATAAAACGATCAGAAATATAAGTAACATATGCACCTGAAAAAAGATCAAAACCTAAATCAATACCATGTATAACATTATCTGGTCGCCAAAGAAGTGGCATAGTAAATAGAAGATTTTTATAATCGATTAATTTTGTGCGTGTTTCTTCAATAAATGATTTTAATGAATTAATATTAATATTTTCTGTTAATGGACCATAGGCATGAAAACCTTCAAAACTAATACCGAATATTTTTTTTTCATTATTTGATATAAGATGATGAATATCATTTAAATATAATTGTCTTTGACGTTTATCATGTCCACCAACAAGTGGAATAATAATATTTGATGATATTGTTTGTTCATTTAATGAATTTTCTAAAAAACGTCGACTTCTTTCACGATCTTTATTAAAACGTTTATCTGTTGTTTTATCAATTGGTGTATCACCATCAAACATTGTTTCATATATTGTTGGTTGAATAAGTTGAATTAATTTTTTAAATCGATCTATATTTAATTCTTGTCGTCCAGATTTTGTCCATACACTTGAATAAATATTTCCACTACCACCTGAACGTAATTCAACTAGAGAATCATGAAATGGACAATAAATTGGATATTTTATTCGTGCAAAATTTCCATATGATCCCATATTTTCAAGATTTCTCATTGATTCAACTAAACTACCCAATGGAATTTCAAGTAAACGAGTCACATTATCAGGTATAAGATCATAAGTTACATCAGGTACAACACCGGAACGTACATAAAGCATAGCTGCTGGTGTTTCAATTATTTTTGGTATTGTTGAAAATGCTAATTCACCAAGACGAGCTGCATTTGTTGTTGTTGTTGTTGAATTTGAAAGAGATATTGTTTTAAAAGATATATTAGCCATCTGAAGTCAAAGAATAATCAATTCAAAAAATAAGTAAATGTGTAGCAAAGACAAAAAAAAAATTTTGTTTTATTCAAAAACAGTAGTTATTATTTGTCGTCATTTACTGAATTTTACATATTGTAAATTATTTCAATAGATAATATAATTAATTTGCCATATTCTAATATGACAGTATCAGCGGCAGTTTCTTTTTTTAGAAAAATTGCATAGATTTGCATCTACACGATTTGAATGTCTACAAGTCCAACAGTCAGATTCACAGTGAATCTGATGGATTCAATCTAATTATGCTAATTTAATACAGTGACGCAGAAGATTATCGAAAATAATTACGACGGCGATGGATTTCCAGTCCTGATGGACATATCTGGTAAGACATCTTTCGATTAGGGATGATAAAAATTTACTTTTTTAATATTGAGTATGGTAGAAGAAATTTCCGTTTTTTTTAGGCTATTGTTTTGAGTTAAATTGAATCATAAAATTTTGTTCTAATGTTAAGAGGTAGAGAATTTTGTGTTGATTTTATTAATATATTCTTTTCTGCTAGCATTAAATGTATTGAATATCACAAAAATATTATTTACTCAGCATTTTATTTGAATGAAATGTTGTTTTTCTTCATTAAATTATTTTACATAGGCTATTCAAACGCTGTAATAAGACGCACAGAAACATATCTATTTTTGAGACATACTGCTAAGTTTTCGGATAGAATTTTGTCATTTAAGAAGGCTGATTGCAAAAAAATTTCTCATGGCCAGTTTTAGGTACTTTTTTATGCTCAGGAAAAGATCTTGGCCTCATTCACTAGATTACAAAAGCACTTCAGCCCTTATAATGAAGAGCATTTTGTAGAGTTTGAAATTCTCTAACTGCCGATACAAAAGGAATCGTTTGTGTAAATTCAAGTTTCGAGAAAATTACCGTCGAAAAATATAATTTGGTTGACTGAGGCTTTTTTACCATCAAAAAGAAATTTTTTTGAATTATAATTAACTAGGCAAAAATTGATGTTCAAAATTGTCTCATATTGCAATTGAGCAAATAATGTTTTTATGACATTCAGTACTTTTAATACTATAAGAGAAAGATAAATACTCATTTTGAAAAGAAAATATCAATAAAATCGATATTAAATTCTTTACCTTTTAGCATCAAGAATTAAAACTTTTTGATCCAGTCTAACGTGAGAAAACAATCTAGCAAAAACTGGACATTTCTTCTGCAGCACCTGTTACGTTTATATATATTAAGTTTTCAATAGCATGCACATATTTCTCTCAGAAAAATGTTGTTTACTCGATGACATTCTTGTCCGAATGGATTAAATATCAAATCAATTGATAGTCATAAATTGAACGAGATCTTAAATTCAATAATGTGAAGTCTAATGATTGTACGCAATCAATTGATTTCTATAAAGAAGAAAATATCTAAAACTCGATGAAAATAAATAATAAGTGTCATAAGTTCAATATTAATTGCGACTAATATACCATAGTCGATTAGAACTATTCGACGTATACTTCTAATGGTTAACTTTTCATGCAAAAAAAAAGCGGACAATATTTACTTTTACAACATCAAATAAAAATGATGGTGTGTATAGTATTTTTGACGATTCCTTGTCAAGCTTCTTTAAATTATCGTTGGATCTTGTTGAAATCATTATTTTTTTGTTCTTGATAATAAAGATTAAAGATTTATATATTGAATGAAATTCAATACGAAACGTAAGTCGAGTATTATGTAAAAAGCTGTAAATGATAGAATTCCTTTAGTCTTAACTCACGAAAATACTAAATGACGTATCGAGCAAAAGGAGTGCAAAAAAGTTGAATTTAAGCAGGTATTCGATATATCAAATCAAATCATGCCAATCTTCTTTTGGATTGGAGAATTGTTTAGTAAAAAATACTGTAAACAAAAGAGGTCGCCCATTTCCGAAGTTTGATTCATGCAATCTTTCGATAGAATGCATCAAGATATCTAACGAGGAAAGGTTTCCTAGTGATAAATCGCTTTTAAATGTGGGACTATATTTAATTGATAGAGCCTAGTAAGCAAGTAAATACTATAGAGGACTTCTTGCTGTTGGATCTTTGTTGCTGAGATACCGAATTTTTAGTAGTTTTTTCCTACAGAGATCCAGTTTTCAAGCAACATCATACTTCTGAATTTTGATCTGAAACTTTGCCTACATAAAGGTTCTCAACCAGAGCATTTTGTAGAAAAAAATTTAACAATTCTTTGACAATGACTCTCCAAGATATGAATCTTTTATATTATCTATGTTTTTTTTACAATAACTACGGCCAAACGCCTATATTTTGAAAAATTCATATCTCAAAGAGACTTTGTCAAAAAATGTTGAAACTTTTCTACAAGTAAGTCTAATCGGAGCCATTACGCAGACAAAGTTTTAGGTCAAATTCAAAAGTATGATTTTCCTTAAAACTTGCGGTCCTGCAGGAAAAATTCACTAAAAGCTCAATATCTCAGCAACAAAGGTCTCATAGTTCGAAGCCCTTTACGGTATTTATTTACTTACTAGGTTCTATCGATTGAATATAATCTAAACTTAAAAGCGATTTATCACTTGAAAACCTTCTCTCGTAAGGCAATTATATAAAATTACAAGAGACTGTTTAACTCTGAAGTTAATGTTAAATAAGTGTTGAAAAAATATAAATCATGTGAATAGGACTTCCATATTTATTGTGCGTAACAATGGATAACTATCTTATCATTATTATCAAAATCGTAAATAGTTTTGTTTTATAGAAAATATCATATGAAACATCATTGAACGTCTATCATAGCCAATATGATAGGAAGCACTTCAATATACACATCAATATTTTTACTAAAAAAGAAACAGTGTCGTCACAATATATTCTCGTTTTAGTCGATTAAATATCGAAAAAATAATCGCTTCTATCGAACTCATACATATAGCGTAAGCACAATAGTATAACACTATATGCCAAATATTTTTTTTGTCAGAAAAAAACCAGCAAATATGATACCTATTGACAACAAGTGTAATATGATAGCTAAGATAAATGTAATCAGAACTAATTTAAACGAATATTCCAGTTTCCATAATTCAAGTGTAGGAATTTTTAAAAATTTGTATTTCATTTTGTACTTTCAATAAATGTATCCTTTAGATCTTTTTAGTGCAAAGAAATTAACTTACTTGATTTAATCCTATTTATTATTATTATTATTATTTTGTAACAAAGAAAACACATTCAGTATGATAACTTGTTCGATATATATTGACTTTAATAGTCAAGATTTGTTTGTTTTCTCTGGGATCAACATATTGTTATTTAGTTATACCGAGTGAGTCATAATGGTTGCAACATCTAGTATTTTGCAAATATCTCAACATAGATAAATCGTATAATCTTGATTTTGTTGTTAAAAGATGCTACACCGTAAAATTCTCTACAAGAATAACAAGGAGAAATGCTATTGAGTTAGTGTGATGATTTTTTTTTATAGGACTAAAAATGAAGCATTATATGATGATGAAATGTTCCAGTACTCTGAGAGAAACAAAAATGAACATAATATTGATTATTTCATATATATATATATATATCGGCACCAACAAATCATAAAATCTTAAATTATTTCATTTTTTACATGCGTCCTGGAATCCCTACTGCTTTTATATTAAAAGAATTTTTAAATTATGCTGATGGATTTTTTAGATGACAAAAAATAAAGACCTTCGTGATAACGTCATATTATCCATTATAAAAGTGCGGGAAAAAAAGCTGCAGAAATCTCAAGTAATTAATCTTCTATCGAGTGATTTGTATGCATTAATCGAACCATTTTGATTAAATCGCTATATCCAACAATGAACTGTAGTACGATGCACTTCATTAGCCAACATACTTGAGACATCTGAAGCATTTTTTCCCGTTTTTATAATAAGCAATATAACATTAAAATTATACGATTTATCTATGCTGAGATATTTGCAACATACTAGATATTGTAACCATTATAACTCATTTAGTAGTTAAATCATACGGAAAAAAATTGAAATAAATAGAAATATTTGATTTTCTAAATTCATATTCAATTGACTATATGGAAAGAAATAATGAATAAATTTTAAAACATTCTTGTAATCTTTATTGTATAAATAAAAAAATCACATAGTAAATATATATTTTTGTTTTCTTTTAACTTAATCAAAACAAAAAAGAAACAAGAACCAAGTTCAATAAATTCTTAAATTTTTATAATTTTGCTTTTCTTTTTCAAAAAATAAAAACATCAAAATAAAAATGAATCAATGTAATTAGTTTAAGTATTCGAATGCTTTTTAGAACTGTTTAATGCATAACTTCCTGCATTAGAACTAGTCGATATACCCAATGCTTGTCGTAAACGAGTTAGTGGTCGTGCATGTTGTTTCCGAGCTTGTTCCATATAGATCATAGCTTTGAATGCACGCACTTCATTATCGTCAACATCACATGCAAAACGTCTTGATTCTAGACGACCTTTCTCATTATTAACATTAGTATTTGATACGAGTTCATTAGTTAAGATCGACCATTGTGCATCCATAGGTATTGATAAATGATTGCTATGACTTTCAGATGATTGTCTTAGTTGTGATTGTGAAAATTTTTTTGGTGGAAAAAATCTTGTTCGTCGATCACTACTTGATAAATCAACACTAGATGGACATGAACGAGCACTTGCTCCATTTCCAAGTAAATTTTGATTCGTTGGACTTAAAAGAAAATAAGTTGTTGTTGATGAACTACGTCGAAGTAATGCTGGTGTTGAAAGTCGATCTGGACTTATAGATGCTTGTATTGGACTTTTATATGGAGATGTTGATGTTGTTGCTTTTGGTATTGATGATGATGATGATGATGATGACAAACGATGAATTGTTTGTTCAAGAAAACGAATACGATCCAATAGAAGATTATTAAAATTTGTTAATAATTCTTCACGAAGACGAGCTAAACGTAATTGTGTTTCTCGATCAACACATAAAGTATTAGTACAACATCCATTTGCCATATTTTTTGGTTTCATGAATCGATGGAATAATATTTTTGTTTGACAATATAATAGAAATCGTTTAAAGTAATTGTAGAACGTTCAGCAACTATGCAGAATATATTCTTGCGTGTCTGACTATGTGTGTTTAATGGAAAATTCTGACGATCTAAAAGAGAAAAAGAGGGAGAGAGAGAGAGTCAGATACAATTAAAACTGATCACCAGCAAGACAACATTGTAGAAGAAAAACGACAAGAAACATGTTAGAAACGAGAGAAAAGAAGAAGTCTGAATAAGTAAAAGAAAGAAAGAGAGAGAGAGAGAGAGAGAGAGAGCTAATAGTTTAGATTGAATCAGTTTCTATGCTTCTCCTATGTTTTCCCATCTCTACTTATTCACCGCACATGTTCCATTGAAGCACTTGTTATTTATATCTCGTATTCGTAAACACTTATTCTAACGATTACACACAACATTAGTTTTTATTCAATGAGACATTACTCTTTCTCTTTATTTATCTTCTCACTTCACTCCTACATTATTTCAGAAAATGAAACATGTAATAATAAATAGCAGTAAACTTTGTTTGGTTATTATTTGAAAAGCCATAAAAAACTTCATATAGATGTGTGTGATCCGTCACTTTCAATAATAATGTTGACTTTTACTTAAGTAAGAAAAAAAGAAAAAGAAGATAAAAACTTTCAAGTAAATGTCATAGATAATGAAAAGATTGACACTAAAATGAATTAGTAAAGAAGATATGAATTAAACTAATTCTTTTTTCTCAAAAAAAAAAATATAAATAAATAAAAACTAATAAACATATATATATATATATATATATATATTTAGACTTTTATTTATGTTCCGATATGTGTAGAAAGGAAGTTCTCGAAATAATAGTGATTAAAAAGAAAAAAAAAAGGATTTTTTATTGAATAGAACATGAATATTGTGTTATATATGATCATTGATAGTTAAGTACAATCAAGTATTTTCAAGTGTATTTTTACCGGAAATATAATTACTTGCTATTTTTTTATTAAATTTCTAGTTTATTCAAATTTTCTATGTTATAGTATACATGGAAATTTAATCATTTTTAGATATATACATGGTCATAAAAACTTGTTATGAAGATAAATAAGAATTTTTATGTAAATTCTATTTACTAGAATATAATAAAGATAAAACATTATAAAATATTATTATTATTATTTTATTGTAGCAAGATGTTCTCTTTATGTAATTATCTTCAATGTATATATATATATATATAATGTGTTGTAATAGATCGTTTTTATAAATTACATTCATTTTTTTTTTGACATGGAAGAACTACGCATTTTCCTAATCAATATTGTTCTTTAAATATAAGTACAAAGATGTATCTTGGGATTCTTATTAAATAAATGATGCTTGCGTGTTGTTGATGAACAATAGTAAATTAGGAAGAAAAGCTTTGTAGAAGATAACAAAAAAAAAAGAACACTAATGTTCTTCTTCGATGAGTTTTGTTGGTTAGAATTACACAGGAAAAAAAAAGTGAAGATGAAAGCAAGTATTTACGCATAAAAAATCTTCAGGTTAAAATAATGATAATGAACTCTATAAAAATGATTCTATTTACCGCTTTAAATTTTCGAATAAAATATGAATGATCTTCCTAAGATTCATAATAAAGATATTAGAAAGAAAAAAATCCAATATGAATCTTAATTAAAATTTTTTTTTCTTTTGGAAGAACGCAAAAATGGAAACTCATTATAACAATGTATCGATAGCTGCTAGTTATTTCGTAAGCATTTAAGTCTATGAATCCTTTGAAGAACTGTAGGATTAGCTTTTTTTTTTTTCTAGATAATATGTCAAGGATTGTATTTGTCACTGTAAGAAATAAAATTGATTTCTATTAAGAATATGCTTTGAAAATTCCATTAAATATATTTTTTCTCAAGAGAATATTATTGTAAAAAAAAAATCAATGCATCATATTCATGTGTCTTATATAATTTCCTAAAATATCTATCAAATAATATTTGATGAAAGAAATTATTTTTCAACTATCGTGTTTTTTTCCTAGCTAATCATAAAATAGAAGTCGAGTATTTTTGAACAATTGAATTGCATCCTACTTTACAAATAGCTATTCATAATTTAAACAAAAAAAAAAAAAGATCTAGAAACAATTAGCACATAAAATTATATTCAATTAAGAATATTATAAAGAAAATTTTCTATAGGCAACTTGCATTAAATGTGCCAGTAGAATCAGCAGTATCTACCATTCAGAAATTGGAAGCTTAACAGTCTTCTACAACGAGTATGGCTCAAAACACTATGACACATACAACTCTCCTCTGACAAGGTTATAAAGACTGGTACATACAATCTTGATATGGGTGCTCTTAACAATGAATCTCACTTGAATTTCAATTTCTAGACGGTGGGCATATCTTTCTTTAGCACATGCATGAAGTTCCCGTTATTCATAATTTTCTTCATCAGTGCTATTCGTATATTCTCGTTCGCTCTCACGTATATTACATTAATGCAAACAATACATGCCGTGATTACATTCAAATTTATTTGATGAAATGTTGTTTAATATGAAGATAGTGTGTGTATTGACAATATTTCTCAAATATAAGTGAACTAAGGGTACAATTATAAAAAACAATGCACTATTAGTTGATAATAGGTGACGATTGAGACTAAGCATGGGAACCACATAATGATCAGCTTGTTCAATAGACGAACTCTATTACAATATATCATTCAGTGTTATATTAAGTTCAAATCATTGCTTAAATGTGTAATGTTTATAACACAATAACATTGATTAATGATTAGAATGTTCTAGTGATTTTTAATTTCCTGAATGACGATAATATCTAAGGATTGAGTTATTTTTATGATACATACAAGCATAATATTCTAATAATGATGGTATTATACAGCAATATTATGAATATTAACTCGATTCGAAAGTATTAGAAAAAGTACAAGTTCTTGTAACAAATAGATTATATTTAGTTTACGACAACTCAAAAAAATATCTGAGCTTTTTACTCCTCGTCGAACTATAAAAACAATAAAAATAAATCAACAATTGAATATACTGAGTTTGTGGACATATAGAAAAAAAAAACGAAAGGCTTTGAAAATTTTCACGATACTAAATGAAACAAATTTTCTCGTGAACTGAAGAAAAGCAGAATAAAATTAGGCATGATCTTAAAAAAGGCGAGGCTATACGAATGTTAGAAAAGAAGTAGGAAGTAAGATGAAACGGAACTGCTTTTCCGCTGTGTTAAGCACTCTTTATCTGTATCCATCTTTTACAAAGTTATAATGTACGTTATCATGTCACACGGTGCGCTAAAGAGTTTTTTTTTCTTTTACTTATAATGACTAAAATTTTAAAAGATGAAGAACTGCTCGAGTGCGTATAACATACTTGAGTACAATAGCACTGTAGCTCATGCAGAGTTCATTCTTCGTCGTTATCTTTACTTATTAGATTGATTCAAGGTTTGTGAAACATTATGCCAAAGAAATTGATTCTGCGATTTCTAGATAGAAAAAAAAAATCAATGCCAGAACAAATAATATCAGATTTCAAATTCTATAATGGCAACCAAATGAGGATAATTTTTCATCTATCGTCTCGGTTCATAATCAAGAAAATAAAAGAAATAAATAATTACTGAGAAATAATTGATTTGAACAATAGAATATAGAACGAGTGGTGCATGATAAATTAGATTATTTATATTTTTAATATTTCTCTTCTATTATTCATTGAATTGAAACGCTTGTTTTAATCAAAAGATAGCTCTTGAAATTCTACATGAAATCTTAGGCAGATACAATAACAGTCAAAACGATGTTTAAACATCTTAATTTGTAAAAGCTATGAAAAATGTTTGATTAGTCACCAAAAATATGTTAAAACAGTTTAAGATTAATAATTTTTTTCACATATCAAACCTTTTGAATGATTTGAATGATTTTGATGAAAACGCCTAATAACAATTAACAAACATGTTGTGAAAACAATGAATTGACAAATTTACAGAATGTCTCGAGTATGTTTTTTTTACATATAACTTCACTATTGATTGACCTTTATCAATTGACTTTTTTTTGTATGATAGGTGAGACCATCAAGCTTTTATTTCTATTGACAAACTATAAAAGTACTGTTTAACACAATTAACTTTAGTCGAGGTATAAGAATTTAGTCTTTTTTCTTTCTAGAATTATTCTGATGTGTAAATTATTCGAAACTTGAGGAGTCGTTTTATATAAATTACTTTTGATGTGTTCTAATAAATAGAAATCAAATGATATAAAATCAAAATTCAGACAACTGAAAAAGAAACGCAGCATAATATTAAGGGATGTACTCGAAATTGTGAAACGAGTTTAAAATTCATCATTCTTGCATTCGACAAAAGCTAACTCTTTGAAATTCTAATAGATTATTATACATGCTTAGTACTCAATAACTACAAAGTTTGAAGTCTGTAGCGTTTATTATGGGTGAGAATCAATAAAGAACATTGTCATAGACTATTTTTTTTGAAATTTTTCCGTCATCTTGGTTAATATTTTTACAACAATAGAAGCTTTCGAAATAAAAATAAATCCAAATCAAATTATCAATGTTCGTATATTTGATTATCGTGCTCATCGGTTACTAATTTTTATCGTGTTGGCATTTTATCTCATCATTCATTGACATACAAAAACACTAAATTTGTTTCATTTCTTTTTAGTTTCATATTTCAATTGTCTAATATTACTGTATTTCCTCCTTTAATACACTTCAAACATTTTCTATAGGTCAATTGTCGGCTAGCTTTGCAGCACAATTTATTCATTGAATTCGATTGATAGAAACATGTTTGACGGTATCCTTTGTTTAAAATCTTGATCATTTTGAAAAATGACATTAAAAAAATAATCAAATACACGAACATTGATAACTAGATCTGAGCCTCTTTTTATTTTGAAAGAGCTATAATAGTCTTCAAATTTTGTAGTTATTTAGTACTAAGCATGTACAATAATCTGCTAAAATTTCAAAGAGTTTGCTTTTGCTAGATGTGAGAACGATGAATTTCAAAATTGTTTCAAAACTTTTGGAACACCTCTTATGTCCACTGTTAAAGAAAGAAACAATAGGAAAAGGTTTTCAATATCATATTATTCAAAGGAAGAGAAACGATCCGTCTACTCAATATGATATCTTAACATATAATGATCTTAGTAGTAATTTTCGCTTACCATATAAGCATTTAATCGTCAGTATTATTCGTTTTTACTCGTTAATATAGTGTACAGTATACAATCAAACCAAAGATGACTTACTTAAATATGCAGTAAAATAAATTGATGTTAGACAAGATGATATTATGATATACTTTGAAAAAGTCAATATAATATCTGTTGTCAATAGTGTGATTATGAAACGACATTCAATATGAGATGCAGTGCAAGTCTATTTTTATTCTGCATGTCATTTGGTAATTGCGTGACTGTTGTAAATGAAAGAAAAGATTGCATTTTGCTCTCATCAAATATTAACAAAGAATGATACTTATTTTAACCATCTACCATACTACTCAGACATTGATGAAAAGATACCATAAATGGAAACTCTCTACGAGAAATGTTCTCACTTAGTTTATTACATTTCTCGTTACTATGACTTCAATTATTAGTAGTAGAAAATGTTTTTTTTTTCATTTAAAATTTAATATACACTAACGATTCGATCATATATAGGTACTACAAAATAATTAAACTATAAGCACTTACCATTCATTAGTAGTAAGTGAGTAGTAATAACCATTGACAACTAGCAATTTGTAAGCGATAATAACACTATTTACTGAGAACATAATAATAATATAATTTTTCAAGTTACAATCTATATTTTTTGATGATTAAAACAAAACAGAAAAATATTGCTTAAACGTGTTTTTTCCAGAAGAAAAAAAGAAATGATAACGATTTTAACGATTTTGGTCAGAATTTTGGAAAATAAAACTGTGAAAAGACGTTTAAAATAAAAATTTCATCGATAAACACATTTAAACACGTTAATACTATTTAAACTTTTAAACAAAAAAACGTTTCAACGCAGTGATAATCGTTGATTGTCTGCTTATATCGATACATCAACACCACGTCTATGAAATCCATGAAAGAACTAAAATGGAAAAGAAATCTTTGTTCACATTTGTATTGTGACTGAAGATGCAAGCGATCAACAAGGAAAAAATTGACTTGCTATAAAATCATTCAGTCTTTTGATTGACAACCGAACCACAACACAGTACGTGAATAATTTATTTGTATCCTTACTAATAATATGGGACTATAAAATAATATTTCAAACGACGGAAGAGATTAGAGAACATCTCAGGAGAAACAATTCAACAGTCAGATCTTATCGAATGCCATCAGAATCCCATACATTTTAAATCGGTTTCTGACAATTCAACATAACAACACTTCAGAGACAATCATTATTCGGTTGATCGATTGAGTAGACATGGCGTAGAGTTGAAGTTGACCGGAAAAATCCTACCAACCTGGTTTACGTGAGTTCAAAATTCTAAGTTCTGTCTCATTTGTTTTCAGTTTTTTTTATGCATCGAAAATCTCGATGGTTGCTGCAATGAAGAAAAAAATCTGAAAAAGATTTCGGAAAAAGTAAAATAATGTTTGATCATGAAAAGCATTCTAGAATAAAAGATTTGAAACGATGACGAATCTCTGTTGATTTTATCTTCTACTTTACGAGAAATACGAAATTTCTTTTACGAACAAAACAAATTTTGTTCTGATACGATTTCTAAATAAGAAACTTCGAAATGTCAGAATAAATCAGATAGAATCAATGATAAAAAGAAAGAATCGTTCATTGACAATGGCACAATTCAATATCTTGTGTTCGATTTCTGTGGCACATAAAATTCGACATAAGATGGCTCGAATTTCTCTTAATTGTTTTTGCAAAATTGTCTGAGTCACAGCAAATATCGATCTTTATTTCTACAAATGATGATGGAAGAGACATTTCGATTCCGAATCAATTTTAGTCGGTTGAAAGACAGAGAAGCAAAAATTAATCAGTCCCTGAGAGACAATTCAATTTTTCTCCTCCATTTCCATTGAATTATCGTTTCAATCACTCATTGATGGTCTGCAGTTCAAACTCGATGGTTCATGATAGATCTCTCGTGTTCTTTCAAGATTGATCATCAACTCAACAATTCTTTTTGGTCTAGTTAAATCAAAGAAACGTTTCGACAATGAGCGAGACACATTCATTCTTGTGTTGAATGAATGATCCATCAACGATTGTGCACAGATGAGCAATGAAGTGGTCTTGCCTTTGATCGAATATTAAAAAAAAAAAGACTTCGCCAGCAAAGATGATCATTGTCAATAACGAAACTCTTTCTTTTATTCTATCAAGAACCATAGCAGTGATTGCAATTACAACTATTGGTCTCGATAATACTAATAAGAACTAATACAATTATATAGCAGAAAAATCACAGATGCAAAAGTCAATTTTCTCATTAACTGTATTCATCTGCAGTGCGTAGCAATGAAAACAGCATTGGAACCAGTATATCGGTACCAACTCTGTTTAGATCAAGAATATTCACAGCATAAGTAATCGAAACAAAATCTATCAACTACAATTTCTCATGAAATCCTCATCTTTAAATATAATATCCGTATTTTTAAATTTAAATATCTTTTTCAAAGAGTATTTGATTGATTGTTTAAGAACAAAAAAAATTAAGTTGATTTTTCCAATAAAATGTCTATTGAAAATTGTTTCATGATGAAAAACAAACGATCATCTATTTTAATAATTAATTTTTTTTTCACTTACATATGACACACGTATAAGTAAAAGTGTGCATTGCAAACAAAAAAAACAAAACAAACAAAAAAACAGAATCATTGTCATTGAAAATGTATATAGAGTGTATATATATAGAAGTTATGATCATCAAATTGAAAAAAGAAAAGATGTCAAATTAGATGCACAACAAGAGTAAAACAAAGAACAAACGAAAAATAAAATAAAATAAAAGTTAATGAAAAAAAAGAAAAACAATTTTTTTTATATTATTGTCGTGGAGTCGATGCATTTGTCGATTGACGATGCATTGTTTGAACCATTAAACTAATATAAGATGTAAGAAGATCATCCATTTTATAACCCTTAAATTCGAAAATTTAATATCTTTTTATTTTTGTGTAATTATTCAACAAAGAAATACTTACTAATGGTGATTCACATAATAAACGTGTACCACGAACAATATCACCCACAGTCTACAAAAACAAATAAAATAAAATTCATAGAAAAAAGAAAAAAAAATAAAACATGTCTTTGTTTTTTTACCATATTAAAATATGTATTTCCACTTGACCAATTTGAAATGCTTGTAAATGGATATGTTATAAGTAAATCTTTTGTTTTTGGATGAATTAAATTAACACCATTTTTATTAATTGCAATTAATAACTGTTCAGGAAATGTTGGATCAGATGTTTGCTATAAATTAATGAATAAATATAATTATTTTATATTTTTATCATAACAAAAAATAAAACATTTTCTTTCATACTTTCACTTCAAAAAATGCTGAACCAAATGTTGCCCATTGATAAACAATTTTAAGAAATTTTATTTTAGCATCTTCTGATGATACATTACGTGATTGTCCATGAGTTGTCATAATACGCTAAAACAAAAAGAAAAATTATATAATAAAATTCAAAAAAAGAAAATTAATTAATAAACCTTTTTCCATTCAGTATATGGAAGTTTATCAACAAGATCAGATGGAAGAAAATCTTTTAATCTAAAACAAAACAAAAAATTATTAACATTAAAAAAAAAAAAAAGAAATATTTACTGAATATTTTCAAATTGAGCTGTACTATCACCGAATCGAACACGATATATACAAGCGGCTAATTGAACAGCTTCATCATTCGAACATTTATGATAACCACGAATTAATTTCGGAAGTTCCTAAAATGAAATAATGTTTGTTTTTTAATTTTATTTTTTCATATATACTTGATGATAATGAAATATAATATCAGCCATTCTATCTTTTCCTGGTACAGCATTTGTCCATAATTTTCTCATAAAAAATATTTGATAAGTATATTTTGGTGGATCTTCACGTTGTTTTGTTTTTTTAATCCATTCCTATATTAAAATTATTAAATAAAAAAAAAAATTATTTCAACAAAAAAAAAAATAAAAATAAAAATTATTAATCAACATACAGTTAAATGTCGAACAAAATCAAAGAAAAAATCTCCTTCTGGTACACTTATAACTTTATCAAGAATTTTAACAAATAAACTAAAACCTTCACTTGATTGTAATTTAAGTCTATCAGCTATATTACGACAAAAATCTTTTGCACGTGTTGATGAATCAACTTCAAATGCTTCAGATGTATCATCTGGAAAATAAACTTTATGATAAATTTGTGTTGTCATATGTTGAATTGCTTCAACTTCAACTTGATGTGGTGGATGTTTACGTTGACCATTTCTAAATATAAAATTTAACAAAATTTTATTGAGAAAAATAATTATTTCATTTAATTTTCTTTGTTTTTTTTTTTACTTTAATATTCGTTGTAAACGTGCAAAACAATCAACAGCTAATTGATGTTTACGTGATCGTAGAAATAGATTAACTTCTTTAAGTAAGACAGCACTTGGTGCAAAACATCCACTTGATAACCACATTAATTCCCAACCACGAGATTCACTTGCTTGATTACCATTATCAGTTAATTGTTTAACAATTTGACAATAGATTTCATCTTTAAGAATTTCCTTTACAAAAAAAAAAAAAAAAATAATAAAGTGTTAATTATGTAAAATTTCTAGTTTAATAACGTGATGATGAAGATTTATTAAATATTATAAAACATATTTGTTTGTAAATATTGAATATTATAATAGAGGACAAGATAGAAATTAGCTTACAAGGGAATATTTTGAACTGTTCAATTGCTTTCTCATGGGCTTATAAATAACTCAATATGCTCTATAATTTGAGTCGATCTAAAACGATCTTAGCAAAAATTGTTGTTAGTACGAAAAATCAGCATAGTTAATAGCTAATAATCCACTAGCGTTTAGCGAGAAAACGATTGATCGATTGACAATGTTCCTTTGGAAGTTGATAATGCTTTAGCTATGCACAACGAGAGGGTATGGATATTTTTATGAATTAGAGAAGTCATGTTAGTAAATATTGTATCTAAGGGATAGTGATAGTTTATTGTCATTGCATAATAACTTGTTGGCTTACAATATCAGCTACTCTATTAAGTTCTACAGGTTTTTTTATTCGCAAAAAAAACTTTCAAACAACTTAACGGACTATCAGTTAAATCTTATATTTCAATGGTTTTTTTTTGCCTATAGATACTAAATAGTGTTCTAATAAAAACTGGATCCCTATTGAGATTTGACTAACCAATCGAATTGTTTTTTCTATAGGTTCCAGTTTTTCGAAAAACTCATATTTTCGAATTTTGCACATATACAGAATTCAATTAGATTAACTTCGGTATAAAAATTCAAAAGTTTTGAACAAAGTCTCTTCGAGATATAAGACTTTCAAGATATAGACTCTTCTTTTAAATATAGCTTCATATCTCGACGATACTTTGTTCAAAACCTCTGAAATTTTTCATGGAAGCTGTTCTAGTTGAATTTTCTATATGTGCAAAGTTTTAAGTCAAAATTCGAAAATACGGATTTTCCGAAATCCTGAAGCCTCACAAGAAAAAAAACTTCAATTGCTTTGTCAAATTTCAATAGAAGTCTAGTTTTTATTAGAATAGTACATAATATCTATAGGTATAAAAAAAAATCATTGAAATTTGCAAAAATTAAGGTTTCAAAGAATTAAAATAGAGTTATATAACTTTAGTTTTGAATTTTTTTCATATGAAAATCTTACATGTTTAAGTGCTGGATCGAAAATAGCATCTGTTAATTCATTTGTTGCTCGTCGTCGTAAACCTGTTTGATAATCACCCATATATTTAAGTATATTCATAAAACAAGAACATGCTTCTTCACTTAATTCTAATTTTTCTTGTAATTTTTTTAATAATGGTTGTCTTAATGGTTCTTTTTGAAATGCCCATAAACGATCACCATTATTATTCATTCCGGTACGTCGTGAAAATGTATTTGACCATGTACGTTTAGGTGGTAAACGAAAATTTATTTCAGCATATTTTTCTAATGTATAACCTTGTTCAGGTAAAAATTCTCCATTATTATTACCATTTAATGAAAATAAATGTTCATTTTGTGCTTGTTGTTGATTAATATCAGTCCATTGTAATGCAAATATTTGTAAAATATCTTGTGGTGGTTTTGATAATGTTGGTAATATATAAACGCATTCACTCGGAAATTCACCGGTTGAGCCTGTACGTTCATTATAACCAAAAAAAGTACCTGTTGAATTTGTACGTGTATCATCTTCTAATATAATTAAATCACCACGACGTATAGATAAACCTTGTCCTGATGAATCAAAATCTTGTATAACAACAACATATTTTGATTTACGTTTAAGACCTTCTAAAAAATTAATAACTAAATCACGTATATCATCAGCATTATTTGATGTAAATGTATATTCATCATTTTTAATTGTTATTATTGTAAAACTATTACTTTGTTGTCTACTAGATGATTTACTACTAAGTACTTGTGTAATTTCAGGAAATGATAATTCAAGTAAAACTTGTTCTTGATCATCAATAACATAAACACCTGTCCAATTAACAGCAATAATAACTTCATTTTTTGGTAATGTTGGTCCAGAAAATTTATATGCTTCATAAAAACGTGAAAATAATAATGGCCATTTAAATCGTGCATAATTAACAACATCTTCTTTAACACGTAAAATTGATATAGAATCTTTTGTATTATTAAAATGACGTTTATGAGCATGTATTATTATTTGTGACCAACGATCAGTTGCTTTATTTTGAACAAGTTGATTATCAGGAATATAATGAGGAAGTAATTCACGTAAACGATCAATATGCATTTCTTGACCATATTCAATATAATATTGTTGAGCAGCTATCATTGCTAAATCATCATCTAGGAATAAAAACAAAAGATTTTAAGTTTTTTTATTTTAAGTCATATTTTATAAAATTTGAAGGTTTAGAATTAAAAATTCTCTAAGTACATTCATTTAATAATCTCTAATATAATACAATCATCTTTTCAAAGGATGTTAAGAAGAACTAATCAATGCATAATGTATGCAAAGGTATTGTAAGGAAAGAATATAACATTCTTCAAATGTTAAGAAACTCTTTGAGCCTAAAATGTGGAACTTCTATGTGTTCTTTAGCCTTATTATACGAATACAAAATACGTTAATCTTTAGTTTTCTATAGTTATTTTCCAAAGATAATCGATCGCTAATTTTATTTCTTCATTTCGAACATAATTGTTTTTTCCTTTCTCTACTAGTACTTAGAGGTGTAAGCCGTACGGCTGAGCAGCCACCGCCGCTAAAAAAGATATTGAAATGATTATAGCCGTCGTTACTGAAGAGCCAGAAAAATCGAATCGGTAGCCGCTGGAAATTCTCAAAAATCGGAAATTTTTGTCCGCCACCGTTTGATCCTTCGACTTACACTTCTACTAGTGTTCTCTTTTTTATTTGCCTTCTTATTATTCATTTTTGTATTTCATGCCTCTTAATTGAACATATTGTATATATTCATTATATCTACAAAAGATCTTAAAGCACTATAATATATTTCAATAAGGTCGCAAACATCGATATTGATTATTTCTCGAAGTTATAAATTCACACCTTGTTATGCTTACTTTCACTTTATTTGCTTCGATATCGATCAATTTTAATTCAAAAACAAAAAAATGTTTACCTTTTTCACATCGATATTCACCAAATTTAATTCCACGTACAACTTGTTGATAAATTAAATTTGTTGCTACAGAATCATCTTGTGGATTATGCCATGGTGCAAATATTTCTTTTCGAAAAAATAATCTCCATGGTGCTATTTTTTCTAATGTACCTTGTTCTTTAGCATATTGTTCACATTGTGATATAGCATCCATAACATGATCCATACCAGAACCAAGTGATGATACTTTATCAAATAATGCAATATATAATGAAAAACCAAATTTATCAGTTAAATTAATTTTTTCAGCTAATAAATCACATAATTCACGTGCTGTTGTTGCTGAATCAGCTTTTAAAGCTTTTGAACTACCATCCATAAATGTTATTTGAAGTAATAATGGTTCTTTATGTTTTGTTGCCTGAAAAAATAAAACAATAAATTAAAATTCTTTTTTTTTTCCTTTTACAGAAAAACAATCAAGGATTATCTCTGCATCATGATAAAGTTAATGAAGGGTAGCAATTCTATGAATTCGTAAAATGATCAGTTGTTCCATGTGATGAGTTAAAGTTAATAATTAAACAATATGGATATCAATCGAATGTTCTTGATAACAAAAAAATTCTATCAGATGTTTTAAGAAGAAATAATATGTGATATTGTCATGCCTGATGATTCCACTTTTTTATGGCGAAAGAAAAATCCTAATCTAGAACCTCAATTAAGTAAAACATCGATGTTGCATATTTGTTCGCACTACGACCAGTATACCATGGTACTCAGAAGAACCAACAGTATATTATCGGTCAGTGAACTACTATTAGTCTGCCGTCAGTTTTAATTGCACGAGCAGTTTGCTGAGAGTAGAAAAGGTTCATTAAAACTATGATTGCTCCGTGAAAAAGATAATTTAAGAAAATAAATTAAGGGCTCCCTCAGAAATAAATTTTTTTCATTTTTCATCTGATTTTAACAAAATTTTCAGAGAATGTTAGTCTTGGCTAGAATAGATCATGGGTAAAATATCTTCCCCAAGTCTCCGAGACACTCACAAATTATAGTCACTTCATTAGTGAAAAGTATCCTTTACAAGGGCAAGATTTTCAAAATATGGACACGAGCTAATATGTCGGAGTGGTTTTGAACTTATAGAGTACACTTAGGGCTAGATCATCATAGAATCCAATTTTTTAATTTTCCTTTGTGCGTTTTTTTATAAAAAAAACTTTTTCAAAAAATTCTGAAATTCATAGCGAGTGAGATGTCTATCCTACATTCTAAAAAGGAAAAGGCTTTCTCAGAAACCGACTTAGGTAAGTTTCCGATACCTTTTGTTTAGAGTGTACTCATACTCCACATATGTACAATCAATTCAGAATTATCCAAACTAATATGAAATTAACTTTCGTACTACTCAGCTACAAAAGTTTTCATACAATGTAAGTTCATATTCTTCAGCCGCGGGGATCTCCCGAAAAATCGCAACGTTCTTCTTTTAACAAAAAAAAAATGACGCCAACTTCAACTATCCTATCTCATTACTCAATTAGCTACGAATTCATAAGTATAATATATTATTGTTTAAAAGAAAACGAAATATTTCTTAATATATTAAAAATAAACTATACTTGTAATTCAAGCCATGATGGTGGTTGTGTTCTTAAACCATTCATCATTGTTCTTGATAATCTTTCATAACAATATCTTGGAAAACCATTTGGACCATTTAATATAAAATTTTGTAAATATTTAATTAATTTTGATGATGGTGCAAAACAACCAACACATAATGATAATAAAATCCAACCACGTGCAATTGATTGTGATGATGGATTTGATGTTAATTGTTTACATATTTGACAATAAATTTCATCACGTAATTCAGCAACATGTATACCAAGACCAATAATAAAATGTAATTTTTCTAAATTTGATGTTGGACGATCTTCTAAAAATGGATTCATACCAGACATTTTAATTTGTTGTGTTGAACTTAATATATCTAAATCTTTTAAACGTGTTATAGCAACATCAGTTGATAATTTTGATTTACGTTTTAATGTCATATTAACTAATTTTTGTTTTACAGAACGTGATGTTGTTTTATTTGATGTTGATGATAAACCATTATTTAATATTATTGATGTTGAATTATCAGGAAGTGTTAATGATGGTTGATTATCAATTGATTCATTTAATTTTTGTGCTTCTTCCAAATCTTTTTTATTAAATTTTCTACCAAGTGTTGAATGAATTTTTGTCATTACAGATTGTTTTTGATGACCTACATTTGGTGTACGAACATCAGGTAAATCACACATAAATCGAAGAATTGTTATCCAAATAGCTAAAGCAGCCTAATTAGCAAAAAAATAAAATAAATTTTTATTAGAGAGAAAATCATTTTAGATTCATAGTTAAAATGAATAGATCGATAGGTAGGAATCGAGATAATACGAAGACTTTATTTATGTTGATATAGTTTCGAATAATTGTTTTCAAAATTGAAATTATTTACAAGAGAAGATCCTTAAGTTTGAGGCTGTATGCCAGTTTGCAACTATGATGTAAAACATTCTTCTTAGAGTTCTGCGAGATCCGAAAAAATCTTGTTTGTTCTGTCCTACAAGACTTTAGTTCTTCTTCATAGACTGTCTTTTGATAGGTAACTCGAAATGACTGTAAACTGTGTTATTATTTCTGAAATTTTAGAACAAAAAATACAAACCAATTGATCACGTTCAGATTTAATTGCTAATAATGGTTGTTTTAATGTTTTCTTTGTAAATTGTGGTGTAGCATTTCCTTGAAAATAAGTTGAAGCAAATTTTGCAAATGTATATTCTTTTAAATCTTCATCTTGATCAGGTAATGGTAATGGTTTATCAATTCTTTCAATATTATCATTTAATTGTGGCATATTTCCTAATGTTGATTGCATACCACCTGTTGTAATTGTTGATGGACGATGTATTGGTGTTGTACGTTCATCATTATTTGATGGAAACATATTATTAAATAAATCATTTTCATCTGTATAAGTTTTTCGTTCCATTAATAAACGTTTTTCTTTAGCACGTTGTTGTTCAAGACGTTCTTGTTCATGTATTTCATTTTCAAGAAATTTTAAACGTTCTTGATATTTTCTTTCAGCTTCTTCTTTAGCACGTTTAACACCTAATGTTGTTATTAAACGTTTTTCTTCTTCATATCGTTCTTGTTCAGCTTCACGATACATTTTTTCTTCAATACGATAACGACGTATTTGTTTTTGTGCAATATGTCGTCGAACTTCAGATTGTAAAATAAGTATTGAATTTAATTTTCGACTATAATTTTGACGAGCTAAATTAAATATAATATTATTAGATTGAAGTTTTATTTTTTTTTTATTTTTTATCTTACCAAGATAACCACGACAATAACGTTGAATATTAAGTATACGTGAACGTAAAACAGAATAACGAAGTGTTAACATACGAGTATGAAATTGTGTTTGTAAACGTGTAAAACCATTACACATTATTTGAAAACGTTTTACTTCACGATGACTTTTACAATAACGTTGAATAAGTAAAACACTTTGACGTATAGAAAGAAATTGTCGATGTGCAATCCATTGACGTATAGAATTTTGTAAAATAAGAATTTTACGAGCCATTACTTTTTCACGAGCTTGTTCAAGAAATACATCATGAGCATCCTATAATTGAAATTTTATAAAAATGATTTTTCTATGAATAAAAGAAATCTTAATTCAATCATTTTGAGATTCCTTTTTTTTTTTCGTCGTCGAATCTGGTATTTTACATTTTGGTAATTCTTCATCTTATGAAGATCTAATCATAGTTAAAATACTAAATCAAAGCATTCGAAGACTAATCGGCATGACAAAATATCGGTCATTGGTATATAGGGAGGCTTCGAACTGGAAAGTAAAGAATGCTAAGCTTGCCAATGAAAAGAGTACGATTGATAATGTTTGATATATCTTATTCCTTGAAAGTTTTGAATGTTTTAAACAGGCGAAATCTTTCGTAGAGTGAACCAACTCGAAAAGCTGTGTAAAAGATAATCAAAGAATTTATTCTTAAATAAATATGACTCAGTAGAAAACTAATTCTTCAATAAAATATTAAACGATAGGATACGAAATAAGATAATGTCTTCATTTTTTTAAAATCAAATCCCATAACGAACACTATTTTAACTTTTATTTGTACATCGCTTCATTTCGTAGTAAAATCTCCCCGCGGGTAAAAAGAATTTCGTAACGGTTAATTTTTTTTTTGAAATAGATCAGCTTTGGCTGAAGAAAAATCAATGAAATTATTCTTTGTAATATATCGAAACAGTCTCTATGAATGACCACATACAGATATTACAATACAAAAAAGATACTGAAATTCCTTAATGCTTGGTCATGCTGTAATATAAATTTTTAATTGTTGTATCGGTTTAATTTCAAAATCACTGAACATAATTCATTATTATTATATCTTATGACTATCTATAATATCGTTTACCATACAGGTATTTTTTCTTACTAACCTTGAGAAAAACTTTTGTTTTTCCAATTTGATAATCTTGATTAATCAAAACAGTTTTACAAATTTTATCTGCAGCCAATCGACAATCACCTTCACTATGTGATGGTCCAATACTTGATGCCAATAAACGATATCGATCAACAAAATCTCGAAATAAATGACGAATTGGATAACCTTTTCTACGAATACTTATTGTTTCCATCATTCCTGAATAACGTAATTGTCGACAAACTAATGCTCGATCAAAATTCTAAAAAAAAAAAAAACATTTTTTGTTTTTTTTTTGAAATAAGAAAAGAATAATTTACATTTGGTGTTTTATATTCATTTGGTTTAATACAACGAATAAAAAATGGTTGACATGCAGATAATATATTCATTAATGAATCAAGTGATTTTTTAAATTGTGTACCAAGTGACGGTGCACGTTTACGTGTTTCGGTACCAATTTGAAATTCACTTAAAAATAAATTTCGTAAAAATTTACTTTTTGTTTCTTGTAATAATTTCATAAGATCTTGACTAAATGTATCACGATTTTTTTCAAGAAAATCTATTTAAAAACAACAAAAAAATTTTAACTTAAAAAAAAAATACGAAATATTCAAATACATACTTTCACAATCATAATAAACATTACCAGCAAAATGTCGAATACCAAAACTAATAATATTATCAATTTTTCTTGGAATAAAATTATCATTTTTCGAATGATTTGCATGAAGTTTATCACATAATGAACGATCTGTACCTTTTGGAAATCGACTTTCTTCATCAATTAATGCAATTATATTCATTGATTTAATTGCTATTAAATCAAGTATACGTTGATTATCTTCAAATGAAATATGTTTCCAATTAATATGTTCATTATTATATTCTTCTTGTTCAAGTTTAAATATATGATGAACAAAAAATTGTTGTAAATTTTCATTAGCATAATTTATACATAATTGTTCAAAACTATTTTGTTGAAAATTTTCAAAACCAAATATATCCAATATACCAAGACTAAATAAATATTTCTTATATAAAAAAAAACTATTTGATTCAAAAGGTCTTCTACAATTGAATTTTTTTAAATCTCTGAATGACAGATGAAAGTTAACCGTTTTATCTTCATTCTTAAAATATGTATTCTAATTTTCACACTATAGTAGGAATATTACAGTACCCTAGGAAATATGTTGAGTTCATGGTACCCTGATACCAGTATGTTTCGGGAGGATGAGAGTATTTTATGGGTATTTAACACTTCACTATAAAATGTTGCGAAACGTTCAATCTACTAATTTTTTATAGATTCCTATAGGAACCGGATGGGTGCCTGGCAAGTACTTATGTACTGATGCAATTCTCGGCAGGATACTCAATCAAGATACTGTGATATACTGGTACCTTGAACTCAGTACATTCAATAGGGTATTAACAAAGAACCCTATGTGCAACATGCATTATACGAAACAAACAACCTGTAATTAAAGTTACATTCCAATTATCTAAGTTATATTAGTAGCGAAAGGATAATCCTTTTTTTTTGCATTCATTGCCACGTTATCTGATTTGCGACTTACAATTTTTTCAATAGTGATGAATGAATTAACTATAATAGGATTATGACTAATTGTACAATTCTGCGAAAAGTATTCGATCTCTAAAAATGCTTGAACTAAATTGAGACTAAGGAAAAAAGTTCGAACTCATAGCTTATTGCTGTCGAAATATTGCATTATTACAGTATTTTTCAACACAATAGAAAGTATCAGGTCACTTGATCTGTTCCTATCCTGCAACAAGAACATCGAATCTGTAGGTATATATGAGCGATGTAAACGATGCGCTTTGACCATGGCTCTATCTTGGGATAGAAATAACGAAAAGATTTGGAACTGTCGCAAAAAATCTATTCTTGTTAGGGCTTGTCTCTATGCAAAGCTTCTAGTCGAAATTGGAAAATTAGTTTTCCTAAGAAAGACCGCGATATAAATTTAAAAAATATCGAAAAGGTGCAGTATCTAATAAACTAATGGTTCAAAAGTGATTCATCAGCTCGCGGACTTCCCTTGTTACTCGAAAATTTCAAGTGTCTTCAACAATAGCTTCTACTTACGAAAATTTAGAAAAATAAACTAAATCCTTTCTTAGTCAAATCTGACAGAAGTATTATAAATACAAAATGATCTTCTATCTTTATGAGTTAATTTGTAAAGCAATATATTTTAATTACCTTTTTCGATATGCTGATGGATCTTTTGGTTTAAAAATTGCCGAATTGATTTTTTCAACAATCCAAATAAACATTTTTCCATAAATTCCTTTAACAAATGCATCACTAGAAAAAAAAATGAACAAACAAAAAAATACAATTATTACTCAATAATTTCATTAGTCTCCATACCGAACATCAAAAGCTTGTTCTTGACTAAGAGGTGTTATAACAGCTTCACCATGAGCAAAAATTGTACGTTTTAATAATCCATCACGAAGACCATTTTCATCAAGCTTAAAAAAAATTTTTTTTTTTAAATCGGTAAAATACAGATATAAAAAACAAGATTTTATTTTTACTTTAAGTAATTTCGAAATAATTCGAAGTACATTTATATTCGCAACTGTACACGTATCCATATTTTGAGTTGTTGTTGCTAAAAAAAAAAACTTTATTTCATTAAAACAAAAATCAAATCTTATTAATCTACCTTGAAATTTTAAATTTCCCAAATGTAAAACAACTGATAATAATCGTAGAATATCATTTAATTCTTCTTCAGTAAACATTAAAACTTTACAAGCACTTTTTATTGTTGACCATTCTTTTCCATCATCTCGACTATCACAATAAATAGTTCCATCAAGCTTTAACAAACAAAAACAAAAAAAGAACCAATAAACATTATATTAGTTTTTATTTTATACCTGATTAAGGTAAACATAATCACTAGCAGTTGTTAAATCTAATATATGTTTTTCTTCTTTCGACATTCCAGCTAACATACAATAAAAAACATGATAATTTCGTTCATCACGTGCCTATAATCATATAGATTTTTTGTTTTCTCTTTTGAAATTTCAAACAAATGAAATCAACAAACTTGAGATACAATACGAGATTTTTCTAATAAATATTGTTCAATTTTAGCACCTTCAATAGCACCTCGTCTATCAAAATGTATATCAATATATTTTCCAAAACGAGATGAATTATCATTTCGAACTGTTTTTGCATTACCAAATGCTAAAATAAATATAATTAATTATAATTTATAATTAAAAGATCTTGTTGGATATGGTGACCTATCTTGAACTAGGATATTGTATGTGTGCTTTTGTAGAGCAATTTTTGGAATATTAAATGTTATATAAGAAATCAAATTTTCATATGCTGAGAGTCCATTTATTGGTTATAATACTTGAGAAATCTAGCGTATTTCTTAACTACTTGATATTCCATTGTGTTCAACGCTGTATCACAGAATAAGTGAGTGCAAATGTGAAGTTTTCTCAAAAATTATACTCTATCGAGCTCTATATGTTTTACAGATAAGATCTTTCGGAACAGTAGGGCCTCATTGTCAATTTACAAGGTTGTCCCCTAGAATAGCCTATTTTTCTCTATGTAGGAAACGATATATTGACGATATTTAAAAAATTTTTATGAGCCTATAATCAATACAGTATATCCAAATGTACTCATAAACCACTCCATTATAAACGGTAACATAAGTGTTTTGGCCTCCAGCAGTCTAGAAGAGATTTGTTATTTTTATTATATTGTTTTCAAATTTTTGTTTCAAGTATTCAAGTTTGATTTATGCATGAAACCCTAGAAGAATCTGTAAATATCTCATGTTCATTTTCAAAAATAATTATTTTCGTACCTCCGTACCTCCTGCTTCAGAAGTTTGGAGGTCAAAATTTTTTTTTTCTATTTATAAAGGAGTTATTTATGTCAATTCATCAGAGATGATGTGTTGATTATTGATACATAAAAATTTTTTAATAAAACCGTTGAGTATTGATAAAATATCGTTACTATACTGGCCCCTTCATATAGGATAATAGGCTAATCTACGGAATAATCTTACAAATTGACAATGAATCTCTACTGTATCGTAGAATGTTATCTGTAAAACATATAGAGCTTGATAGTATACAACTTTTGAGAAAGTTTCACGTTGGTACTCGCTTGATCTCTAGCACAACATTGAAATATCAAATGATCAAGAAATAAACTAGACCTAAGAGAAAGGACAAGTTTTCAGTATGAAGAAAGTAACGAAAAATACTATTGATTATAGAAAAGCAAAGAATATTTGAGGAAAACTTGATTTCTTATATACCATTCTATGCGTCGAAAATTGCTTTCCAAAAGCACATAGGATTCCATTTTAAGATAGGTTACCAAATTCGACAAGGTTCTTTTTCTTTCTGCATTATCTACCTTCAAGTATTGGATTAGCATCAAGTATTTGTTGTTCAATCCATGAATGTTGTCCACTTGTTGCAGCCAAAAATTGTAAAATTAATTTTGTTGATTCAGTTTTTCCACTACCACTTTCACCACTTATAATAATACATTGATCATGTTGATAACGTTGCATATTCCAATAAGCATTATCACCAATAGCAAATATATGTGGTGGTAATTCACCTATTTTTGCATTTGAATATTGACGAATATATTCAATATTATATATATTTAATAATTTATATGGATTAACAGCAACTAAAATTGATCCTGTATAAGTCTAAAAAAAAAACGAAGAATTGTTCTGATATTTTTTTTTTTGTTTAAGAAAATTCATACATAAATATTATCTTCTTTATAACGCATATGAAGATTATGAAGTATAGCAGATTCTTTAAGATCTCCTAATAAAATCATATCATGAACACCTTCGACAGAACTAATATGCATTGGACGAAATTTAGTTTGAATAGGAAAATGAAGTTCCTAAAAAAAATATTTTAATAAACCAAAAAAAAAAAAAAATAAATTCTATACTTGTTCATTATCATCAACTAAAATAATTTGTCCGGCTTGTGTAGCGACCACACGAGCACCAATTTCGACATTGAACTCGCTGCCGGTACGTTGATCGACCCAGACATGATCACCCTATAAAAACAAAAATATTTAAAAAAAAAAACCAGCAGTTTTTAAGTGCAAAGCTGACCTGTAAAAAGTAGTTGCTTATCGGTATCGATGGCATGACTTTTCTATACGTTCTAATTCAATCTATATGATTTAACGATAATCATCATCATCATATCCTCATTTGTTTACTCATCGCGTATATACATAAGCAAGCAAACGCGTGTATATGTATGCTTATTGAAAATCACGGGTCCTGCCCTCTGTGCATACAACGAGAGAGAGAGAGATAGAGAGAGAAAGAAAGTATTATTCAAGTACAATTACGATATACGTGTGTGTTCATCTATTGACATTCTCTTTCTGTACAATATCGTGTCTCGTTATATGCATATTATAATAATCATTTATGATTGATACGGGAGAGTAAAGACTTTATTTTGTTCGAATGTTTTACTACATACTCATTAGCACACACATTCGAACAAATAGTTATAACCATAAAAGATAAAAGATGACTCTGTTTTCTTCTTCTTCTTCTTCGTCTTAACTAACCGCCGTCAAACAAATATTAGTATCAAGATTGTCCTATGTTTATTGCTATAAATGATGTTCATTTTTCTAGAAAGATATTTCTTTTTTTTTTTTTGACTACACATTTATGTGTGTGAATGAATCTCGATCAACATTGAATATCAATATGTACACAAGAGGAAAAAAGGGAAGATAAGGAATTTAGAGAATAAGCACACGTCAGCAAGCGAACATTGTCGTCGATAAAGACACATAGTTTGCTAAGAGATCAATTCTTAACGCAGACAACTGTATTCATGATGTAAGATATAACGAAAAAAAAAAAAAAAGAAAAAAAAAACGGAGAGAAAAATCATTTGTAAATCAAGGCGGAATATACAAAGTATGATATTAGAATAAATTGTCGATTAGAACGATAGTATTTATATAATGGACACTAATTCTATTTATAGAGTTTTTTATTAAGTACTTAAGTACAAATAGAATTATTTTAGTATAAAAATAAACTAATTGACTTACTTTTGATACGCTCACCATTCAGCATAAACCTGGAAAAAGATAACATAAAACAGATGCACAGTTACATGAACATGCTAGACACTCACTTTTATAAAAACATATGGAAGATAGAGAAGACAAATTTGTTAAAAACTAGCAATAGCACATACACGCATACATATAGAGATTATGCATCACATTTTCTTCACTTTCCTTTCAGGTGTGTATATGCTTGCATGCCCGCCCGGTAAAAGCTAGTCGACTGCAAGGAGTGGTTCTCTTCTTCTTCTTCTTTTCTTCCCGCGAACACCCTATAGCGTTTTTTTTTTATTTGAACAAAATCTTGTTTCTTCTCTTGCATACATATGTATGTGTACTCATTTTTGCGTTCTTTGTCTGACCACTGCAATGACTGGCCAAATGTAATCGATGCACAGACTACCCTTTGTGCTGACTCTTTTCTCGTTTTCTTTTTTTCTTGTATTATTAGTCTTGTACTGAGCCCAAGTAAACGAAAGAAGAAGAAGAAGAAAATGAAGAGCGAATAGTTCTTTATTTTTATTTAGACAAATAGTGTAGACACCGTCACAATCACGAACATACTTAACTATCTGATCTGTCAACTTGCATGTCATTGTATTTTCTTCTTACTTACTCTTCAATTTGTTTTAACGTCTATTAAGAAATGCTTACTTCAATGACCAAGTAAAACAAAAAAAAAGTGTGTGAGAGAGAGAGAGACAGACACAGGGAACGAAAGCAATAAAGACGACAAGTACTTCATCGTCTCGATTGACGCATCAAAAACAAATCAATGTCGACCTTCTGTTTGAAACGAATGGTTCTCATTTTTCTTTTCAACTAGCATGAAAAGAACACAGCTGTAATGTGCCATTACTCAAAAGATTATATATATGTGGAAAAAAAAAAGAATAAAGGAAACGAACCCAAGGTTTATCATGAATAGGTGATATCTATTTGTTTAAATGGACTTTCAACATTTTACGTGCAATGGATAAATATAAATTTGAGAAATGTGCATATCGAAACAAAAATACTAAATATAAAAATCTATCTGTCAAGAGCTAAAACAAAATTATGAACTCTTTTCTTTGCCAAAAGAAAAAGGTAGTCGGGATTTATTTGCGGTTTTATGATTAATATAGATGTCGTACTAAATAATCTTTTTGATTGGATAAAATAACTTTATGAATTACAACACCAAAAATTAATAAAAAAAATCATCATCATTTTTAAATAAAATGCCTTTCTGTGAACTTCGTATTCCTGTTGATTCAAATACAACAGAAAATTCTCTTTCAAAATTATTAATATCATGTTTTGATCTTGGTTATGATCGAATTGTTCTTTGTCAAACAGATAACTTACGTGCATCAACTTCAAATACTTCTTCATCAAAAAAAAAGAAACAAAAATTAAATGAAACAGCACCTACATCATCATCATCATCATGGACATGTCCAAAACCATATATTGCTCGTATACCTGATTTAATTATTCAACGATGTCGTCAAACAAATCGTAAATTTCGTCTTTATTCACGTCTTAATGTTATTATACATGATAATCAATCGTTACATTATTTAAAACGTTCAGATGTACAACAAAATTTTGATTTAATTTCATTACAACCATCAACACGTGATATTCTTCTGTATTTACTTAATTCAACAACAATACAATATGAATTACTTGTTCTTGATTCAAATGATCCTGTACTTTTACCATTTCCATCAAAACTTATGCGTGCAACATCTGAACGTGGTATTACATTTGAATTAATTTATAGTAATGCATTACGTGATACATTTGAACGACGAAATTTACTTGCATTTGGTCGATCACTTGCAACAAATATTTTTAAACATGGTCAATCAATTATATTAAGTTCAAATGCAAAAAATTCATTACAAATTCGTTCACCATATGATATGATAGAAATTGTACAATTATTTGGATTTAATGAAGAAATAGCAAGAAAAATAATTAATGAAAATCCAATGAATGTTTTAGCACGAGCATTTAGTCGTAAACAAACTGTACAAGGAACAGTATGGTTAGATACAACAACAACAACAACAGATGAAGAAGATACTAAACAACAAACAACAACAGTTACACCATTTGTAGCAACTGAAACTATTCTTCTTTGATAAAATAATGTTATTGTTTAGGATTTATTAATTCAAAAATTATTTTTCATCTATATTATAAATTCACATTTTACTAACGAGCGAAACTCATCAACTAAAACCTTTCATTAGAGTTCATAGGTTAGATACGAATACTTTTAGAATTTTTATCTATACTATGAGCTCAAACGAAAGGTATCAGTTGATGAGATTTCCTCGTTAATAAAAAGTTTATTAATGAGAACTTCTAATACAATAAGAACTATGAATCTTCTTGATTCATACATTGTTTGTATATGAATATCGACTAATTGCTTCCCTTTGTTAAATCAATACATGTCAATAAAGTATTCTCATTGTTTTGTATCTGTTATAACAAAGGTATGTGTCTGTAAGACTTGCGAGAATAGTGCCTCATAATTGATTAATCGCAGATATTTGCATCATATAGATCCTAATGAATTATAAATAATCCGAAAAGAGTTCCGACATATTGCATTTTTACGATATTTTTGGAATACAATGCTGCAATTCTTCTCAGGAACACTAATTTTCGAATTTCGACTTGAAAATTTGCAAGGTTAAAAGCCTTAACGAGAATCATTAATTGTGAAAGTATCAGGTCATTTAGATTTGTTCCTGTCCTAAAATAAGAACATCGAATTTCCGGGTGTATATGAGGGATGTAAATAGTACACTTTTACTATGGCTGTATCTTTGAATAGGAACAACGAAAATATCTAACGCTTTCATAATGAACTAGTTTTGTTAAGTTTTGCTTCTATGTAAAGTTTCAAGTCGAAATATGTGTATCCGAAGTGTTTTCTTGATATTTCATAATCCATTAGGATCTATATGATGTACATAGACCTAGTTGAAAAGCGATTAATCAGTTGGAAGACTTCCCTCGTTAATGTCAAATATATTTATATATATATATTCTGTAAGATACACAGATTGGATTAATAAAATGTAATTTCAAAAAGTCTAAATCATTAATTAAATTTTCCATAAAAGTGAACGAATAGTACAAATGTTATGAATAAAACGATACGTTTGACACACACTTAACAAATGATTACAAGATCTTGTATACAGGATAATGATGTTAACATAGTTTTAGATTCTTCTTAATTTATAATCAATTCATAAAAAATCTTATCCAGATATTCTATTGATTTTCTCACCGACATGTACGATAAAAATTTTATTTCTTTTAAAATTGTTTTGATGATATGAAACATCTTCTTCATATAATTAAATGATTCAACATTCACTTCACATTTGATTAACTTATTTATTACTTGATCACATGTTGTAGACAGTAAAAGACAACATTGTTATTGTTACTGTTACCAATTCAATCCTTGATGACTCTGTTATCATTTCATTTTCTTAATTACATTGTACTTGTGCTTGCCATATGGCACAATTGTCTTTCAATGGTTTCTTTATTCTGTATATGATGTAATTATCGTTAAATATATGCCATTACTCAACACGCGACTTGATTCTATACGTACATATGTCAACACATATGAATGAATGGTAACTTTTTGACACAAAAAAAAAAAACTGGAAATAAGCCTAGATAATATCTGGGTAGTGCATTTTATTATATTTTATAATTATGTTTGATTCAATGATAAAATTGGCTTTACTCGTTGAAAAGACTCAAATTATTTTTTTGAACTCTGCATAAGAAATGAATAGTCAGCGACAGTTCAGAACATATTCAGATTCTTCTAACGAAGAAATTATGTCTAAAAAGAATATTTTTGAGTGGACCCAAAGAGAAATATCTGTGGAACAAGCATTACTATACATTTTGTTGTATAATATGAATATTTTCTGAATGTTCAAAGCTAGACAGTTAAAATTTTTATCGTTGGCTTAAACTTTCAATTTCTATCTCATTTAAAATTTTGCATGAAATTGGAATAACAATTCATGAGTTATAGATTAAACAAATTTCAAAATATCACTGTACAGAATAGCAAACATTTTCTTATCGAAAAGTTAATGAAAAACTTCTCTATTTTATCTCAATTCAATGATGATGGCATATTCTTTACATTTTGACAATCTAAAAATCTAGACTTAAGTTCAAACTTAGTACTTATAATAAGATAATTGCACTGCCGTTCTAATACATAGTACAAAAAAAAAGAGGAATAGTTTTATAGATTCAATCCATACATATTAAAAATAATATAGTTTACTTGAAGAAAATGTAATCGATGCGTCACTTTCCTGTTTCTATATTTTGTTCTTTGTCTTGTAGAAGTTCAAATAAACCGCTATATAGAGAGAAAAGTAATAAAATCATATAATCACTTCAAAATAATATTTTTTATCTAGCCCTTGATTATACCTCATTCAAGCCATTAGATTTAATGACTTTCCTAGACAACCTAATGTAGCATTAAATGATTTCCGTCAAATATTTTATGATAGCAGGAAGTGAACTAATGTGTTCATTTTGTAAAATGTACGTATTTCTAAAATGATAATTAGTTTTTTTTTTCTAATACATTTCATATACATTATTATTCTACATGTAAATGATGACGATTCGAAAAACGTATTGAACTAGCAGTTAGAGAAGAATTTACTTGTCTTATTTAAATTTGTTTTTGTTTTTCGGTATTATCAAATTACTATTTTTCTAATATTTGATGATATATAATCATCTCGTTCTTATTATGTATGTCGATGTAATGAACATATTATTTTATTCTAGTAATTACATTTTTAATTGTTCCAATCTGAACTACACAAGTGTGTTGAAATAAAATCGTCAGAAATTGAATGCTACAATAAAACTAAATACTCAATATTCGAACTTATGTGAACAGAATCGGTCACTTGTCTATCTAATTTACGTAGCTTTTTCTATCAATTTATTTATTAGAGTTATTATATCTTTTCATATTTTTATTAAATCAATAATTAAATAACGCCTAATGTTATTTCGATGAATGTATTAAATTAGAATAGTCAAATCTAATAAACAATGCACTCAATGATTGTTTTCCGCCTCGCAATTCATTGAGCAATTTTGCATATGAAAGATAAAAAAACAAAACTATTTACTACATAAAGATGAAAATTTTCAATTTGTAGGTTTTGTTTTGTTAATCAAAACAATTTTGATCATCGATCAATTATATTTAAATACGAAATACATAACAAAAAAGATTTTTTTTTCTATATGATAAATACTTTTGAAACAATTATTTTATTCAAAAAAAAAACAAAAAACAAATTAATAAATTTTATGAATCGGCAATTGTCTATATGTTTTATTTTTGTGTACCGAACGAAGAAATCAGACTATATGTTACCGTCAACGATTAATCCTTTGTTTGTAGTAAGCAGTAGTAATAGTGACAAGCGAAGAATGTTAATCAGACCAAACAACAATTAGTTGACGAACGAACGACCGAACGGATGAATGAAACAAATCTAGATATGTTATCTGTCTCGTTCACTCGTCAACAAAAAGGCGAGGACGAATATTCCTAACATAGATGGCTATGGAATTGGACGATTGCATCACGAAAGATTGTTCCACTATCTATCGTTTTCAATTTGCAAGTATAGCTTTTATATGTGGTATTTATCTTCCATATACATTTCATTCTAATATATGGTCACTTTATACACAACCATTTACGCCTATTAATTGTACAACAATAAAAAATCCTTTTATACTTGGAATAACAAATAATATAGCAACAAAACCATTACCAATAATACTAACAAATAATAATAATCGTTCTGATTGTTGTCCATGTCATGGAATTCAAAATGGTAATATCAATGATAAACGTTTAATAACACTTTGTCAAGAATGGATAAAAAATATCAATCCAATAGATGTACGAAAAGCAACTATTATTGATGAAGTAAGTTTATTCTATGAAAGAACATTACAGAATAAGATCGTAAATCTGTCTTACTGTCAATAGAATAGTAATTTAATAAATAAATTTATTTTTATTATAGTGGTATTTGGCATGTGGAAATGAAAATCGAAAACGTCTTATGCTTGGTTCAATTTCATTCTTAATTGCTGAAATAATCGGTATTATTACTATTGGCATTTTAGCTGATCAATATGGAAGAAAATTGATGCTTCTTATGTGCCTTTATATACCGGTGGTATGTATTTATATAATATTGATTTTTTTTATTTATATTATTTTTTTTTTCTAGCTTTTCGGATCATTAGCTGCATTTACAACTACTTATTCTTTATTTGTTATTCTTCGATGGCCTGTAGGATTTTTAAATAAGGTATTTATTTTATTTTCTATATTACAAAAAAAAAAATTTCTCGTATTTTGCAAAAAAAAAACAAAAAAATATATAGGGTCTTCTTCTACTTGGTTTTGTAATGGTTATTGAATCATGTGAATATAAACATCGAGCTCAAATTGGTTGTCTTCTTCTTGCATCAATACCTATTTTTGGAATTATTATTGGTGTTACATATTTTTTTTTATTAGATTGGCGACATATGCAATTATTGGGTATGATTTTATTCAATTATTTTCAATAATTTTTATTTCTATATTATTCAGGTACATTAATTGCTACATTAACACTCTGTTATCCATGGTAATTTTGCTTTTATTCGAATAAAATCTTCTTCTTCTTTTTTTTTCTTATAAATATAAATTCTAGGCTTATACCAGAATCTCGTCGATGGTATGTAAATAGTCATCGTGTATCACGTGTTAATAAACTTTTACAATTATGTTCAACTAAACAATCACCGAAATTAGGTTTAAATAAAATTGGTTCACCAGCACCAACTACAATTATTTATGATAAACCAATTTTATCACAAAATTCATTACGTGTTCAAACAGGTTCAATATCATGTTTAATTATGGAAAAACAATTGCGTATAATAACTTGTTGTTTATTTATACTTTGGTTTGATGAAATTCTCTTTTTTTTTTTTTTAAATAATTTTCTAAATTGTTTTATTTAGGTTTATTTCATCATTTTGTTATCGATCTACATTTTTTCCAACAATTTTACCACATCCAACAATAAATTATGTTTTAATGAATGCTATTGAATTTTTTTCATTTATTATTGCTCTTATTGTTGCTTATAAGTCAGTAAAAATTGATTATGATGTAGAGAAATTATAAAAAAAAAATATATTTTTTAGAATTGGACGTCGACCTCCATTGGCTGTACTTATTTTAATTAGTGGTCTTTCTGCAGTTTCTTTAGCTATTACATTACTTGGAACAGGTTTGTTAATAAAATAATCAATGTTTTATTTTATTTTGAAAGTATAAATTTTATTTTATAGGACATACTTGGTTAGAAATAATATTTTCACTTCTTGCACGTAGTTGTTTACGTACTTGTTATTGTATATTGATTTTATTAACATCTGAACTTTATCCAACATCAATTCGGTAAAGTTTTTTTGTTTTTTTTTATATTCATCAACTTATATTTGATAATTAATTTTTAGAGCAACTGGTTTAGCTATTGGACTTATAGGTGAAATTCTATCAATAATTCTTGTGGAAATTCTTTTTTACGTATGTTTAATTGAAAAAGAAAAAATTAAATAAAAAAATCTTTTTATGTTTTTTTTTCTTTCTAATTTAGTTTTTAATTGATCGTACATTACTTTTATTTATATCTGGTGGTATGTTATGTGTTAGTTGTTGTTTAATAATACCATTACCTGAAACAATTCTTTATGATTTACCTGATTCACTTACGGATTTACAATCTATGAAACATTCAACATCAAATGATACTGATGGTGATATGTCATTATCATCACAACGTCATCATGTTATTGATTCTAATACACTTCTACGTGAACCACAAACAAATACAGCAATTACATCTGATCTTAATGATTTATCATCACCACCTCAACAACTTGCACCAACACCAAAAACTATTTTAAGATCACAACAACAACAAACTACAAATGGTGGAAATGGTAAAACTGTAACAATTCATTCTCAACCAGAAATTATACAATTACAATCGAATACATCATCATTAAATGGACTTTCAAATCCATGTTATTTTGCTTCATTAAATAATGCTATTGAAAAATATGATATTGAACAACATATAGATAATACAGTGGTGATCAGTATTCGTGGTACACAAACTAGTACAAATAATAATAATAATAATAATAATAATAATAGCTGTAAAGATCATGAAGCACAAGCAACCAAATTTTAGATATATAAACAAATAACAAAAAATATTCAGTTTTTGTTTTGTTTTTTTTATTTATTAGTAAAATATGAAGAGTGTTTCAAAGTTTAATATTAAATATTAATATAGAATGATTATTATAGTCTTTATTGAAAGAAGAAAAACAAGAGACAATCTTATGTAGGAATAGACCGTAGTTTCAAAGATGACTTTTGTTTTTGTATTGAAAATTCATTGTACCGTCATTTTTTTTTAATATCAATTCAGCTCAGTTTTGATTGCTCGGTCCACAGATATCATTAGATTTCGTAAATAAGGTTTAGAATTGATCGAAATCTATGAGAAAATTCGACCAATTTTGTTATCTATAAGAAATCAAACTATCGCATTCAAAGTTGATCACTGACAAAAATTCGTGATTTTGAATATTGAAAATATTTTGTCTTTAGATATGGATGTATCAGTTTTCACGAGCTTCAGTTTCAAATTAATTCATCTGTAGTATTGAGAACTCACGGATTCATGTCAGCTATGTTCGATTTTGAATGCTATAGTTTGATTTCTTTGAATTTTTAAAATTACAAATGTTCCAAAAGATTGAATGAAAATATCTCATGAACAGTTCAAGGAATTAACTTATAATTTTTATGATTTTTTTTGAGATTTCTTAAAGTTGTATTCAGTATATTTTAATTAAAATTTATTTACATCTACAAATTAGAATCCTAATATTTTCATCAATAGATTAATTTGAGTTATCTATGATTGTACAACGAAACTATCTCTTAACAATTTTATACATACCAAATTACGATAGAATAACAAAATATGACTTATTCGCATTATGACGTGGAAAAGGACTTGTTTCTAGAAAATATTTTTTTCTCTAATATGTGGATTCAAAGAAGTTGTCTGATTTGGTGACTTCTACGTTCTCCACTAGAGCCCATCGGGTCCGAAACTTTTGAGCCCTACCGATTCTCTTCTTTGCACTTGCATGTCTCGAATTTTTTCTATGTGAATACATGAAATATAATGTTTGCGAGATGTGCACTACTAATTAGGTACAGTTAATAATTAGCATTGGAAAAAATTCTCTGTAAAATCTTTTGTTTTTTGAATTATTTGATAACAGTGGAGTTATGTGTTTCAGTTCTGCAAGATCATTTTGAACAGCGAACGTAGATAAAATTTTAACGAGCATCTATAATAGAATTATAGAACTCACATATTAATGCTTTGAACTGTTAATGAGATATTCACTTTATGTTTTTTGTTCGGACTTTTGGAATAACATCCTGTAAGTTATGGAATTAGTCAAATTTTCTCTTAAAACTTATAAATTTCAATCAATTCTGAGCCTTAGTTGTTTAGATTCAATGAAATCTAATGATAATAGCTGATAGAACAATGAAAACACTGAAAAGAACTATGACAGAATCATGAATTTCCAATCTTCAGTTTTTTTTTAATGTTTTATAATCAGATAAATAATGTAGTATAAAAACGAAACATACTTCATCTAAAAGATCAATTTTTCTTTAACCTAAGACAAATAAAATAATATCATATGAGTAGTACAATCGACCTATTTTGTCTATCGTTAGATATACATATATATATAAACACAATAGAGGGTGACGAATATGTCATGTAAAGAAATCGTCCACAATCTAGGTCAGGACGGGAATGCATATGTCGATATAATACTTTTGCATTGATCGATATGGTCAAGGTATAGTTTGTATGGTTTTCATTAAATCAATGTTCATTATCACAGAACATTTTCTCTCTCTCTCTCTCTTTTTCTCATATTGGAAATAAAAAATTAATGTTCATCGATCAAATAAACAAGAGAGAAATTTATTTAATGTTACCAGTCAATGTCTCGTCTTGAAATTAGGACATTCTTTTACTTGCATTTATATATATATATATGTATTCTATTGCTTTAATCATTTATGAAACAAATAGAATATAAAATACAAACAAACTGAATGAATGATTGCATTTATATACACGTCCAGTAATCAGGTCTATTGATACTTAGTGAAACGCCAAACAGTTCAAATTCTTTTCTCTCTCAAGAGAGAAAAATATATATATATATATTAAGGGAAAGAAGAAAAAAAAACAAGTTCATTCAATGCTCAAAACTATCTCAATCATTTCTTGTTCGACCGTTGTCTAGTAAAGAACTATGATAACAACATTGTATTTGAATAAAAAATTTAAAAAAAGATACCGATGAATATATGTAAGTATAAATTGAGAAGCATGTGTGTGTGTGTGTGAAATATATCTGGTAAGTAGTTTAATACAAAAAAAAAAATATTGAATTAAGATTCGAATCATATCTTCTCGATTTTTTTTTAAGTCAAAATAAAAACTATTCTTAATATGAATATTTAAATATTTATTTTTAGTTTTTATATTCAATATAATGAAAAAGATTTGGTTTTGTAAATCACCTTTGTTTTCGAGTTCATTCGCATTATTTTGTATAAACTCGAACTCACAGGTGGATGTACAGCCAGATGAGCAACATATTTAATGGAAATTCATATCAATATTAATATTGAAAAAAAAATTTTTGTTTTTTGTTTAGATTAAATCTTTCAACAGATATCAATGAGTAAGTTTTCTTTTCTTTACCTATCTTTTTACGAGTTTAAATAAACAATCGTAAGTATCATCATCAAATGAACTAGGTAAAAACTATGGCATTCACAGAAATTGATAATCGAATGAGTCTTGTACTGAAACTAGGCAACTAAAGTTCCCTCTGAGAATTACCCAATACAAATATATAATATAGTATATAAAGGCAACTGCAATATAATCCTTTAACGATGGATGTTGGTTTTTGAAGCGATGCAAAAATTGTGATTTTTTTTCATAAAAGTCTGAAATGGAATGTACACACCAAGAGAAACAGTAGATTTCGTGAATTATCGAACTTTATAAAAATCCGGAATTGTACAGTCAAGTAGAATGATGTAGAATCGTGAAAATGATTTCATGGAAAACTTTGAAATCCTATATCATCATATAGATCTCATAAAATCTATAATTCATCCTATAGCAAGGTTTCTACTAAACTCGACACAGTAGTTTTCAAGTCTCAGAAGCTATTTTTTTTTTAACAATTGCCATTTCAAAGAAAACAAAATGAGGAATCGACGAATTTACTACGATCTTTTCTTACGAAGTTAAAAATATCACAAAAAATCAAAAATACATTGTTATTAAACTTTTTTCCATCATAGTAGACTATCTGGCGCAAGCTGATGAACTTCAATGAAAGTAGAACATGCTCAATGTTTAATATAAACAAAAGAACATGGCTGCCCAATGATAATTATATACTGTTTAGTACTATCTAAAAAGAAGAAATAATATTTAGTACTTTATTTAAATAAACTTATTTTCTTAGGATACACATCAAAATAAATCTCTTCCATTGTGATAAATAAAGTCAAAAAGGACAATTTTAAATGAATTATGTGAATATCTGTCTATTCTCTGCAAGTAAATTATTTTGGAGAAAAAGAAAAAGTTCAATGTATTGAAGATGATTTATTATAAATTATCTAACAGATGATACTTTTGCAAAGCTTGTATAGATTTGAATGTTCGATGAATATCAGAATAGACAAGAAAATTTTTAAATTGATACAATTCTGTACTACAATTAGTTTAACAAGAAAATTCATGTTGTATCAAGATGTATAATTGGTTTATACATTTTAACCTTTTCAGTATAAAAGAAAATTCTTCATTGAAACATGTAGTTTGAGCACGATGGTTATGATTCATTTATCTATTATGAAACAATTAGAGAACTTTAATTTTCTTCTTCTTCATTGTATTTATGAAGATACTTTCGAAATAATATTCTTCGGCAATTATATGTGCATTAATAATTCATTACGATAATGAAATAATAAAAAGGCTTCAGTTGTCATAAGACACAAACCATTTTGTAATGGTGCAATATAAACTCCTGTTTGAATATCGTTACCTATTCTCTGGTTTTTTATATGAATTTGATAGTGTAGAGAAGACTCTTACTTACATGGACACACCAGCATTTTATTGAAAAAGTTGTTTCTTGTATAAAACCAATTCAATTATGTTTGATATATATTAGAGCGATTGACGATGAGAGAATTCACTAATAATAACATATGTTAAATATAATCAGTGATGAAAATCTTCAGAGCAGATAGATGTTGACAAAAGTTTCTGAACACTCTCTTCTATGAGATACTAAGATTACAATGGCTCCTCCCGTTTCACTGAGGTACGATTGAGCTGAGACATTAAAAGCCGTTTAGGATGAGTATCTTTTTATTTTTTGTTGCTCGAATACAAAAATCGAAATATCGAAAGTACTCTTAAAATACATGTTTCTTTTTTTGTAAGAGCTACCAAAAAAACAGTGAAACAATATTTTTTGAAACGAGAAAAAAAACAATACCATGCGAAACAGTATTTAGTATATATAAAAAAAAAATTTCAGCTTGATCGGACGAAAAACGAAGGTGTTTCTGTACTTCTTTTCATGAAAAATTTAGCTTGAGAAAAATGAAAAATAATGTACAGTTTTTGCTAATTTGATTTATCGAGTTTTTTAACGTTTTGAGCTCGCCTCTTCAAAAAAAGTCAATTTTCATGAAAAACATAAAAATTGAGATAAATGCATGGGAACACAGCCCGAGGTCTAATATTTCATAAATGAAACGACTTTTTACTTGGTACTCTGCTTTTTCCAACAATTTTTACTATGTTCTGCTTGACAAATATAGTTTTTTCAGATAACCTCGAAGAAACTTCATTGTCGTCAATGGCTGTTGTTTTTTGTTTTAAAACTTATGTCAAGATGCAGAGCATGACAGAATACGTTTTTTTTAATTAAGCATTGTTACTATTATATACAAGAGTATTTGTATAATTAAAGTACGATTTTTTAAAACTTTTTGAGACGTAGAACCTTTTGACCCTGTTCTTCCATTAAATAGTAAGAATATAAAAGAAAGTGCTCTGTTATGCTCTTTCAAGCAAACAAACAATTAAATGAATGTCCACAGAGAATTTTTAATTGCCAAATACGCTATTTTTGATCGTTGTTTATTGAATATCCCTCGAAGACATTATGATATAGAGCTGAAAATTTTATGCAATTTGAATATCACTGAGCAGAGATCGATTTTTGAGAACATCTTAATCTCTTAACTGTGGAGAATTTTTTTAAACGACATAATAAACTTTTCGCAAAAGAACTTCTTAGAGATTGAAAGATATTTAAGAATAATACAAATTTTGTACAGTGAGCTTCGTTAAATGCAGAATATTAGATTTAATATAGAGCATACAAAGAAAACAGAGTTTAGAAACTGTAATCTTTATTTTTTCTATAAATATTGCTTTGATGAATATATTCGCCAATCACAGTCAAGGGGTCAAAGACAATTTTTGAATTTCAATAGATAGATATTACTACGCAGTGACCAAGAACAAAATTTGGGTCACGAAGGGGGGGAGGGGGATGTACTCCTTACGATATAGTAAATGTGTTTATATTGTTAATTAATAGACTTGAGAAACATAATAAAGTATAGTATCATTGTTTACATAATAGTTATTGGTGCACAATAAAGAATGATGTTTTCCTGTAAAATCCTACATGTACTAATAAGTTAATATCAATGAGCTATATGATTCAAATATTGTCTTAATTTACTCTGAAAGACAAAAAAAAACAAGATCTATTGATATATTTTGTTCTAAATTAATTATTCAAAGTTTTTACTTACCTGAACCATATCTTTATTCATTCATTGTAATGAAATATGCCGAGATATTTGTATTACTTCAATTAAATGATATCATTCTAATATATTGGAAGTTTATATACATACACTATTTAATCATACTGTGATATCCAATTTTTCTTTATTCATATTAGAAATTTAATATGTTAATAATGATATAATGAGTATAAGATTTTGATCGAAGAAGACTTATATGAATATAAATGTTTTTTTTGTCTTTAATGAATTAAAAAAGAAATTTATTTGTATTTTTTATTTAAAAATTCAAAACTACAAATATTTCTGCTCTTTTTTATTTCCTTATATATATATTTACACATCTATAACAAAATTATTCTAATGTATGTGTAATCATAATTTATTCGAATTTCACATACATAATAAAACAAAAGAAAAACTATAATATTAAAACTTAAAGAATAAAATCAAATATAATTTACACACACATAAATACAGTCACAAAAGATACATGTGTTTTTTTTTTTGTCTTATTACAATTTTCGAAAATCGCATCGTAATAAACGTGTATAAGTTTTTTTAAATTGTCTATTAGCAAGTGCATAACAAAGTGGATTAATTGGACTATTTAAGTAGCAAAGATAATAACAAGCATGAAATAGATATGTGTTAAACACAATACTTTCACGACATGTTTGACAAAATGTTTGAATAATTGTATGAATATGCCACTAAAATAAATAAATCAAATTGGTTTTTTTTTTAATTTAATTTCTATACAAATGAAAATTTTTAACAACTTAATTTCTTTCTCATTAAAATCATCTATATGAATATCAACAAAAATAAAAAATGTATTTCTCAAGGGTATATAAAAGAGGAAAAAAAACAAAGTATGACGACAAGACTATTGAAGATAGTTATATGTATCTCAGAAATAATGATTTATTACTTCTATGAAAGATGTTGATAATTAAATGAATAGTCTTGAAGACAATTTCGTATAAAACATATTCAAAGGTTTAAATCATTTAGGACCATTATAATGATCTTGTGAATGTCAATGAAGTTTCTTTTTTTTTCTTTCTATGATGATGAAATTATTAATGCTTAATTGCTTTATATTATCTTATAGAAACCCCTACGAGACACTTCGTGATAATCGAATAGTAGAATTGTTTTTTTTTTTGTTTGCGATCATTATTTTTGACTGCAAATAAATACTAACCGGTGTCCAACAAAGAACAAATGCTCCCATTATAACAGTTATTGTACGTAATGCTTTTCTTGCTTTATTATTACTAGAATTTTTTCCAGATGATTTTTGATTAGTTGATCTTATCGTTGGTGTTACAATTTTATTTTGTATATTAGGTAAAAGTGTTTGATTTTCATCTAATTGTTTATGTGGTTCCATACCAACTTTAGTAAGTGCAAGTAAATTAGTTATATTTGGTGCCACAATAGCTGTAGGTGTATGTTCATCACTTGTTTCATTTGATGATGAATGATTAGTAGCATCAGGTCCATTTTGATTATTATTATTATTATTATTATGTATTGAACTTGCTGGATCATCATCAATACTTGTTGGATGTTTAGATGGATGTGAATATGTTTGTTGTTTTCTTTTTTTTTTCTTTGATGATGAAGATGATGAAATGACTTCTGCTTGAGAAGTTCGATGATTTTTTGACATATTTATTACAAGATTTGTCATTGTTGATGATGGTATTCCAATAAGTGTAGAAACTTTTTTAGCATTTTCTTTTGAACGTTTTTCTAGTGCACTTGCCACTTGATAAATAAAAAAATATAATGTGAACATTACTAAAAGTGTTACCCAAAAATAACCAATTGTAAGACCTGAATTGAAAACAAAAAAAAAAAAAAGAAATTTTATATTTTATATATATATATATGTATGTATTATTTAACTAACCTAGATTAAAATAAGCATTTTTATTCCATTGAACACTAAGATAAAGAAAAATATATATTATTTATTTTTCTTTTCTTTTCTTTTCTTTCTTACTCGCATTGTAAATCAATTTTACTTAAATTGGGTTTTTTACTATATAATGGAAAACCCATTGTTGAAGCAAAAAAAATAAATGCTGGAACAAGCCATGTTAAAAGCACCAAAAAAATAATTCGTTTTTCTGTTCTCCAATTACGATATTTAGCTGGAATTTTAACTGAACAAAAACGATCAACGGTTATTAAAAGTACCGTATATATAGATGCTAAACACACAGTATAATCTAATGATAACCAAATGTCACATAAAAATGATCCAAGCACCCATTTATTTTTATATATAGCTAATGTTAAAAATGGCATTGATATAAAACCAATTAAAACATCGCTAACTGCCAATGAAAATATAAAATAATTTGTTGGATGACGTATTTGTCGATCAACAAAAAATGAAACAAGTACAAGTATATTACCACATATTGTAAGTAATGATATAAATGTACCAATAATAGCAAATGCAATATTAAGTTGTAATGGATATGGATGTGATGAATCAGATGAAATAGATGATGGTAAAAATATTGTAAGTGATGGATCTTGAATATCATAATTGGTCAAATTATAAAATGTGACCGAATCGTTAAAGATTAAATATGAAAGATCTTCGATCATACATATAATAATAAAAAGAAAAAAATATGTCTAGAATAAAATAAAAAAAACAAACAAAATACATCTAATAAAATAAATAAAGATGTTGTTGATTATTTTCTTATATAGAACTATTCTTTTTTTTTATTTACCTGCTTTGTTATATATATATATATTCGTCACTTATCTGAAGTGTATAACAGATAACCCAAGAGAGAGAGAGAGAGAGAAAATAGTTTTCGTCTATAGTTTTTTTTTTTTATTTTAAAGATTATTTGGTCACATATTGATTGTATTTATCTTCATTTTGTCTGTCATTTTCTCCGTCTCGTGCACCCAAGTAGGCACGCTCGACAGATCCATCCATTCAGCTCGAGGCAGAATTCTATTACTATTTGTATGTATGATTTTTCAATCTCTCGATCTCTTCTTTTTCTTCTTCTTCTTCTTCTGCTTCTCTCTTGTGTTGTTGTTACACCCGCTCGATCTCTATGATTGAAATCGGTCAATTTTTTGATCGGAAAACATATATACATGAGTAAAAACACTGGTGAACGCATACTTGCTTTCTCTTAGTTTATGTGTCTGTAATGATGATCATTTATCAAGAGACAAGCGTCGTGGACTCTCTTTTCTCTCTCTCTCTCTCTCTCTCTCTCATTTTTCTTGTGCTCGTTTCTGTTGTTCGTTCTCATCAAACACTATTCTTCTCGCAAATAGTCATCGACTCATTCATAGAAGAAGAAGAAAGAGAGAGAGAGAGCCAGGGGAGCGGACAAAACGTTTATAGAAGTCGTTCTCTGTGACGGCCTATCTGTTGTTCGTTCGTTTCCCATTTTTTTTCCCTCATTTCTTTTTTTTCTTCTTTTGTATGTTATAAGAGAATTCTATCATTTTGCTATTGCTGCGATTGATTTTCTTTATTGGTGGAACATTCGCACCTTTCCCAAGAGATTTGACAAACGTGCTGAATTATTTTATAAATGAAAAACGAGCAAAAATATAAATAATATTGTTGTTAAACACGCACATACTTACATGAAAAGACTGGTTTTTCTCATGCAATCTTGAATATTTCAAAAGACACTATCGATTAACATTCTTTCGTGCATTTAGTTTTCATGTAAAAGATTGTACGCATGATTTTCTATAATCGACGATTATTACCTTCTTATGTCGTCGATTTGCTGGAAGCGGCGGCATAAAATAAACGAGCGACTATACAGCATACAAATTCTGTAATCATAAATGAGCGTGTATAGGAAGATTGAATAGTTCCGTCGTCCATGTTTGTTGAATGAACTAAAATACAAATTTTTTGTGGTTGTTAACTATATAAAAACATATGAAGCAGAACAATTCAATATAAAGAAACGACAATTCAAAATCGATGGATAGCGTTTTTTTTTTTTGCTCCATATTTATAAAACGGATATTGAATTTCAGTTGTCGTCTACTGTATGCACTGTCCAAAAACGACTGATGACAACAATAATGATGATTAAGCTAAAAATGGGCCTAGACAATGACTCGATGCAATAGTTCTCTCATATTCGAAAAAAACGTGTCATATAATGATGATAGAGTGTCGAAACCAAAATGACAAATTGATACTAGTTTAGCCATAATTAGGCTTGCCTATATGTGTGTGTGTGTATTCTTACCGAATAGAAAATGTCATCATATTAATGTCCATGTGCGTAAAGATATTCATTAATAAAATAGTAACAAAGCAAACGTTAAACAAAAAAAAAAAAAAAAAGAATATTATTCTTATCACAGGAAATTATTAGTGAAGGAAAACCAGAAATCCTTTTTTCTCCTAATCATTTTTCATTGCCGACATCTGTTTCTTGTTCTTCTTTTGAGAGACTTAATATATCAAGAATATGGTTGAGCGATCATGCGTAACACTTGATCATTCCTTTGTTTTTTTTTACAAGTTTATTAAGAAACAAAAAAAAACACACACAAAGCAAAGATTAAATCACAGATGGCTAAATGCGAAAATTTCGATATTACAAATGAACGAGCTTTTTCTGTACTATCACAAAGCATTGCTGAATTACAATCCTTAGGTTCTGATGTTGGTATTGAACGAAAAGCTAGACCAGCATCTATGTGGAGAAGTGAACGTAGTAGATCAATGAATAATGATAGGCAACAAGAAGGTTTACCATTAATTAAACAAACAACAGATATAGCTCGTCGTGCTATGAATTTAATTGTAAATTGTGTACAATTATGTGCATTATATGCAAGTCGAAGATCAAGATGTTTTAGTAGTTTTTCATCTGCTATATCTTATATACGTGAACAACGTGGCTTATGTAAACCAGCACAACATTTATTGCTTCAATGGCAAAGAAATGTTATGTTGATTGATTTATTTATCAACAATGAAGGACTGTATTGTAATAGACGTATAGCACAAGATATGTTTGACGTTTGCATGGAAACATTTGACTGGCTTCGTTCAATTTCTAACAATAATAAATAATAATAACAATAGTAGAGAGGTACAAGTTAATTCTTTGGGGAAATTATCAGTTCTTTGTCTTGTTTTCTTTTTTTTTTATTTTTAATTTTTGTTTGTATCCTATGCAATACTCATATGACTTACTTCTTTTCTTTTTTTTTATTTCATTGTTAGAAGATATATCAAAGATCAAGTCATAACAATTGTTTTATGATAATGAAGAAAAACAAAAGCAATAATTTAATTAAATACAATTATTTGTGTATTTGCTAGAAAATTAAACTTATCAAAAGTTATTATGAACTTTTACGTTAAAATATCTATCGATTACTTGACTCACTATACCACCTTATGTTGAAAATCTTTCTTCTATTTTTTTTTTTTTTTTTTTTTTTGTTGTTTTATTAACTGATTATCCTCGATGAATAACGATAATGAAATAAAATATTTATTCTATTATTCTCTCTTTCGTACAGTTAATATGATCTTTCAGCTTTAATATTAGCATAATTTAAATTATATCCGATTTATTTTATTATCAAACTATATAAGAAAATACTTTTATTTATATTCTTATTGTCCTATATATTGTCAATCTGTTCTTCAATTGTTTTATTAAATTAAGATTACTCTTATGAGAACGATTGATCGAATGAATAAAATTTATTTGTTATTTGAGTATTAACCCATACATTTTGACATAGATTTAATTTATTTATATTTTATAACGAGAAACGTCTTCAAAATATCAATTCTGATCAAAGAAGGAAGAGCATGTAATTATCAGTACTTCACAAGGTCATGCTACACTCAAACTAAGCATGCACTGGGAATAACATTTCAAGATTCAGCTAGTACAAAAAGTAGTTTTTAACATGACAAGAAATCAGTGAAATATTTCCGACATACAAGTCAACATTAATTCAAGTTAAATTCTTCACGCCTCTTACACAGTGCGCATGTAAGCAGATATTTGGCTAAAAATGAAAATCGTACTTTTTCAATATTTAAATGTAGATCAACATACTTCGAAACATAGTCTATCTAATGATATAGATAACTTTGTTACAATTCTCAAAGAAGCTGGAAAATCAATTTCCCAAAAATTAATCTGGAAATCGTGATGTCACCAAGAAAATTAAATTGTTCGATAGACAAATCAAATATATTTTCTGAATCTCCAAGCCAAGTTCTATACAATGGTAACAAATAATTTTTAATTTCTACGTTTAATTTTTGAGAAAAAAAATTTTCTAATGCCATCCAAACGACTAGTCCCATAAAATGAGCAATTCAACCTCCAAACTTTTTCAAAATATTCTTCCATCTACTATCTCTAATCTCTGCTAGCACAAACATTCCTGAACTACACAATCAATCTCCAAAAAAACAGATTTTCCAGTTTTTCTTGCTTTATAGTCCCATCTCGTTGGTTATTGAAGTGACTATTTGCAGAACGATTGCAGAAAATAAAGAAAGTATCGAATTCGAAAACGATAAGAACATTTTTTGTAGTAAACTTCATGGGTTATTAAACGGTAACAAGAATATTTTTTTTCATCGCTCCAACTTCGAAATATCGGGTCTACAAACTCGATAATTTTCAAAAAATTGATAAATTCGAATTTTTTGAAACGAAATGTCTTCCATCTACAGTCAATAGATGTCTTTCAGAATTTCTATATGATATAAATCGATGAAGAAGCCCCCTAATGATTTAGATATGTTTCAAAAGTTTCACGATAACGAGGCGAATTATACATGCCAAAGCATACTATTCACTATGAAGTCATCGTTGGGCTATCAAGAACAAAATTAATATATATGTATTATAAAATTCGACTCATGAGAAATTGAAATAATATTTATTATGAATTAAATATTTCTCAGAAGTTATGAAACGGCTCAAAGCAAAGTAGATGTTTATTGGACAAGGTGTGTCAAAAACACATTAATTTTTATCAGTTTATTCCATCGTTTTTTTCTATTACTACAATAACATGGAATTGATATTGCATTAGTCTACTTAATAATGTGTTCAAAGAAAAAAAGAATCAACGCTTAATATGTCGTTTAGTTTCCTTTCTCCATCAGGCGATCATTGAATCAATCAAACAACCTGACATAAAGATATGGACACTCGGTGGATCAGACCACATTATTAGCATATTAGACAGACTAATATTCCATTTATGAAGTTATTTTATCAGTGACTCTTCTGGAACCGCTGTAGGTAGTCAAATATTAAGCATAACTTTTATCTTGAATTCCAGATTCATTGTCGATTACGTTAATATTTACTCTGTAATCCTAAAGTTGTGTGAATATTCTATCATATGACAGACTTTGAGTAAATACAATTAAATTGTTTTACTTTCATGAAGTACCAATCTTCTATTTATTTCTGATCTATTATTATTTTCAAATGTTTGATGTCTTCATACAACATTTCAACAATAGCGTCAAACCTGAAACTTGAAATTAATTGTTGAAAAATTCTACAGATTTTTCGATACTGTCCTGTATACATTTCTGTGGTATCCTCAATGAAATTTCATATTGGACATATAGGGTAATGGAAAAACGTTTAACAGCAATGTATTTTTAGCTTTCTTCTATAATATTAAGCATCTAGCTTACATCTAGATACTGATTTTAATAGCCGATGGAGTTTTCTTTAATCAAGATTTCATAGATGAACTACAATGGCAACTGGACACGGTCGTCTTCAGGTCCTAGAAGCTATTTTTAACAATATCATGTTAAAGAGCACGAAATGAAGGGTTGCCGCATTTTCTACGATCTTCCCTTAAAAAGTTAAAAGTATCCCAAAAATTGAAAAAAGGTGTCGCTCCCATTCTGTTTTCTTTAAAATGGCATTATTAAACAATCACTTCTGAGGTCTGAAAACTACTGGATCTGATGTTTTAGAAATCTCAATAAAAGAAAACTCCATTAACTATTAAAATTACTAACTGATTTTGAGCTAACTACTTAACATTATAGAAAAAAAAATTCAAAAATATATTGTTGTTAAACTTTTTTCTACTATTTTCTTTCGATAATTTAATACAAAGAATTCATTAGAAAATGTTAGTCTTTAATATGATTTGTTCTATTATCTAGAATTATATTTATTGTCGTTTATTTAAATAAATATACAAACATGAAAATATTTTTGTCTACATATCATAATTATCATCTTCATCATCGGATTCATTCATTTTTCTTTTAGTTGTAGTTGAATTCGTTGGTGCAAATAAATCATTTGAAGCAAAACTTCCACTAGCAGTTGTTGTTGTTATTGTTCCTGTTAATGGATTATAATGATCGGTTATAAATGTTGTAGATGCTGAATTATTAGATGTGCCATGTTGTTGTGTTGTCTTCCAAAAAAAAAAAAAAAATACATATATATACTGTTTTTCTTTTTTAATAAAGAAAATAAATTCATACTTGATTTGTTGAATGTTCATTTGATGTATCTTTTAATTTATAATTAGGTGCTAATAAACAGAATCTATCAGCTGGTAAACGTGGTCCAGAAAAATTTCTTATTGGAGGTAATGGATTTCGATTTTTATTTTTCGCTAATTCAGTTAAAGTCTAAATGATAAGAAAAAATAAATAAATCTTTAAATGTCCGAATATTACAATATCTTTTCAATTGAGTAAGATCTAACAAGAGTTATGAGATTTGAAAAAACTGCTTATTTGATGTTAGAGGAAAAAGTAGCTCTTTTCAAGTCTTCTACTCTTGCAATACCTTCCGAGAAAATTGTGTTCTATAGGGTAACGTCCAGTATATGATGATTGGTTTACAATGAAACTTTGTATGTACGAGTATCTATCTATTATTTTATATTATCTCCAAATTACAAGACAATTGGATGCTACGTTGAAGAAATATGAAAAAACTAATTGCTTTCGTAACTTTTGTTATAAATTAGAACATGCAAAAATCCATGAATTTAGAATTAATATTTATTTTTCCTTACAGAATTACAAGAAATCCTTCTAATTTTAACATCGTATATAACTTATATTTCCTACTTATATGCACTTTTGATAAAAAAAAAAATATTCTAATTTAGATCAAAAGTTTCGACAGTGATTAATTTTTTTATATTTCTTCAACACAGAGTCCAGTTGTTTTGTAATTCGTAGATAATATATCCGATGGATAGGCACTTATACATCCAAAGTTTCATTGAAAACTAATCATCCTATATTGGACTTCACTCTCACGAGGGAAGGTCACCAACTGTTCAATCGCTTTTGAGTCGGAACTATGTGTATCATGTAGGTCCTAATGAGCTATGAATACCCTGAAAAGAGTTCGGGCGGATAGCTTATTACTGTCAAGATACTGCATTTTTACGATATTTTTAAGCAAAATGCCGTGGTCCTCCTCAGGAACACCAGCAAAACTGAGTTTTGAATTTCGACTTGAAATTTGGCACAGAAACAGATCTCAGTGGGAGTAGCTTATTGTGAAAGTTTCAGATCTTTTGGTTGCTCCCATTCGTCAATAAGAATATTGGAACCCGTCGGGGGTATACGAGCAGTGTAGAAACACCTTTTTTTAGCTGTATCTTAGGATAGAAACAACCAAAAGACCTGAAACTTTCACAATAAACTACTCTCACTGAGGCCTGTTTCTGTGCAAGGTTTCAAGTCAAAACTCGAAGCTCAGTTTTTCTGATTCCTGAGGGGGACCACAGCATTGTGCTTAATTAAAAATACCACAAAAATGCAGTATCTTGACAGTAATAAGCTATCCGCCCGAACTCTTTTCAGGGTATTCATAGCTCATTAGGACCTACATGATGCACATAGTTCCGACTCAAAAGCGATTGAACAGTTGGTGACCTTCCCTCGTCAGACGCATCTTCAACGAGCCTCCAAATTCAAGAAAACTATGTTACTCCATAGAATAAATCTAACTGATCAAGGAAAGTGACGCTTATATCCTTCGGTAATTTTGATTTAACTACTTTTTTTATTGTGAGTATTCTGAGGATATGAGAATATGACTGATAACTCATCCATAGTTGCAGGAATAATAACAAAATCTTTATCTGAATATTCTCTAGAAAATAAAAATAAAATCAGTTATTTTTTAGTGCATTGAAAAGATTGTTTAATCTCGAATTTTATAATTATTCATTGTTAAAAAGTCAATCTTTGATCATCAATGTAGTTTCATATAATCTATTTTTTGTATCATGGATGGTATTATGATATCAAAACTTCTGACTCAAACTTTATACTTTTCAGTATCAGTACAAAAAATTTCGTTATATTTAGAATAGGATCACCTCCACGTAAAATACCAAAAAAAAAGGCTAGTATTTCTAGATTTTGATTATCAATAGTTAATTTGTATATTATAAATAAGCATGATTTTCAAAATCGTGCATAAAAAAATATACATTAGACACTTCACAGTTTGACGGAGAAATTTTTGCTGGAATTGAACCTTTGTATAGTGAACACTAATTATGAATTCAAAGAGAATGTCGCGATGACTATCATTAATCATTCAACGTAATGACTCTCTTTTATTGATAGAAAAAGAAAACGTCCTTTGTGTTGAATAGGCGAGACAGATATACATAATCACATTGAAATATTTGCGTCACTACTATGAAGAGAAAGAGATCATTTTATCTAATCGACGAGCGTTGACTTTGGAACAAAAGATTGCACTAATTAAAAACAATCAAAATGGTTATGGTTTATCAGTTTGGGCTTTTTGCGTCTACTCAACAGTATTATCTACACACTCTCATCTCTGATCTTGAATCACAACTAGCAGACATTTATCCGTATTCGAAAGTGACGAAATAAAGTTCTATCAAAGATTATTTTGACAATTGTTGATTTTTCTATTTTCAAACACAAAAAAAAAAAGTAATAACGTGCTCTATATGATTATCGTATTCACTAATACTCACAATGCTTAGAAACATGTCTACTTTATTGAAAAACACATTACCTACCTATAGTGAACATTTTTGAAAAGTCCGAAGCGTCTACTATAGGAATGTTTTCACTGTATATTTTTCGATGTGCTTTTGCATGCTGATTTCGAAAATCATACTCTTTCTTCAATAAAAACTAATTTCTAATAATCAAAATCTAAATATACTAGCCAGTGTTTTACGTGGAAGTGACTCCTGTTCCAACAATAATGATTTTTTTTACTAACATTGAAAATGTTCGATATCTATCTATGTTATCGTATAATCCATGATACAAAACGTCACTTTCGTTGAAGACATATTATAGGGAGAATTTTCTTTCCCATCCTTAATGTTTACATCTTTTGATGGCATTGTTGAATGTTCTTCAGCCCAATTTTGACAAGCTAATTTAATATCTTCAAGTTCAACTTGTTTTCTTCCAGCATGTATTGAATATAATTTTGCTTCTTCTAAAACATCTGTTGTATATTCTACGAAAAAAAACAAATGAAAGATGAATTAAATAACAATTAAATATTTATTTTGATTTTTACGAACGATGCATAAAATCAAGTACCATTGGAATTAATTTTGGTTCATAATTTGTTATACCCATTTCTTGAAGCATTGTTTGTACAACAATTCCATCTTTTGGTAAACGATTTTGTTCATCTGTTGATGATGGATTACTCATTTTATCTAGAAATAAATGAGAAAAAAAAACCTATAATTAAATGAATCATTGAATACAACAAAACGACAAAAAATGTCATTTCTCTTTTATCATTATTCGAAACTATTCTCAAAAATAGTTAAATTAGAAAACATGAAAATTTTTCTTTTTTAATCAAATAGGAAGAATTATATTTTCTTTTTACAATATGATGATTTTAATCAAATGAAGAGAAGTATATTTTCATCCAATAATATAAAATGAATAAAAGCGACATCTATCGAAATATTGAAAATATTAAACCAATTATTTATTTATTTTCTTAACTTACATATATAAACAACTTACTTATTCAAATCAATATCCGATAAAAAAAACATTATGCTATAGATTGACAACATCTTATATACTAATTGGTCTAGTTGACAAGGGACATTAAAAAGTTTGGGTGTCGTCGACCTGTAGAAATACTAAAAATACACCTTTTTTTTTAAACTGAATATTGAATTTATCAGAGCATGACCTATAGATGGCACTTAAAAAGATAATTAATATGTCATATAGCATACGAAAAATATTTCGATGTTAACTCATATTCATAATTTATTTCATAAACCTTTTCAATCATTAAAAAATCAATAGTGACTTGAAGGTTAGTTTTTTTTTATTATTTCTATCGTTTTATACGAATAAATAGAAATTCATTGATGACGTATTCGTCAAGGTATAAACGAATTTGTCCTATAATAGGCATGTTATTCTAATTAATTAATAAAAATTTTGCGTAAACAAAGATCTAATCGCTTAAATTTGTACATTAAATTTAGATGATATTCATTATGTATTTCTTATAAAAATTTGCATGAAAGAAAATTTCTTTTTTTTCTTTTTCAGATTGAAAATGACCAGTGAACAACAAAAACGTGTTTTAGTTACTGGTGGTACTGGTCTAGTTGGTTCAGCAATAAAATATGTTATTGAAAATGAATCAAATAAAAAAAACCAAAATGAAGAATATTTTTTTATATCATCAAGTGAATGTGATCTTCGGTATAATTTTAATAAATATATTTATTTAAACAAAAAACGTTTCTATTTTCATATAGAAATCGTGAACAAACTGAAGCACTATTTAAAAAATATCAACCAACTCATGTTATTCATTTAGCTGCACTTGTTGGTGGTCTCTTTCGAAATTTAAGTCGTAATCTTGATTTTTTCGTATGTCTTCAAAAAAGGTGTTTTTTTTTTTTCATTTATTAAAATCTTATTTTTCTTTTTCAGCGAGATAATATGCAAATTAATGATAATATTTTATATGTTGCATATCAAACAGGTGTTAAGAAAGTTATATCTTGTCTATCAACTTGTATTTTTCCTGATAAAACAACTTATCCAATTGATGAAACAATGGTAGTTATAAATTTTTTTGTAAAAAAATTCTTTCTTTTTTGCACATTCAATACATCGATGTTTGAAACTACTAACCCCACAATTATAGCTTCCAGTCACCTTTCTTTCGAAAGTTAATCAATATCAACTTTTTATCACGATCACATCCTTATAAGAAAAAACTCTCTGTAAAAGTTATGCTCGTTTTCAATTCAACAGATTATTAAAATTTTTTATAGATTATTCTAAAGAATAGAGAATTAAAAAGTGAACAAAATAGACTATTTCAATATTATATAATGTCAATCGACTCATGTTACTATGAAATCGATATGAAAGAAAAATGCTTCTTTTGATGATTCCGTGATGTCCACTTTATAACAATCGATCTCCTGTCGAGATTCAAAGTAAGAGAATGTCAAGCTGAATTTTATATATGTTATACAACTTTTTATTCTCTATAAAATAGTATGTTCGGAGCAAGATGGGGTTCACATTTCTTTCTTCTATATTGTGTTTTGATGATTTTTCTAAAGAAAAAAAAAACTTTCTTAGCAGTTTTTATTGTCATGACACAATTGTAAAGCAGAATAAATGTGAGATTCAGAAAAAATCACTTGTTGTCTTAAAATGTATTTGATTTATTGCAGTTTTTAACGCTGATTCTGAATCTCGCATTTATTCCGCTTTACAATTGTCTCATAACGATGAAAACTGCTAAGAGAGTTGTTTTTGTCTTTAGAAAAATCATCAAAAAACAATATAAAAGAAAGAAATGTGAACCCCGTCTTGCTCCGAACATACCATTTTGTAAAGAATAAAAAGTTACATAACAAATTTAAAACTTAACTTAGTACTCTCTTACTTTGAATCTCAGCATGAGATCGATTATTATAAAGTGGACATCTTAGACTCATCAAAAGAATCATTTTTAATTCTCTATCTTTTAGAATAATTGATAGAAAATTTCAATAATTTGTTGAAACGAAAACAAGCACAACTTTTACAGGATGTTTCTTCTCATAAGGATATGATCGTGAGCAATAGTCGGTATTGACTAACTGTCGAAAGAAAGGCGATTGAAAAATAAAATTTTGAGGTTGGTAGTTTCAGGCATTAATGCACTGAATGCATAACAAAGAAGGAAAAAGCTTTTTTTTTTGTCGAATGCCTTATATACTCGATAATCTTACGATTGCTCTCTTAATAATTTCCTTTAGATTCATAATGGTGCACCACATGATTCCAATTTTGGTTATTCATATGCTAAACGAATGATTGATGTTTTAAATAAGTTGGATTGTATTAAACTAATTTTCTATATCTATATCTATAGATTTTTTACAGAGGCTATGCAGTTCAACATAATGTTCATTATACATCAATTATTCCAACAAATGTTTTTGGGCCAAATGATAATTTTAATATTGAAGATGGTCATGTTTTACCAGGTCTTATTCATAAATGTTATTTAGCAAAAAGTAAAATAAAAAAAAAACAAAATTCTTTTATTTTTTTATATAATAAAAATAATTCTTTATTATATTGTTTTGTTTTTCTAGAAAATAATACACCATTAATTATTTGGGGCTCAGGAAAACCATTAAGACAATTTATTTATTCATATGATCTTGCAAGACTGTGTTTATGGGTATTACGAGAATATGATAGTATTGAACCAATTATATTATCAGGTTAAATAAGTTTATAAATATTATATTTATATGTAGAATATTCGAAAAGTTCTCGAATTGATCCTGTGTAAGAATATTAAGAAGTTCGAACAACACGAAAAGTTTTTGAGACAAGATATTGATTCATTTTTTGACTCGCTAAAAAGTATCAAAAGTTATGATTTTGTGCTATTTTCGGGTATCGACTTAGAAATTTTGTTCAAGAGTAGTGAAATAATCTTTGAAAAGTGAAAAAAAAATTAGTTTAGATGAAACTTGTGAATCGAGATTTCTGATGAATATCAACGTGCTTGAAAGCATTTCAGACAAGTCAAAAACTATAGGTTGCGACAAGAATTTGAATATGAATTTAGAAAGAGTGTGTCTATTTTTATTCAAGAGTAGTGAAGAACTTTTTGAAAGACTTGAAAATGATGACCCAACAAATTTTTGTTTATTTCGAACATGCTAAAAATTGAAGTTCCTTTCATTTTTGACTCATTCATAGAAATTATCTATTTGAAATAATAAAGCATTGGATACATATATGAATTAGAAAACGGTGTTTCTTTTTTCTTTATTTACCTAAATAGACTGATTCTTCTAGTGTTTGTAAAGTTGATGTATATACTACTATGGCATCATCTATTTGTATAGTTAAAAGTTTCTTGATTAAAAAGATATGAAAGCAGCATTTTTTTATGATAATTTCGGTTATTTTTGACTTATTCGTAGTGAATAACATGAAAAATGTTTTTTTTTAAAGAGTTATTGTGTTTTTGATGTAGGCTCATAAATATGATGAAGTTCATGCTAAAAACTTTTTTTGGAACGAATAAACAGTCAGAAAAAGATTTCATGGCCATTTTAAAATCCTTTCTTATCCATAGATAACAGAAAGTTGTAGTTTCTACTATAACTTTCCTTCTGAGTAAGACTTTTAATGAGAGGAATGGATGATTTCGAATTACAATCAGAACCAACGATTACATATTATTAAATCAGATTAACAATAATCATTCAAGATGAATGAGTCATTTTTTTATCTATTCTATATCTCTATAGTGAAATGTCTTCGCCCAAATTCAACCAGACTGGTGTCATAATTAACACTTTCATAAGCTATTCCTGTGGTGGTTTACTTAACACGAACTCTGCTAGAATCGTGCCAGGAGGTAAAGCATTAAAGATGTATAATCATAGATTAATCATGATCCCTGTCGCGAATAACATGTATATTAAAAATAGTAGAATCTATATGATAGAAGATAGCAGCAAGCGCATACTGCTCGCATTTCAAATGTATCATATATGATATTTGATATGATCAATGACATATGATTAAAGTCTACTCTATATAAATGTCATATTCATTAGTATCAATTCAGTGGCAAATCATTCACATCTACAAATATAATAAACGGTTCGTTGGTTGCTTTTAATTTGATGTATCCATGCATAATTATAGAGTATGATGAAGTATTACCATTGTCAATCGTTACTAGACATTAATAATTATTTTGAATGACAATCAGCTGTTCGAAAAAGTATGAGTATATTTTCATACATATGTTTAATACAACGTAGCTTATAGGATCAATGAATAGAAAGTAATATGTCTTATTCATTTTAAATAAAGTCACTCTAGATACCTTTTGAATGCTCTGCATAAATTTTCTTTTTTTCTTTTTGTGTTATTATTTCAGTTGGAGAAGAGGATGAAGTATCAATAAAAGAAGCCGCTGAAGCTGTAGTTAAAGGAATGGATTTTCAAGGTGAAGTTAAAGTAAATATACATGAAATAAATAAAACAAAATCAATAATATAACTTATTTAGTATGATACAACAAAAGCTGATGGACAATTTAAAAAAACTGCAAGTAATAAAAAATTACGTAGTTATTTACCAGATTTTAAATTTACACCATTTGAAGAAGGTTTGTTTGAAAATTTTTATTGATATTATTAATAAGTTCTTTTTCATAGCTATCAAATATACTTGTGATTGGTTTGTAAAAAACTACGATAAAGCTCGAAAATAATATATATTTATAATCTCAGTATTTTTATTCTTTTTTTCAAATTGCTGATCGCAACATTTTAACTTCTTTCATTTATATAATTGGTTAAGTAGAAATTTGAAAAATAAATACAGTTATATCAATATATATATATGTATATATTCATCTTTAACTTAGATAATGATTTTAAAATTGAATTTGAAAATATATTCGGATAGATCGAAAAAAAAACAACGATTATTATTATCACATTTTTCAATTAAAAAAAAATATATAATAACTTAATTAACTCTTTACTCGCCATTGTGATTTCAAAAGAGGTACAGGCGAAAACAAACATTAGAATTGAATATTAATATTTTCGATATATCGATAGTATGAAGAGATCGATCAAGTGCACTCTCGCTTGTGACGACAGTTTTTCGCTGAAAAATTCAGGCAAATGGTATGAACTTGGAAGAAAAAATCCGATGATCGAATTTTTCTAATACTGATAGCATCGAACACAACCGACCCATATTGCTTGACATAGGTTGATCAGTCTAGTGACCATTGGGAGATAGAGCCCGTCGGATCTGGTCGAATCGTACTTTGATACTTTCAATGAAATTTTCTAATCGGAATAAGATGCCTGTTCCGAAGATACGAGATACTTTTTCTTTTTCGTTTTTTTTTCTGTACTAGGTGAATAGTGCACTCTACACATTTCTCAGACGACTCATCTGAGAAATGTGTAGGGTAGAGTCTGTTGAGTTCGGGACCAACTTGACGGGTTCTATTGAGACAGGAGAATGAATTGATAAAAATTCTATCTGAGACCTTCCGTAAGTTTTATGTAGTTTGACGAAAAAAAGTCGTAGAGAGTTCGAAGACGTCTCATTTTGTAGAGAATGATTTACTCTATAATTTCGTGTGATATGACCAAATTGATTATCTGAGTTGTAGGTACTGAAAAACTAAAGGTTTTATTTTCGGGAAAATTCTTAATGATTTCTATGTGTTATACCTTTTCTTTTATGAAATTTTCGAATGATATTGATATCACTAATAGACATTATTGTATTTAAATAAAAAAACAACTTTTGCGGTGTCTTGAAACTTATTCGAGAATGAATCAACACAAAATAAATAATATTTTTTTATCAATTGATAGTTTATTGAGTTTACTACAAGATATGTTCTTTATTTTCTGCTGCAATGGATCAACACACAGTAAAGAGTCAAATGTATCAACTAGAAATGAAAAAGAAAAATCATTCTTGCATATCATTCTCGTTGAAATTCAAATACTCATTTTTATACGCGCCAAAACTTTAATCATAATCATCATGCTAAATAAATCTGAGTCCTATACAATATCACAAAATAATATTGAAAGACATTTAAAGATTAGTCTATCGTATTGGATATATAGTATTCTAATAATTATTTCAACTCTTCTGTATATAATATGTTTATTTTTATCTGATACATGGTTTATAATTAAACAAAATACTAATAATGAAACGATAATTTATTTTCAATCGAAAAATATTTGTCTCAATGGAAAAGATAATAAATTTTGTATTGAACCATATTTACCAATAAATCAATGTAATGAATATGATTTAATTCCATGGACAATTCGTTGTTCGAGAAAATATTTTATTTTTTTCAATAAAACATCATTAAATATATGTAATTGTTTTCAAATATCATTAACTAATATAATATATCGAAATAATATTTTTATATTTATTCTTCTTATATTAATAAATTTAATAACATTTAGTAAATATTGTTCAACAAAAGAATGTATTTTATATTATTTAAATAAATATTTTCTTTTAATTTTACTTATATCGATAATTAGTTTTGAATTTTATTTTATTTATATTATATTTAATGATAAAAAATCTATTGAAAAACTTTATAGAAATTATTTTTCAATGATTCAAATTTATTCAACTATATTCTATTCATTTCAAATATTGATCATTATTATTCATATTATTTCCATAATAATACTTGTTCATGAGTGATGTTTATATTGAAATGAAAAAAACAACAACACAAAAATTTTCATCTAAGTTGTTTATATGACGACGCATAGAAAAAAAAAGAGAGAAGAAAATATAAATAAATAAAAAGAAATTTTTCTTTGAACAAATTAATTTAAAAAAGACAAACAAACAAACTTCACACAGTTAGGACAGAAAAAAATCAAGAAAAAAAGTTATTTTTTGTCAAAGAAAGAAGTTAAAAGTAAAGAGACGATTTACCTAAAAAATAATTAAAAAGAAAGAGAAATGTGAAAAACTCAGATCATTTTTCTTTTGTTTTTTTTTGTATGAAGGAAATGCCAAAGATTAAAGTTTAGTATTGTATGAATACACATTATTGCTAATAGACAAGGACAAAACATACATACGAACTGTGACTAAACGAAACGAGAAACAAAAACAAAAACAAGAACTGTTCATAAGCGACAATGACAAATCTCGGGAAGGATTATAGTCATAGTAAGAATAATAGCAGCACCACTAATACGCAAAAACAAAAACGTAAATGAATACGATTGTGCATATAAAGACGTGAGAAAAATTATATTATTAGAAAATAATTATCGTTGTAAAGATAGAACACGAAGCATTAATAATTGTCTTTCGCCATCTTTTTCACCAATTGCAACAACCGTTCGATTATGTGCAGCCATATGTATATCAAGTGGCGTCATATTAACAGGCATTGTTGATGCTAATTGACCTTGCTTACGCCATAAACATATATTTTGATCTCTTGAACCAGTTGTCACTAATTGATTTGTTGATACACATGCACAAGTTATCTAAAATAAATTAAATCATTAAAATATTTCTTAATATTGTTTGTTTGTTTTTTTCAATTACTTCTCGTTTATGTCCAATTAATCGTGAAATAAGTTCTTTTGAATTTGAATCCCAAACTTTAGCCGTAGCATCTGTACTTGTTGTTACAAAATACGAACGATCAGGTGATAATTTAATATCGGTAATTCTTTCTCTATGTGCATTTTGTCCATTATCACTTAAGATACTTATACGTTGACATGATGGTATATCCCAATAAATAAGTTGTCCATTTCTTGTACCTGTTATTATTTGTTCATTATTTAAAATAAGTGAGCATTTTGGATCTGAATCAATTGTTATTATTGGTGGTTGAACTAAATCATGTGGTGTCGTTAAATCGAAAACAACATAATTTGTTGTTGATCCTGTTGGACAACCAACAACAGCAAAACGTTCATCAGGTGTTAAAGTTATATATGATGGTGTACCGCCATATGATTGACTCGTATCTGATTTAATTTCTTTTGTTAATTCTGAATTATTTAAATCAAGAATACCAACAGATATTCCACGTCCATATTTTTGATTACCAGCCATAATAAGATTATTTGAATTATTACTTAATGTAAATGTAGCACATTTTACTTGATGTGTTAATTGTACTGGTTTTCCTGTATTAACATCCCACATCTTATAAAAAAGAAAAAAAAAGAAGAGAAAAATTTCAATAATTCATTTGATAAATTTTCTTTTTCTCTTTGAAAATTTACTTGAAGTATATTTGCCTGAGTATCAATACCATCACTGGCTAAACCAACAAGAAGTGTTCCATTACATGCTAATGCAACTTTAACACAATTGATACTTGTTCCGTGCATACTTGAAACCAATTGTCCATTCTAATAAATAAAAATTAAAAAAAATAAGATTCGTTCTTTTTTCATCTTACCACAGCATCCCATATTTGTGGTGGTCCTTGACTTTGTCCAACAATAGCATATTTTCCATTGGGTGTCATACTAATTGATGTAATATTACTTAATTCATAATCTGTTTGTAAACCACCATCAGCAAACATAGCATTCATTGAATAACCAGCAGCACCACCAGCCATACCTTCCCATGATTCAAATGTATCTCGATATCCTTCAGTTACTCCACCACGAGCATAACCAAAATCTGCTACTGGTGGTGGATGATAATCTGTTTCAATGATATGTTCTATGAAAAAAAAAAAATAACAAATCGAATTATTATTTACGAAATTAAAATAGATAAAAAATAAAAACATGCAGCAACAAAAAAAACAAAATTATAAAATAGTGCCAATCAATATCATGCGTATTCCTACGTTGTGAATAATTTGAAGATGTTTGTTGTTGCTGATTATCACGTGCAAAGTCACCATAACGTGATGACATTGTCGGATAATTAGTAAAAACAGCAGCAGCAGCGGTATCCATACCGCTATATTCTCTAACAACTTCTGTAATAGGATCACTTTCAAACGTGTACTATTCTAATTAGAATTACGACTTGTTAACTTACCACGTGTTTGTTCAATTCGTGTTGTTTCCATTTCATCAGCTGCTGCAGCTAACTTTTCACCTTTTTCATATTCCAATTGAATACTACGTGCTGCTGGAGTTTCTGTACATGTAATAATAGTTAATAAAAAAAAAAAAAAAATTAACTTACCAGCTTCAGTTTGTGTTCCACCTGTTGTACCGGTTATGACTGGTACATAACCACCACCAACTGGAGGTGGTACCACAATACGTGCACATTGACGTGATGCAAATGCAAGTGCAAGTGGAAGTAAAAGTAAACCACTAACAAGTGCTAATATCCAACCAATTGGACCAAGACGAGCTCCACCTAGACGGCCATAATCAATTAATTGACCGGTTTTTGGACCAATCCATGGAGTTTTTAAAGTTCGACCTGTTGTTGTTATTGTTGTTGATATGATTGGTAATACTGTTGGAATTGTTGTAGCTATTATTTCAAATATAAAATAAATTGTTTGCAAGAAAAAAAACAAAAACAAAATGTTTTATCATACTTGAAATTTCGCAATAGGTCCCTGTATAATATTCGAAACATATACAATGACCTTCTTGACATGTACCATGATAACAATTAATATTAGCACAAAGATCAGCTGTAATAAAAGTTTTTTGAATTAGTTTTTTGTTGTTGTTTTGAATGAAAAAACTTACGTGCAATTTCACAAGTTGGTCCTGTATAACCTGTATAACATTCACAATGACCTTCACGACATTGTCCATAACCACAATAAACATTTTCGCATGGATTATGTCGAGTATCTAAAATAATAATTCAATTGATAATTAGTGTTTTTTATTTTTTGAAAGCATATTTCATACATTCTCGACAATCATCTCCATAATATGGGGTTGGACAAATACAACGTCGAGTAACGCCTTCGGGAACACATTGACCATGATTTGCACATGGGTACAATACACAAATATCATCTTTAAACAAAAAAAAAATTGTTCTTTTTTTTTTCTTTGTTAAATTAATTAAAAATAACCTTCGCAATGATTTCCTGTACGACCACTTGGACAAACACAACGAGCACTACCTCGCTCATTTGTACAGCTACCTCCATAACAATCATAACGTGAACATGGATCTAGCAGATAATAGAAAATAAAAATAGGCAATTAGAAATTATAAGTTAAAAAAAATTAAACATTTTCAAACTATGATCTAAAAGCATAAGTAATATAGATATATTCATGCATTAAATCAAATATCAGAACTTGATAGTAAAGTTTATTTTTAACTAAATAATACAAATAATGCATTTATATGGATCGTTGTTATTATTATTATTATTATTACAATATGAGTTCAAAAAAAGAAAAAAGTCGATTTTTTAGGTATTCAGAATTATGAATACTATACAAACAATATCGAATGGAGGGAAGATGAATCTGACTGGTTTATTGAAACCTTATAAACAATCATACTTTCTTCTTTGTTTTTTTCATATGTTTATTAAAAGCGCACGTCAAATGTCTACTTAAACAGAATCAAACACTCCTATTTCATCTAAACATAGAACACTCTCATAACCAGGCAAACATTTACAATAAAGCGTCCCATCATGCTGATGAATCAGACATTGTTCATAATTGCAATAGATATTATGACAGATGTCTGTTCGGCAAATAATACAAATGAAGAAAAAAATCAAATCAAAACAAAAGATCAACATGCATTTATTTTTTTCGTTTAATACGAAAAAACAAAACAACAAAACTTTCTTTACATGATGAATCTTATATCACATACCATCTAATTCATAACAATTCGTTCCTCGATAACCAAGTGTACATTGACACAGTGGTAGATTTTCTTGTGTAAGACATACACCTCCATTATAGCAAACAAAATTTGAACATAGATCTATTCGTCGATCACATGCTGAACCTTCATAACCTTGATGACATTGACATCTGTATGATGTACCTTCACTAATGCATGTACCATAATTGCATGATACTCGAGTACATGCATCTTTGGAGATAAAGAAATCAATGAATTTATTTAACAAAGACAAATGCAAGCTACTAACTCTCTGAATTCTAACTATTTTCATTTTTTTTTTAAATAAACTACAAAAGCAAATATAACTACAATGGAAATAAGCGACAGTCCAGTCACAAATATATTTAACTCACCCAAGGGTGTAAGACAGTCACGACCTGAATAACCTTGATGACATTGGCAAACAACTACACTATGCTCGGCTTTACATCGACCATAGTTACAATTGACTTTGGCACAAGGATCTATATAGAATTGACACTTATTTGGTTTCCTACATGAGATTACTTTTATTTTTTTTCTGTATAATTATTTATTTCATTATAATATTTTAAAATATCGTTTTCTTTCTTGTTCCTGTCCCTTTTTTTTTAAAATACATATCAATGATCATACATATGTCCCATTATGCAAATTGAAGGGTAGTGACCAGTTCAATTAGAATGAGAAGGAGAATGCACATTTACATACACATTTGTCCACCTGAGCGTGCGTGCAACTCATATGTGCGTAAGCGCGATCTTTTTCTACTCTAACGGCATGTATATATATGTACATAGATTCATGTTCAATCAAAAAAAATTTGCATAATGTTACTTTTTTATGTGTATACACCGCATGGTGCAATATGATGTAAAAAATTGACGACAACGACAATCTATTACCTTGAATAGAGTGTTGAATTATATCTTTTGAAGAAGAGTACAATGATAGAGTAGGGAAAAAAAGTGTCCGAATAAGTGATGATCGCTTAGTAAAGATAAACATTTGTATAGAGTTATGTAAGATAGACTACTCGCGCAATCAAATCTTATTTTGGTGTTGATCAATCATTCTTATCGTTCTGTTAATCCACTTATGAACTCGTTTAGATTTAAGTGGCATCGAATAGGCAATTATTATTCTATTCTATATAAAGACTAAACATATGCCTGTCTTTGTTTGCATTCTATCATAATGAAGAAAATCTTGTTATCGATCTATTCATCATAATGTTGTATTTCTTTTGAAAAAATTTTTCTTTTTAATTCAACAACATATTTATATATATACATACATTCTACTATGTAGTTAGTGATATGAAGAAAAAAAAAAAGAAGATTGACAACAATTTTTACAAAGACTGATTGATGTCTGTCTTCGAGTATATATATCAATATCAATGAAAAAATATATCTCAATTTTCGTATCATTATTCACTAATGGAAGTTGATCGTTAGTGATTGTTGCATCATTCATGAATGAATAAAAGAAAAGTAAAATTACTAATACTACAACAATATCTACTTCTACTAAATATATACATGCATCGAGCTTTTTTTTTTTTAACATACCAATTTGAGCGTCACACCGTGAACCACCATAACCTTCAGAGCATGAACAAAATGGTTGACTACTACGATCCTTTTGACAAGTTCCATGATTACATATATAATTTAAGCATGGATCAGCTTTTAAAAAGGATGACGAAGAACAAAAAAAAAAAAAAAGAAATTTTAATTAAAATAAAAGACGAAGAAGAAAAAAAAAGTATCCTTGACTTAAATTAGCTTTCTTTCACATGCACATACAATTCTTTTGTTTGCATGGTTACCTTGATGTACAGAAGAGTAGAAAAAAGAGCAAGAGATAATATCATTGAAAGGATATATAATCCTCCTTACTCACTCACTCACTCACTCACATATATATATATACATAGACAATGCACAGTCTGATTTATTTATTTCTCAAGGTTCTACCACCAGCTCGAACATCATTATCACGTTGACGACAAATGGCATACACTCAGCATGTATTATAAATGCCTGAAAGAAAAAAACCGAGAATTGTTTACCTGATTGTTCACAGCGATATCCGGTATATTGTGAAGGGCAATGACAATAAGCTAAAGATGCTGGAGATGATGGTTGAATACAATAACCTCCATTAAGACATTGGATTCTTTCACAAGGTGCCCCTAAAGAAAGAACATATTTGTATATATAATGAACTATGTAAAACTTATGATCATTTGAGACATATATTATGAGAGGGGGAACGAAGGGAGTGACGAAGGAAATAATGTAAAAAAAATGATTTAACTTACAACAGCCATAGTAACATGGCATAGAACCGGCAGCAGTACGTGATTCATATTGAGATGGCGGTGGTGGTGGAGGAGCAGCCTCCGTTACAGTAATAATCAATAGTAACGAAGTGAAGAATTTCATTGTATATAATAATGAATAATAATACACAAAAAAGTGGCGAAAAAGAAGCGTGTCACTCTTATATCGATGAATGCACGGATGGATGAATCACATCATTATAAGCAACGACTAATATTGAATGTTTCTTTTCTTCTTTTTTTTTTTCTCTTTTTTTGTGTATTCTCTGTTGGTTTTAGCAAGGTCGATGAGTAATGTATAACTGTTGATGTTGGTAACTGTGTGTATCTCAAGAATGAAACAATGTGAATGATGATAGAAAACGATAAAAAGTCGAAGATAGAGATATAGACAAAAAAGAATTAGGGGAAACAAGGTCTTTTATCACTAATAATATTCGATTGACGTAATAACGAAAGGTGTCGATTGATGATGGTGAATCTCGTTTCAAACTTGTCTTTTACCTCCTCCAACTTCTTTCAATGTAATATAGCAATAGAAATACGAGAAGAAATAAGAGACACACAGAAAAAAAAAGAAAGGAATGGTGTAAGATGCAAACAAACACCAAACCACAAACTGACGATGACGATGACGATGGCATAGAAGAGAGAGAGAGAGAGAAAAAAAAAAAAAAGAGAAATATACAAATATACCAAGAAAAATCAACTATGTATGAGTAATAAAGAAAGGCAAGATATGAAAGTAGAACGGTTAGTAATATCTTGTATTAGTAAGAACAACAACGTCAACAAAGCGAAGGAAGATACTACATTATCATCATCTCAACTATTTCTCCTTCTCTCTCTTGCTTTTCTTCTTCTATCACTAGTGGCAATGCTGAAACCACAAGTTGTTGTCTCGATTGTCGTCCTCTTACGCTTTTTTTTTCTATTCTTCTTCATATACATGTTGACTATGGATGTATGTATGCTCATGCACACGCATAAACGGAAAGAAGAAAGAGAGACTAAAGAAACAGAAAAAAAAAAAGCTTCTTATTAACATTAAAAAAAAAATGTACATGAAGTACGCAGAGAACGATCGTATAAATATATATATATATATATTTGCTTGCGTTTGGGTTGTTCGTAATATTATTTGATGCAGAGGAGACACAATGAAAAAAAAAACAGAAGTGCAGACATCAGTTAAAAAAAAACAAGGGAAAGGTTTAATGGGAATTTGCAATAAAAAAAAAAAAGGAACGAAGAATTCGTCCATACGCACATTCATCGTGATCAACGGACTCGTCTTTTTGTTTCCTTTCTTTTTCTCTTTTTTTCCCATAAAAAATTGGTTTTTACATTATTTTTGTTGACATTATTGTCGCCGCATCTATTTGAATCAAAAATTCAAGGTGACATTTTGTCTTCTCTATATTCAATCTCAAACAAATGATTTATTAAAAAATACGACGTTCTGCAAACACCTGTGCAAATATAAACGGATGCTGATAGAAAAACCAATATAAAAAAGAAAAAAAAAAAAAGAGAATTTTTTTTTCTTTTATCTTTAATATCACACGTTATAAAATATTTATCAATCAAACTTACGTTCTGGTATATTTGCATGATTATTCCAAAGAACACTTGGATCATAATCAATTAATCCTGGATTACGTATAGAATTATGTATTAAATTCTCATGATGATTATCTGCCATAAATATAATCTATTTTAATATTAAAATAATAATAATGTATATTTTTTTTTTCTTTTTCGAAATATTCTTTCACTTATGTTTACTTACATCTTGAATATAACCAATAAAATTTTTTCCACATAAATAAACTTTTCTATCACCAAATAAACTAAAATATTCAATAAAATATGTATAATGTCGGGTTTCATCATCAAATGTTAAATCAATCTAAAGAAGAATAATTATTAATATATAAGAAAATGAAAGTCTAACATACTGTATTTAATGTTTTTTGACATTGTAATACATGCCATTGATCACCTCGAACACGTCCAGGAAAATCATATGTATAAATAATTCCACCATTTTGAATAATTAAACGTGGATAATAATTCTAAATTTTAATAACATTTGATTAACAAAATCAAAGATTTTTAGTTTTTTTCTTTCGATTTTGAACTTACCTGAATAACAATTGATACTTGAATAGAATCATTTTGCGTTGTAAATAAAACTGAATTATCTGATATTGTAAATATCATTAAATAAATTTGTTCATATTGTCCTGATCCAATTTGAGTAAAATATCGAAGTGAACCTTTATTATTCATATCAATTGATGATGTACAAACCAGTGAACAATCAGTTTGACCACAAAATTGTAAAGGTTGCATATTACTACAAGGCATTTGTCTATCACATATTGAACCTTGGTCACAAAAACAATCATAACGATCAGATTTCACAATGCCTTCAGGCAATACTGGATGATGATTATATGTTATATTAGCAAAACATCCAACAAATAAATTATCAGATATAATACGATCTGATCCGCCAATAGTTATAACATCAAAAAATAATGATAAAGATAAAAGATTAGATATATTTATTGTACGATTATCGATTTGTATATACATAGATTTATTTGAAATTTGACGAAAAATTGAAATATAATGTAGTTGTCCATCATTAATTGTTTGATTATCATTAAATATCAATTGTAAAGTTCTATTATTTGTTAAATAATATTTTAATTGTAATTTTCCATTATTTAAAAAAAGAAAAAGACCATAATAATTATCATTTGAATATATTGATGCTATAATACCATTGAATGATTGAGTTTTTATTGCTATTTGACATTGGTAAAATTGATCATTCGATGGAATTTGAAGTTCAATTATATCATCATAATCACGAATGGAAAAACTTATATCTGATGATATATATGAAATAACATTTTTGGCTAGAAAAGATTAAAAACAAAAAAAGATTTTAATCTTTAACAGATCGATTTAAACATGTATAGAATGTCCATGAAAATTTACTATATATATCAGATTGACTAAGCTGGTGATTATATGCAAATCGAATACGGAATATATTAAATTCCTATACTAGGTCACAATTTTTTTAGTTCTGAAAGTTAATTCCTAAAAAAATAAATACTAGTGGAAATTCTTTTAAGTGATTATAGAATTACGAAATGATTTTTTTACTTTTGAGCATATAGAGAAGATCATAGGATTAGAATAATTCTAAAAGAATTTTAATTCATAACCTTACTCTACATAGTTACGATAGTTTTATTGAATTATTGATTGAAAAATTCAACAAAGAATTTTTTATGTGAAATTTTCTCTATAATGAAGTCTTATGATTATAAGAATACCATGGAAGTTTTAGTCAAAATGATTGCTTTTTTTTTTTTTTTTTTTTTGAGATATTCAACTTCAGAAATTTGAAGGTTGAGTATCTTCAAGTAGCAAACAAACGTTTTAAACGATACTTTTTAATACGCTCTTTAAAGATCAAGAGACCTAGAGACCAAATTTCCAATCTAAAAAAATTCTTTGTCTAATTTTCCTGTCAATATCATGGTCTATGATAAAAATCTAACAAAACTGTCGTAACCCTGTAGAGAGAACCTATGTAAACCTCAAGTCTTTTACAGTTATTCTAATCTAGAAATCTCTATACATCTAAAAGCTATTAGCACAATCCTTGTAGGATAAAAATGTGAAACATGATACAGCTGCCGTTTCTAATTACAGTAAGATAGTTTCATTCTACCTGTTTTTGGACATATTTTTTCATCTTCCTTTTTTTGCTTAATTATCCAATGATGCAATAAGGCAGTATGTCATGTATTATACCGACACATTATTGACATACGGCTTGTGATGGTATATCATTAACATCTGTCATGGTCCATGATGGCCTTTAATTGGCGTCTGTCATGACCTGTAAAGGGAAGTTTTACTCCTATACTTCAACACTCCTTTTAGATCGTATTTCAAAAAATCATGTACTGAAAAGTAATGAATCATTTCAAACGTTTTCCTAGACGATTGGTTTGATAATCGAATTTATAATTTAATATTCTATCATTTTGTGAGTGAATTCTACATTGTTAAACTTTATTAAAATCATATTCTAATGGATTTTTAATTTTAATTCCATATTCATATTGATTTATGCTTACAATTCTATTTTTTTTTGTAATCTGCTAATCGAACTTTTAAATAATAACAGAGTTATGTCGATCGGTAGAGAATTCACTACACGATGTTGTGTTGTCTATCATGCATAAATAAAACAACTGAACGTCTGATCTCTCAAAATTAAACGAATAATATATTTTTTTTAAATTGATATATATTTATTCTTACACTAGACTCATAAAAATAATCTTATAATTTGATCATATTTAATTCTAAACTATCTTTATTGATAGAAAGAATCATTTAAAAATCGAAGTTTCACATAGAATCTAACTTAAAATTTGACTTTCGATTTTGATGAAATTGAGTTTAGATTTGGTTTATATATATATCATTGGAAACTTGAATTTCCAATAGCACCGATCGGGTCCGAATCCGGTCGAATCGTATAATATGATACTTTCAATGAAATTTTCTAATTCGAATTGGATGGTCACTCCGAAGATACGAAATACTTTTTTCCGATTTTTTTGTTGAAATTTCGACAACAAAGGTTCATCAGCTAGAACCATTCTTGGATATTTGCCTACTCACTAGATCCTATCGATTAGTCAATTGTGGATTTTTCTTCGTTAGTGTTTTTCCTGTACTTATATTTCATTCCACTATTCGAATAAACTTATTACACAGAAGACTAATCCAAAACAAATGCAATGCTCATATTATTAATTCTGAGATAATCGAAGGTCCGCATCTCGTCAAATTGCGATTATTTTATTTATAATTTGTTCAACTAACATTTAACTTACGTTCACGTGTAGTTATTTGACAAGTATTTACTAATCTATCTAATGGATAAATATGTTTTGATTCAATCAATAATTTTTTATTAAACATAATATTTTTAATACAACCAATAAAATCATCTCCATTGAAATTTGATAATCGTTCTTTAATAAAATAATCTAATTTTCCAATATAAATTGTATTAATATAAAATTTATCAATCATATTTTCAATTTTTGTATTTTCATCAAATTCAAATAATAAATAATTTTGATTAATTAATTTAATAATTATTTTATGTTCATTTTTATCATTAATTGAATTATTTATTAAAATTTCTCTTGGTTGTTTTTGTTTATTATAATATGTTAATACTAAATATTCATAACGAATACTTAATATAATAAAATTATTATATGTATTATCAGCTAATGAACAAATAATACAATTTGATTCTTGTGTAGAAAATATAAATGAAAATATATGAAATTCTTCAGGTTTATCAAAATTAATAATCAAAGGACGATCATTATCTTTAAATGAAATAATTTGATCAATATGAATATCATCTATTGATGATTTTATTATCATATTATTTAAAAAACATTTTTGTCGATTTAATGATAAATTTTCAAATGAAAATATTTGATTATTATAAGTTACATTTTCTATACAACCAATAAATTGATTATGTAAACCAAATAGAAAATTTTCAATGATTAAATATGATCTTGAAAGTTCAGTAGAAATTTTCTTATTTTTATCTATCCATGTTTCAAGAGTTTGATTATTTAATTCTAATTGTACAATATAAAGTTTTCCATCATTGATTGGTTTTTGTTTTTCATTTGAGAAAATTTTTTGTACTAGTTGATCACGAATGACTAATATTAAATAACCATCAATATCAATATTTAATTGAATTTCATCAAATTGTATAAGTGTACTAAGATTGGAATATGTACGAAATGAAAATGAAAAAATTTTAAAGAAGAATTTAATTGGTGATGGAAAAATAATTTCATTATTATCATTTGGAAGAAAAGCAATTGTTTGAATTGATTGTGATTGATTTATAGATGATGAAATTATTGTTGTTATAGAATCTTCGAAATTCTCATTTGAATTATCTTTTTCACGAAGATTTAAAGATCGATCCATATTAGATACTATAATCTAGATAATAGATAACAATAATAATGATTACGATATGTAAAATATGAACAGAAAGTTTAGTGCAGTGATATATTTTTTTTTCTGAAGAAATGATCTTTGAAAAACTATTTTTATGCGATTTTTAAATTAGATCATCTCATTTTACTTAGAAATATTTGTTTTTATCAAATGATCTGATTTTCGAAACGTTTCATATCGAATCCAAAGAAGTAGTGTTCGAGAGTGTTAGTTTTATCTCAATGAAGTTTTTATCCGATAAGAATGTTTTTTTTTCGACTCAAAAATAGGATACTAGTAAAACACGTTCTCAGCCACTTTGATCTACTCTAAGTCAAAAGCTCAAACAAATAAATGTTCAGAACAAAAAAAACTGTTAGATGAAGTTGTGGTAAATATTTAATAGCTAGAGTCAGTTCAAAATATGTAACAGAAATACATTTCACTTCATTTTTCAAATATTTATTTTCTTGAGATTTTGGCTCAGGGTAAAGTCGAGTAGACTCAGAATTTCAAGCTCTATTATATTAATACTAATTCTAAAATCTTAATCAATTTTTCTATAAGAAAAAAAAAGAACATTGAATATCTTCTAAACGACAATATAGTTTCTTTTTTTTTTTTGTATTATGTGTAATTCAATTCTCGCATTGTTTAAACAACTTACATCACCAATTTTACCATTATAATTACCATTGGGTACAATTATTAATTGTGCTCCAATGAATATATTTATTGTCTTTTGCCATTCATCAGGCAATTCAGTATTTGATTGTTCAACATTATCAAGAATAAATCGTAACTACAAAAACATAGAAAAGAAATTCATTTTGATTTATTAAAATTAAAAATTGTAATCAAAAAAAAATTTTAAACCTTTCGATTTGATCGTTCAATATATAATCGATGCCATTGTCCATTATTAATTAATTCTGTATCATTTTTTGTTGTTAAAATTATATCAAGTAGATTATCTTGTGAAAAAATAATTTTCAATCTATCATTCTAAAAATTAATCATACGAAAAAAATCTTCTTCTTTTTTTTTTTAATTAAAACAAAACAAACTTCAATATTAAATGTATAACTAATATTTTCATTAGCAATACCAGCAAGAATAGTTATTGCTTGTAATATTTGTTGATTTGTAAGAATAGAAAATGCAATTGATTCAATTGATGTATAATCTTCTTCATCAGTGATATATTTCATAGGTATATTAATTGTTGATGAATATTCAATAATCGACTCCGGTATTAAATTACTGCTATTGAATAAATTCTCTGTCAGAACATCATCTAAATAATGGTTAACTATAAACAATGAAAGAATAGACTTATTTTCATTGATTAACATGAAGAATGAATATTCAATTATCTACTTTGAATTTTTGATTAAGAAGAAACATAAATGAGTCATTATTTTAACTTCTTCTCTATAAATAATCTTATTTTAAGAACTTACCATCAGTTAATGTCTCATTAGATAATAATATATTAATATTATTAATATCATCATTTAAAATTCTTGAATATTGTTCATCTTGGCATAAATATAATTGTATAAAAATTAAGATTTGAATAATACATAAAATTCTTTTTGTAAATTTCATTTTTTATTTTTTGTTTTAATCAGATAAATTTAATGATAACAATCGTATTTAAGGAAGTTAGTATAAAATAATGAAGTGATAGATGAGAAAATTTCTATATTATAAGAGAAAGAAAAAATATAAATGTACATTTTATCTTCCTGTATCTCTCTCTCTCTCTCTCTCCCTCACACACACACTATCTTATTATTACTATGCTGTGACTGGCCAATGACCATAATCAAAACGTTAAACGAGTGAGAAGGAAAAGATTTTTCATCCTTTCATGTATACTCTCATATAAGTTATATACTCTCTGTTGAACATTTTTTTCTATGTTGTTCGATATATATGTTAGTCATTAATAATAAGGATGAAAAGAGAGAATAAAGAGTCAATTGTATGAGCAAAAAAAGGACTAAAGAAAATTTTCTCTTTTTGACCTGCAATGAAAAAAATAACAACAACAACATTAAATTTTGAGAAGAATTCTAATTGTTTTGATGGTCAATAGCATAATATCGATTAATGTCTGTCTTCTATTGTATATCGACAATATACTGAATGCATATTTATGAATAGGAAGATTTAGTTGTCGCTGATTGATGAATACTTTGAGCTGTCCCCTATTCGAACAAAGAAAGAGAAGGAGTGAATTATTTCAATCACACATACACACAGACATACTAGGTAATGGTTCATGAAAGTCTATATTCTGTATTAACTCTAATCCTTCTCTTTCTTTTTCTTCTTTTGGTTATACATATAATAATCTTTTTCGACGTTGCATGCATTTTTATACAATTATAGATGTATTTAATTCGAATGAAGTATATTCATATGTCGCATGATTAAGATAAAATTAAATCATCATGTAAGCTTTATGTATATGTCTCTTTAACATACGATCAATTTTCTTTTATAAAAAAAAAAAGAAATAAGAAAAAAGCATGCAAACATATTGAACAAATTACATTAAATAACTACTAAATTCTTAATTTTTCTATTAAGACATATTATTATGTAAGAAGAGTCAGAAGAATGAAATTTCTTGATAATACAAGTCATTATTAATAATAAGCAAAATTGATCAACCAAAAATACATATACAATGAATGATCTCAGACATTGACTAAATAAATAATCTTCTTTTCTTCTCAAGTGAGCAATGCGTCTCATTAGGCACTTTGTTTAGAGAATCTCATATGGCAAACAAAAACACATTTTCGTCTATTAGTTGATATTGCCAAAAGAATATCGAATAGAACAATGAATACAATAAACACTTAAGTATATAACAATTATTTTTTAATAGTATTCAAAGTAATTATATACTTAAATAAAAATTTTTTTTTTATCAAAAATGTTATTAATAGATTTGACTATTGAAAATAATTAATATAAATGATGTAATATTCTTAAGAATTACATATTTAATCATCTTTTATAGATTAATCGAAATATATTCTATACATCAATAGACTGTTATATTGATATTTATATTGACATCCATTCAAAGTATGTTGTTATACTTCATTTTTACACATTTCAATAATACCTATGCATAACATTCAAATTGATGCTAAATTCTTTATAATCAATATTATTCTCTTTCAAAAAACAAAACAAAAAAGAAAAAGAAATTTGAATATCAATCAATCGATTTTTCATAGAACCAAATTACTAAATGAACACAAAGATCAACTGATGTAACACAGATGGATACATATTTTTTGAATATAAATGATAGAAAAGAAAACAAAAATAATTTATTGAATTTCATTTAAAAAAAAGGCCATGATGATTGAAAGTATATAAGATGTAGTGTAAACATGTAAATGGTTAAGCACACAGGAAAGTTCTATATTTCTTTCTTTGCTGTTATTTTTGAATATTTGATAGTAGGCCGAAATAAAATGATACAATTAGTTACTCCTACAAATATCACTGTCTTATCGACTCTCTCATCAAATATTCAATAATAACAGAAAAGCAAGATATGAAATTGTTCTGTATGCGTACCTGCATATGTACCAACACCACATAAACTCTGCTGTCCGTTGAATATCGCATAAGATTTCACATATAATTATCTTCTTGTATATGAATCAGAGGTGGAATCGGTTTGATTCCAAAAAAAAACACGAATCAATTTCATCTCCAATATGAATAAATAGAGAAAAAAAAGATAAGATTATTATAATTAAAATTATCTAATTGAATATGATCAATGCACGTTTTCATTTTTAAGAAAATTTAATTTATTATTATTATTATTGAATCTGTATTATTGACTAGTATCGAATTGAAATGATAAAAGAACATTGCAAATAAAAATAAAGCATTTTTAATTTACACAATAGTTTATTTGATTTCTAATTTTAAAAAAGGTGATAATAAGTATATTTAATTTGTCCTATTTTCACGAGACCTCTAAGTTTCACTATCTATCAAAATTAATAATGAAAAAAAAGTTCATTCAATCTCAACGATTCATTTTAATTTTAAACTATCAAAAGTTCTTTAATTTTACGATATGGACTAATTTAATAAGCGTTACAGATTTTGCCTTGATATAGTATTAAAGAAGTATTAATAATTGGACTGTAATATTCAAGTTTATTTATGTTTTTTTTTCTTAACTGAAAGCATCTAATCATCAAGATATCATTTGTATATATATATATATGTGCTGAATGACATTAACGGAAATAAGAGCAAAGCAAGTTGTCAATGTCAATTACATGCATGTTGTGTTGATGATTATCAACAATGTACATAACCAATATCTTTATTAATCGAAAATAAAATAAACAAATGCTATAACATTTATTTTGAGGTTGTTTTTTTTTTCAAACAATTATCCTTGATAGATAAGGAAGAATGTTAAATGGTTTAATTCAAAAAGATATATTGTTATTTTCTCAACGTCCATGGTCTAATTAACTATACAAAATGAATGATAAGGTTTAGCTGAATGATATAATCAATCGATTCTATATTCTCATATGAAGAATGACCCCATAAATTGCTTATTTGGAATAAAAAATGAGTATTGTTGGTACGTTCTTCATGTAGAGAAATCGATTTCTTTTATTCATTTATCAAATAATATTCATAATTCATTAGAAACATGTCAAAAAAAATATATTACCATGAAATAGTACCATTGACCTTAGAAAAGACCAATAATTATATCGTAGTTTACTATTAATACCTTCTTGTCTACGACTGTAAATCTTTGCATATATAAAATAGCATGATATGAGTTCCGGATCGACTAACACAATGTAAGAGAATAATAAAAAAAATTAGTTGTAATCTTTATCTTCGAATAGAAGGATAAATGGATTTTTTTATAATTTGTCAGCGATGAGAACTGTTTCTTAAAGACAATGATCGCCGTTCAAAGCGAAATTTTCAGTGTTCATCTTATCAATAAGATCGTCATGACTGATTGATGAAGTTGTTGGACATGTATTCACAAGGTATTATATTCAAACCTTTGTGTAGTACCAACCATGAAATGACCTTGAGAAAGTCAGTAACGACTGTTTGTCTCAGAAGCTGAAAGACAGAGATATTCTTCTTTCTCTTATGAATATAAACTCTGTATACTCCTTTATCAGCGATAAAAGAAACAACCTATTTAGTTAAATTAAATTTATAATATTGAATTTTTCTTTTCGATAAAATGATTTTAAAATTCTCCTGAAATTTTCTTTTCTAAAAAATTTATTATTTTGTTGTTTAATCTATTTTGATATTCAACAAAATAGAAAAGAAAAATAATTATGTCAATCAAAAATTTAATATATTATTTTCACACTTGAAGTTTTTTTTAAGTATGAGTTGCTAAATAAAGATATTTCATTTCAATGACAAGAATCAAATTATTCATTTTTAAAGGTAAATGTGAAATTAAAGGAAAGAAAAAACATCTAATACATTATGATTGAATCTATCCTAGTTTTCTTATTGACTTCACACAAAAAAATATTGTCATCAAGAAAATTTTACTTGTTCTTTTTAAAAAATAACTGTACATCAATAATACCGATACAACAAATGAAAGAAAAAAGAAATCAATAAATAGAATCTATAAAATAATACATCCTTTCTTTTTCTTTTGTTCATTTGTCATTTTATAATTATTTGTATTTGTATTTCTATTTGTAGTTGTAGTTGTATTTCTATTTCTATTTGTATCCGTATTTGTATTTCTATTTGTATCCGTATTTGTAGTTCTATTTGTATCTGTATTTGTATGTGTATTTGTATTTGTAACTGTATTTCCACTTGTATTTGTATTTGTATTTGTATTCGATAATGATGTGTTATTTGGTTTTTTATTCTGTTGATTTCGCATACCAGAATTTGAATTTATATTTCGCCTCGTATTCGTCTTTTGTTTTTTTTTATTGAGTGAAGTATTATTAGATGCACCGGTTCGTTGAAAATCTCTTCGATTATTCGTTGTTATTGTAGTATTTGATTTTTCTAGTTCATACGTACCTAATAATTGATCACGATATGGTGTATCATGTTCACAATGAAAAACATTTTTTTGTCGACAAAGAGAACAACGAAAATCATCACGTACAAGTGGTAAAGCCTGATATGATGCCATTTATTTTGTAAATAGGAATAATTAGAAGAAGAAGAAAAAAGAATAAATCTAAAAATAATTTTTTTTAAGACAAAATATATTTGACAATGCTGCGAGACGAACTTTTTTTTCGGGATTTGAGATTGTCCCGCAGGACTAAAATTGAAACATGATTCAATATTGAAGAATTGAATAAGTATCTCTCGAATTCTTTTACATTATTAGCATACTTAATTTATAGATGAATAACACTATTCGCTAGTCGAGAATGTTCAATAATATGAAAGATTTTCTTTTTAATTATTTAATGAAATGAAGAAAAAAAAAATTCTTTTTTTTCTTTTTTTATTAAATTGATTTTGATGCTATAATCAAATAAATTATTAACTGAAGCTTTGAAAGAATAAAAGAAAATCTTAGTAGTTACTTTGAATTTCGATATATTTACTTATGATTTATTGTTCAATTTTGAGGCAATAGACAATTATTCACTACTCCTAATACAATAAGTGTGTTGTGGAGTTTATGCTCTCCGTGGAACACTCTTAAAACATCTGTTTTTCTTTCTTATCGAGTGTACTCATAACAATTCTTTGCAGTATTATTCACAAAAAACGAAATCATAAATAACTTTCTTGTTTGTAGGCTTATTTGTAACTAGGAAAGAAAGAAAAACGAAACAAGCAAATTTCAAAAACTATTTGACTTTCTTCTTTGTTTTTAACCTTCAAATCATTTTGTTAGTTACAGGTTATGAAAACCTTTCAAAATTTTCTCCTATCTACTATATTGTTATATTATGATTGATGTTAGACACTTAACAATATGTTTTAATAAGTTTCTTTCAAAAATATGACGAAGTAAGATAACGAAGAGTGCAATCAGTACAAATTGATCTGAATAATGAAAATGAAATTGAAAAGAAAAAATCTTTCTAGGAAATGAAGAGTGTACATCTCTTCCCTACCTATAAAACTATATTACTGATCTTTTAAGCACTCACCGCTTGTGAATAGATGTAATGGGATATATTAATCTCAATTTCGTTTTTATTTGTGATGTTGTGAAAGAAAGAGAATAAAAGAATTTTAATGTTGAACCAACATCTTTAAAACATTTCTTTTGCGATATTTTTTTTTCTCTCTTTAATATTGCTGTTTTTTTTTTCTTTTATAAAATGTTTAAATAGGTAAATGTATGTATGACACATCCTTTTTTTCTCTTTTGATCAAGACACATACAAAAAAAAAATTTGTCACTTAGACAACCGATCAACAATATATTTAATAGTGAATCTATCAAAGCAAAAAGAAAAAAAAAACGATTTACGAACATAATTACATAGTTACGTTTACATTTACATTTACATAGAATTGATTAAATTCTTTCGTGATAAACTGAAAACATAAAGAAGATAAGATATAAATAAGATGAAAATGTCTCGTTTTTGAATGTTTTTTTCAACAATACATTGCTATCATATAAATTTACAATTGACAGATTATATTTCATCTTCAATATTAGTAAAGTCTATTATATTTAAAATTTTAAAGTATATGAGAATATCTTTAAACATTATCGATCTTTGAAAACTTTTTTTTTTGTAGCTTTACAAACCGATAGAGATCAAACTGATGGCTACTAAGTATTCCATGGTTAGTTCGTAGAGTGCATATGTAACATTTCTTGTGTGAATCGAAATAGCACTTTTGCGCCAAGCATTATAATAAAAATAAATATAAAATGTATGTTGTATATGGACTAATTATTATTAAATAAATAGCAGGATTGAGTTACCAATATGGATAATGAAAAAAATCCTTCGAGATTTTAAAATAAAACTAACAAAATTTTTGAAGTCAGTTCAATGAGAAAAAATATTCTTTTTTCCAGTATTCTTCGAAATGAACTCTCATTGTCATATCACACAGAGTTCAAGCTTATTCTTTACTTTCATTATATTAAGTTTTTATAAATACGTATCTATGTCATCTTTGATCTTGATTTTAATCTTTCAACAAGAATGTGTGTCTGACACATGTATGTATATATAAATTTGTTTGTTCATCAATCACAATCATCACAAAAAGTGTAATTATTCTTTTATATTCAACTTCCGGTAAAAAGATATGTATATTTATCATTATCATAGAACTTAATATAATCTACCGCTTTTGACTTCATGATAATATGATATTGCAAATCAAAAAAAAAAAAGAAAAGATGATTTTTATAATAAATGGAAGAGAAAATCTTATTAAAGAAATCGCTCAACATCTTCGTGACATTGCTGATGAAATTTAATCAAATTCATTTATATCTAAACATCTCACTAATCTTATTTGTTCATTCATGTATTATTCTAATTTTTCTATATATTGTAAATAAATAAATCAATAGATTTTATATGATAAAAATCAAAAAATGTTATCTTCTTCATTTCAATATACGTAAAACTAAACACATTATCAGTAAAAACAGAAGACAAAAAAGAAAAGAAAAAGCACAGGTAAAAATAAATACTAATCTTCTATTTGCGTACGAAGGCCAACAAAGGACAAGTTACATCGTTTGTATTTGGTTCGAAGAAGTCTAATGTTTTCTTTTTACTTTTGTTAAAAATCATTCCAAATTAGCACCATCTTTTTTCTCAAAAACGAATAAAGGTTTTGAGTACTATTAATATGGCTGAAAGATAAGCAAATGATGTTATCTGTTGAGTCATATATAACCATGTGCGTTCAGAATCAAAAAGTAAAGAAAAGGTAAAATATTCATATGTTTTTATTTTTAGATATTAATTTTAATAAATATATATATATATATATACTATGGCAAATTCATCTATTGAAAGTGAACCAATAGAAATATTATATGATACTAATGAACCAAATTCATCCTTTATATCTACATATGATGCATCACTTGAGAATATTTTACCAATTCAAACAGATCAATTATATCCAACATCATCATCTATTTATATGGATGCATCTATTTTATCACCAAATGATACATCATTTGATATTTTACAAGGTTTTTCTGCACCAACACTTCCGGTTTATATTAATATGGGTGTAAATGAACATCCCGATGATGTAAATTTTGTTGGACCTATAACAACAACTGATCAAACATTATCACATTCAATAGCAGCTATTGATGTTGATCGTCTATTGCCATCGACAACAATTCAAAGACATAGTCATCCTCATCATCATCATCATCATCATCATTTTCCACATTATCAACAAAATCGAAATCGTTATCCATATGTACAAAGACCGATTGTTCCAAAAGATTCTCATGGAACACAAGTACTCTCAACTAGTTTAGATAATTTATATTATTATGCACAACGACCTGCTTTTCGACGTTCTTATTTTGCTTTAAGAAGACAACGAATACCAAAAGGTATATTAATAAAATAAAATTATATTTAAAATATTGTTCTATTTTTGTGTGTGTGTGTGTGTGTGTAGCTCCGCCAATGCCAAAACATTTATTTCCTGGTTATAAACAAACTAGAACAGAAAAATTAACAACGGAAAGTACTGGAGATGAAAACGAAGATGAAGATGAAGAAGGTAATGTTTTTCTTCAAAATATCATTTGATTGTTTGTGGTATTCGATCATTAAGTAAATATTTTAATTGAGATTTTGTATAATGACAATCTTTTTCGGGTTCAAAATTTTCAAGTTCAATTATATCTGTATGTAAACGATCAACATCTGTAATCATAACTGTTGGTAATGGTTTAGTTTTAATTGATGATTGAGATGATAAATATGTTGTATTTGTAATTTGACTTAAATATGTATTTGTTGAAGAAATAGCATTAAAAATTGGCCGAAAGAAAAAATAGCGAACGAAAGAAAAAATGTCGAGAAAAAAATGGTGAAGAATAAAATAGCGAATATAAAATATGGCGAATTACCTAAAAAGGCGAAGACTTTATAGTAAAAAACATAGAACACCAATCGTATTATAATGTCGAAAAACTTTATTTTAACATTCTCAACTAGTGGGATGAAGATATTTTACTACATACAAAAATGCAATAGCTACATAAACAGAATATTCCCAGATTGTCAAGACTGGGAACAGGCTGGGTTTGATCATTCAGGAATCTGATTGAAAGATTGTTGGTGAAATTGATCGAATTTATGAGGAGTTGAGAAACTTTCTGAGAAGTATTGAGCAAAAATACAAATAAAATATTGAAGGTTTTCTGCGAAAAAAAACGAAAATATCGAAATTGGAAGATCAACTGCAGTTCATAACATTCCTGTGGTTAGATATCAACAAAAACTAGTCTTGCAGATCTATGTTGTCAGTTAGAAGAAGACAGAATGTCGGTATGAAACGTAGTAATAAGATGTAGATCTAATTGAAACTACGAACTACCGATTTAGATCTGCGTCTTCAAGTAGATTCTAGTACAGAGCTGAAAGATATAGCGTCACTTAACGATATCTAGAATATTTTCAATATTTTTAGTCAAATTTATATTTTCGGTGTTGTTATATGATCGACATTTTTTCTTTCGTCATTTGTTTTTCGCCTTTTTCCGTGTCGACATTTTCATTTTTGTTATTCTTTCGTTCGCTAGTTTTTCTTTCGGCCATTTTGAGATACATACCTTGTTGAAGATTGAGATAATTGATGTTTTAAATTAAATTGATCAATTGAAGATGAAGAATTATTTAATGGAATAATTAATGAAGATGATTGTGAAATTTTTTCATGAAAATTAATTTTTGATGAAGATAATGTTGATTGAAAATAAGTAAAATTTTGACCTGTTGGATAATAGAAAAGAGATGTATTAAAATTATTTGATGATGTTAATGTTGATTGATTATAAGATAAATTTGAAATTGTTGTTGTTGTTGTTGTTGTATTTAAAAATGTTAATTCAAATTGTTCTTTTGGTATTTGTTGACATGATGAAATAAAATTTGTATGTTCATGAAAAATTTTTGATCGTTGAGAAATAAATGAAATTGATGTACAAATACTACTTGTTTGTTCACCATCATCATCATCATCATTTTGATTATAATAAAAAATATTATCTTCTTTTAATGTTTTTTCAATAGGTATTAATAATAATGATGGTAATTTTAATGAATAATTACAATGAAAATATTTTAAATTTGTCTTTTTTTTTATATGCCGATATGTTTGCATAGATAAAAATATACAACCAATAATTAACCAAAGAAAACATATTGAACCAAATATAATAAAAAGACGTTTAAATAAAATAAATTGATCTATTGTATTGATTGACATTGTCAATATAATGAAATATCATTTTAATTAAAAGAAGAAAACAAAAAAAAAAGATTTATTCTAATTTTTATGGATCAATGTCTTCAAGACATTGATTGAAGAATTACGATTTATTATTATTATTTTTTTTTTTCGGATAGTTTCTCGTTAAATGTAGATGTGAATGTCTATCGTTGTTATAGTTCCTTTTTTCTCTCCCTCTCTCTCTCCCTCTCTGTGCTTCATGTTCTTCTATCTTCTTGTTCTTGGATGGAGAGGCGCAACGAAAGAAACTTTTGTTCTATATAGATGTGAGTAAGGAAACGGAAGGAAAAATTAGTGGTCGGGCACGCATTGAATAGAATGAAGCTCGTATAATCATCCGGACCAATGTCATTGTCCCATAGATTCTCACATATATCAAATTGAGCAACTATATTAATTATGGAAAAAAAAGTGAATTATTCGTTTTTACTATTGTTCGATTAATTCTATATATATATATCTATTCATACCTGATCATCAATTAGTGTTAACAATGTTTTTTTTTTCCTTTTATTCTTTGTCTAATGATAAAAGCATGTATTTTATAATTGTGATATTTTTGTCTGTTCTAGATCAACTACCACCAAAAAGCTTTTGGGTTATTTTACGTTTGGTTTTTTTCTTTTTTGCTATTGAGTTTATGTATGCAGTAGAAACAGCACTAACTGTACCTATATTAACTTCATTACGTGTACCTGAATCGTACGTTAATGAAGAAGTTTTTATTGTTCGTTATTCTTCTAATTTTTGTTTTTTTGATTTATCAAGATTTTATTCCATGGCTTGGCTTATAAGTCCAATTCTTGGTTTTTTTCTTCAACCAATTGTTGGTATGTGGAGTGATTCATGTAAATGTCGATGGGGTAGACGAAGACCATTTATTCTAGCATTTGCTATTGGTAAAATTTATTGAGAAATATTTATTCATACAAAAAAAAAAACAAGAAGATTTTTTTTCTAAGGTGCTTATATTGGTGTTGCATTATTACTCAACAGTTCAGATTTAGGTGTACTTCTTGGTGATCCAACTGCACATAATACAGTTAGATTATTAAATTTTCTTGTATAGATTTTATATTATTGCTTTTTAAGACTCCATATAAAGCAATTATATTAACTATTATTGGTGTGACGTGTCTTGGTAAGCAAAAAAAACCAACAATGAATAGAATTTTTTTTATTTAATAGATTATTTGTTAAATATCATGTAGATTTTTGTGCGGATAGTGCTGATGCACCTGTACGTGCTTATTTAATTGATACAACAAATTCACGAGATCAAGAACGAGGATTTAATATACATGCTATTCTTGGTAAAGACATGAATTACGTTTTTCTTTCAAATTTTTATTGTTGTATTTTTAGGAGGTATAAAAATGATCTTGTATGTAAAAAAAAACATATGAAAATAATATTTATATTAAATAGGTATTGGTGGAGGTTTAGGTTTTATTGTTGGTGCTATGAATTGGCGATATATTCCAATGTTCTATAAAAATGGTAAAATGTAGAGAAATTTTTATTTTTTGGAATTTAATATTAATGAATTGTTTTTTTTTGTATTATCATAGGTGGTGAATTTAGTGTGATTTTTTATATTGCTACTTTTTTATTTATTGTATGCTCAATATCAACATTAACAAGTGTTCGTGAAGAACCACTTATATCCTCATCATCATCATCATCATCACGTGAACATGATGATAGAGAAAATACAAATGATGATGAAGAAAATGAAATAGAAACAGATGAAAAACGTCCATTGCTTACACTTCGTCCAAATAATTCACGATCATATAGTACAACGAGTAAAACTGATCGTTCAACAGCAGATATGTATTTAAGTGGTTTAAATAAGCAAGAAGGATTTATTGAAATTGATCCAGCTACAGGTAGACATGTACCTCATGATGATGTTGAAGCTACAAATGAAGATATGTTATTACAAACATTGGAGCGTTCACATCGAATTGTAGCTGCATCATTGGCGAGTGCCGATTCTACAAATAGCGATCCTATACCGACTGAAGCATTCGCAGTTGAGCTTAAACAAAAAGCCAAATTAGTCAAATTAGGTATTCAATCGTTATGCTTTTTTTTTTTTACATTTTCACTACATGTCTTTTTTTAATGAATAAGGTCTTATGCGACGTCCAGAATCTGAAGAAACGGATGATTACGATGAGAAAGATAGTGTGACAATTAAATCCATGCTTGTTTCAATGGTTCGAGTATGTATTTTTGTTCTTGTTTATAACAAATATATTCTTTTTGATTAATAAGATGCCTCCTCGATTATGGAAACTAATGATATGTCAAGTAATTGGTTGGATTGCTTATTTTGCTACTCATTTATATTTTACTGATTTTGTTGCTTCGGTAATCATAAAATAAGTTGTTTTTTATTCCTTGTCAATCTTGATGTTTTGTTTTTTTTCTTTAAAGAAAGTATACAATGGTACATTAGCAGAGGACGATCCAGCTGGTTTTGATCGTTATAAAACAGGTGTTACAATGGGTTGTTGGGGTTTATTTTTATATTCAGCTAGTACTGCTGTTTATGCGTGTACGTAAAAAAAAAATAAAACAATAAGCTTTTCTCTGAATAAAATATATATCTCTAGTCTGTTTGGAACGATGGTTAGCAGAAAAATTTTCTTTGAAAACACTTTATTTTATTGGTTATTTGGCATATGCTGTTGGTTGTGTAATAAATTTTTTTGTTCCTCATATTGCTGTTAATATTATCATGTGTATAACATGTAAGTTTATTTTTTTTTCTGTCTATTTCATTAATTATTTTTACTTATTATTAAATTTTAGTTGGAATGTTAGTTGTCTCATTGAATACTCTTCCTTACCATATGCTTTCACAGTTTCACGCTGATGAAACAGTTAAGTTTTATTTTGTTTTAATTATTTTGAATAATGAATTAAAATTTTTTTCTAGTATAAAAATAGAGATGGTTCAAAACGTGGTATTGGTGTTGATTGTTCATTATTAAATAGTTGTTATTTTCTCGGTGAATTAGTAGTAGCTGCTTCATTGGGTCCATTATTAGAACGTACCGGTGTAGAATATTGTATGATAGTAGGAACTGGATTTGCATTAGTGGGTAATGTGTGTATGTTTTTCTTGTTTCAATTTAAAAAATAAAAAAAATGTTCGAGAGTGATTTTGTTTTTGTTTTGTTTACGTATATGTGATAGGTGAAAGTAATCTTCAGATAATTAATTAACAAATACATTGTATTTCATGATTCTTTTTTTTTTATTTTTGTAATATTCAAAATGCAATTTTTGTGATGATTATATGAAGGTGGTGTTTTTGTATGTAAAATCATTTATCTTTTTTATAAGAATATATTGTTAATGCGTTATAATTCTGTTTTTGTTCTTTGTGTGCATTGCATTTCTTATAAATATATTTATATATATATAGTTCACGTTTTTTTTTCAGTTGAAATAAATGAATTATTTAATTACAACAAAAAAAGAAAAAGAGAATATCAATCTATCGGTTGATTTATTTTCCTATGATGATTAATTGTTGTGTTGTAACAAGCTTTTGATGATTTATATACATGCAAAATTGATCCAAAAACAAAGGCGGAACAAGCACGACTCTAGTACTTTATCATACTTCATTCGTACTTCGAAGTACTGACGTCGTACTTTTCCTCCTTGCTCAAAAGTCACCTGGTAGTCGTTGTTTACGAAAAATTTTTAATAGGATTAATATAAAGAGCTATGACTATTACTGTTCGAAAAAGATTATGTTAGTTCGCGAAGAAATCAAATTTACATACGGAAAATAGCGAAAACTACTTTGTTTCGGATTTTTTTCAAAAGAATTTTTTCATAAGAAAAAAACAAGTGTAGAAACATCTGCGTTGCTCCACCATGGTACGTTCAACTAACTAGGGAACATTCCCAGGTGCCTGAGTGCTTTCAAATCGAGACTAAGCGCATCTTATAGACCTTAATGAGCTGTGTCTATGGTAAAAAAAACTTCGTACTTATAGCTTGTTTTGGAGGAGATCGACCATTCTTACTTTTACAACTGTAAGAGCTGTTTTATTAGGAAAAAAGTACTATCTCAACTAATACCGGGTGCCACAAAAATTTTGCAACATTTTGTGTTTTGCATATAACTCAGTTCATACAAAAGATAAAATCTTCAATTTAATTTTGAAAGATGCGCAATTTAATTCTCTACAAACTTGTATTTAGCTTAATTTGAAATAATAGACTTCAATATTTTTATGGATCAAATAATGTGATCATATGAATTGCGTCTACTTCCCACATGTTTTTTTATTAGATTATTTTTTTTATGTGGACGTATATTTCGCTTTTAAAAACGTCGACTGTCAGATGGCTCTCGAAAGGTTCGGTCGATTGCTTATATAAATAACATTCAATCTTTCTATTAGACAGAATTTTTCGTAAAGCAATATTTTGAGAACCGTAAAATTCCCTTTCAATTATCCATTTCGAAAAAAGTACCTCTTAAAAACGTGTTCGTTGACCAACCGAGTTCATTTTTACAGTACTTTGTAACAAACAGACTTCTCTTTCTACTCGAAGTTCAAAAAAAATTTTTATAAAACAGTTCAATCGGCAGCAGAATCTGAATGTTACCAAGGATGCTGCTTTCTGCTGCAGCATACCTAACAGATCATTTTTATTAGACCCAAATAGACTCTAATCGAACATAGACAATTTATTGTAAAAGAGCATTGATATATTATAGCATAGTTGATAATTAGTTTTTTTAAGCGCCTGTTTATAACACGAGATAGTCAGGAAATATATAGTCAAAAAAACGTGTGAAAATTAGATGCAATTCATATAATCATATTATTTGATCCATAAAAACGTTGAAGTCTATTATTTCAAATTAAGCTAAATACAAGTTTGTAGAGAATTAAATTGCGCATCTTCTAAATTTAAATTCAAGATTTTATCTTTTG